GGAGACAGGTGCGTTTACAGTATTAAAGCTTTCCTTTACAGCAGGGGTGCCCAAACTTTTTGTCCTTGGGGGGCCAAAGTGCACTGTCTGTGGTGGGCTGAGGGCCAGAGAAGACAAAACATTATACAATTGAAATAAGTTTCAAATTGAGATCTTACAAAGGTGTTTTATACACTATACACTATACACTGTATGGCCAAAAGTACGTGGTCACCTGACCGTCACACCTATATGAGCTTGTCCATTCCAAAGGCTTTCCACAAGATATTGGAGAGTGTCTGTGGGATTTTTTGTCCATTCAGTCAAAAGTGCATTTGTGATGTTAGATGAGAAGGCCTGGCATGTAATTGACGTTCCAGTTCATCCCAGAGTGTTCAGTGGGGTTGAGGTCAGGGCTCTGGGTAGGCCACTTGAGTTCCTCCACATCAAACTCGTCAAACCACGTCTTCATGAAGCTCACTTTGTGCATAGGGATGCAGTCATGCTGGAACAGGAAAGCGTCTTCCTTCAAAGTTGGAAGCCTATAATTGTCTTAAAGATATTTGAACGCTGTAGCATTAATGTTACCCTTCACTAGAACTATGAGGCCTGGAAAACAGCCCCAGCCCATTATCCCTCCTCCACCAAACCTTACTGTTGCACTATGTATTCCAGTATATATGTATTAAAGTCTCTGGAAATTGCATGAGCTTTATCCACCTGTTAGCAGTGGGTGTGACTGAAACGCCTTATCTCAATAATTAGGAGGGTAGAATCTACCTTGTTGAATTCATGCCTGAAATCTTTGTGGCACGGATTTAAAAAGGTGCTGGAAACTTCTTAGGGTGGAGCAGCCTGTTTACATTAACAAGCAGTTATACATATGTGGGATACTGTCAGTGTCAGATATACATAAGCAACATTAGCTAGCATGTTCATAGTATATAAATAATATATTTTTTCCTCTTCATTAGGTTCTGCCAGGCCTGTCAAGGAGAGCTGAAGGACAAAAGTGTGAGTATCACATTTTGATGTTTTAAAGGAATAGCCAAGACATGCTTGGTGTCTGAAGTTTGAACTTGTTTTGTGGTGGAGCTATGAGGCTAGTGTAGCTAACAAGTAGTGAAAGCTTATTTACACCAGTTAGCGTTGTGCAAAAACCATCAGACATTAGGATGCCCTGATCCTCTACCTATGGACTATTTAATGGATTACTGGTCTTTGCTTTCCTTCTTAAAGAGGATTTTCATCAATTTCAGACTGATTTCAACCAAATCAAGGTCATTCAGAGTGGTTTGATGTGAATTGGTTCATTGTACCAACTAATTTCTTTACAGTGGAGGTGATGGGAACCAGGGGTCACCGTGTCTACAATACAAATATAGCCATTTTATTTTCTATCTAAAACCACCAGTGAAGCTACACCTGTCTTCTGAGTTTATGTAATGTTGATGGTAGTCACAAATTTGAACAAATGCATTTCCTTTGGGGACTTTTGTCCTAACAACCACCTGCATGTACCTCTCTGCCATGAATGGATCTAAAAAATCTCAAAACTATCGTAAAGCAATGTCTCAGACATCAGGCAGCATATTCATAACCATTTCATGTAACTTTCTGTGAGGTAACTAGATGTGGATGTCTGGTTCCTATCACCAACACTGTAAGCTACTCTTTCTCTAGAGCAGCACATTTCACACCAAACCCCTGTTTTCTGTTTCTTAATTTCTCTGCAGGTATTCACATGTCCAGCCTGCAGCAGTGTTTTCTGTACGGAGTGCGATCTCTTCATCCATGACACGCTGCACTGCTGCCCGTCCTGCATACACAGACAGGGAGCGTCCTGAGTAGAGACTTAATCCCCCGAACCAACATTACCTCAGAGACCAAAACATCTGGCTGACCTGACTGTGAGTGTATGGAGTCTCTTCAACAATCTCCTTCACTTACAGTGCTTGCCTTTGGGCTTGGCACATGTTTTTCTGCACAATATGAACCAGCAGCCAGTGATTGTTGGACAAGGGTGGGTATATTTGAGAATGAGTGCAGGACTAATGCACTGTTTTGTGTCTTTGTGCCTGTAAAATTAAAAACTTTGCGCTTCCACTTGTACATTCAGCATGTGTAACATGCTCACTGTTCAGTGTCTAATATGAAAACCGTTACATTATGTAAGGTGTTTACATTTGTTTACTGTACATAGGCATTAAATGTGTATGAACAGAAACCAAACTTCTCTGAAGTCTGCCATTGTAATGAATATAGTTCCAGTCTTTTTCAAACACCTCTGACTTGTATAATCCAGTTTAGGCGTATTATATAATGGTTATTGCACCAAAACAGAGTTATGACAATACAGTAGCGCCCCCTGCTGGCTCAGACTAAACACATCTGAGCAATCGGTGCCAATAAAATTATGTTTTGAGATCTGAGACGTTCTGCTGCTTTTGTCTTTAAAGCATTGGCCTTACAGTTCATATTATTGTGGTTTAAATATATGTACATACAGTTGTATGCAAATGACATTTTGTTGATTCTCTAAGTGAAAATAAGAACCTCTACAACTTTCAGATGCCATTTCTGCAAATCATATCACACATTTTCTGTTTATTTGCTGAGTTTAACATATTGGCAAAACATAATGTCCATAATGTTCACACAGGCAACATTTTCTTTCCCCCTGCCCCCCAAAAAGGTGTTATGATTCAGCAAATAAACATTTATTATGAGTTTAATGTTGAGGAATGTCCTTCTGCTCTTTTCCTGTTGGACAGACTTGACTTTGGGCTTAGGTTACCTGGCTAAATTGAGAAATCCTGCTTTGTGAAATAACCCGCTGTAAAGGATATGTTAACTTTATAAAAATAAAAAAAACATGTAATTTGACAGGGGGGTGGGTATTCAGACTGCTTGACTGTGCTTATGACTATACCTGTTTGTTGGCATGTCTTTAAATACAAATCCCACAATATCCCTATAATGTCTGTAAACGCTATTTTGGTAGAAACTGAGGGTGCAGGTCTCTTTAAAGGGCCCTGCAGTTTGGGGGCCACTTTTCATGTTTGGGTGGAGTTGTGTACCAAACACAAATTCATTTCTACATGACTATTTTCCAACCTCTCTTTATTTCTTAGACTGAAACAGGCTGTTTTAGTTACTGGGCCTTTAAGAGTGATATATTTACATAAATCAGTCTTAAAGATGCAGTAACTAAAGCCTCTGTTCGGACTAACTGCTCTGCATTGTACCTCATTCATAAAGCAGTCCAGGTTGAAACACTCCTTATAACTTCAAAGTGAACTGTTGTGGGATGAATAGTTGAATGTACGTAAATGGGCTGTTTTTACAGCTTAGTTTTCATATATTGACTGTACAGACTGGAGTATGAACAGGACATGGACTTGGTGACCTTTTGAATCTTTAACAATGAGTGTGTTTACATGCTCTTAATACCCCGATAACTGCAGAAAATCAGATTTTGTCAGTAATCAGATCAACACGTTTACATGCACTTGAGTAACCAGATAATGGGGAAATTCTGGGTGTACGTGTGTCAGGTAGTAATCGGATTTCGGCTTTGCAACCAGCCAATAAACTCAGAGTAAGGCATGATGTAAACGCAGTGTGAAATTCAAACCAAATGCTGCGACTTTAAAAAACAAAAAAACATTGCACCACTTTTAAATATGAAACCCCTGTTATATGAATCAACTAAAATTATAAACATCTAGAAGATGAAGAATATTTAAACTCTTAATTCCTTCAAGTAATGATGGTTTAGTGTCACTCCAAAAGTGTTTCGCTGCGTCTCACGGCAACACTTCTTGCTTATTTCTGGTACCGCCATCTGTTTTCGCACAAGCGCAGACTGAGATAAAAGAAAGAAATCAGAGTAAGAGTCTACATGCACTGAGAAATCTGATTACTGAGTTAAATCCATCATATGCTCTTTACATGACCATTTAAACAATCAGATAACTGCAGAAATCTGATTATGGTCAGATTGAGTGCATATAAATGCACTCAGTGTTTATATACTGCATCAAAAGGGAGCAAATTTTGGTTTTCCATGATAAGGACATTTGGTCAGTATGCATTTGCATATATGTGTTGGATTACAGCAGCATAGAGAAAACGTTTTCAGTGATAAATATGAGAAATACAGACTTGAAGTGCACATTACTTCCAAGTTAGACGTTTTATTTCAAAACATTTATAGATATTAACCTTTTCAAATGTTTTATTTCAGATTTCAGCATGAAGATTTACTTTCCAGAAGGTGCTTTTAAAACTGTTAAATCATGAAAACTGAAGAAAATTAAAACAGCACACAAACAAGTAAAAAAAAGAACACAGTAGCTGGTGTTGGTATGTCTCAGAGAAGTATAACAAAAATAATAAAAATAGAACCACCTTCTCTGTGACACAGTTTAACCCTGAACAAAAAAACCATCCTCAAATGGTATGGTATGGTGGCACGTATGGTGTACCACCAGAGGCATTTTCAAACCCACCCTCCTCTGAAACAGTCAGCAAGAAAGCCTACATTTCATCACAGAAAAAGTGAGAAAATTAATGAATCGTTGGTGAAAAATCACATTTATACCATAATGTAGTGTCAATTTTGTTTCTTTTGCATTGGAGTTTTGATGCTAATGTAGCTAACAAGCAATGGAGGCTTATGAGTAATTAGCCACTTGGCATCATGAAAACTGCATGTCTAAATCATTTCACATGCCTCAAACTGCAAAGAGTTCTTCAGTAATCTCTAATTGATGTGCTTATGTTGTTTCTCAGACTGTATGACACACTGTCGTCTATAAATATGAGCTAGCAAAATATGCTAGCATACTTAACAGTAGTAGCAGCCATTTTGAAACCGACTGTTTTGTCTAGCAGTCTGTCATACAGTATCAGGAACCAATGTACTGTGTAAATTGTTTTGCCAGATTTCTTTTAATTTTCTGACCTTTTCTGTGGTAAAAGACTAATGTTTTATGCCTTTTTGGCTTTTTTAAACCTTTTTTTTTTTTTAGAAAAAGCCTTGACCTTCTTCAAAAATATGATAGCAATGAATCTATTCTTCAAATTAGTTCATAAAGGTACTCAACAGTTACTTTTGAGGGAATTCCACCAAATTTTCTTCATGACTCAGTTGTTGAGCTGTAAACAAACTCATGCAGACTGGTTTATGGTTCATTGTAGAAAAGCTCACTGACTTCTTTACAGCGGTGGTGATGGGAACCAGGGGTCACAATGTCTACAACACAAACAAGCCATTTTATTTACACAAAAATCATCATAAAAATGCATCAGGCTTCAGGCAGTATGTTCATGGCCAGTTAATGTAATAACTTTCTGTGAGGGAGCTTTTAGAGGTGGACGTCTGGTTCCTATCGCCACCACTGAGAACACTTTAGACTATAAGTTTGTCTAGAATGGAGAATTTCACATCAACCCACTCTGAGTTACTTTGTTTACATCTCAACTCTATAATTTTGCAGAAAATTTGAAAAAAAATGGTGCAATTCTTCTTGAAGACCAGCAGTGTGTCCTTCAAACCAATCACACACATTTCAGCCAATTTCACCATTCACCAGGCCCTTTCTCAAATACGTCTGTACGTTCTAGGTTCGGTCATTCAGTACGAGCTGTTGGCTCGGGTCAGGTCGGGTCTTGTGCGGTCAAGGGCTTCACAGCTCTGTGTGTTTGAACTGGTCGTCTAGCTGGGCCGGTTCCGGATGATTCTTGTCCAGCCAGGCTTGGAGCAGAGGGAGGTTCTTGTCCATCCAGCGAATGTTCTCCTCCACGTTCTCCAGGGCCTGTTGGATGCAGCGCAGCTCAGCGCCCGTCTCAGCAGTTAAGGAATTGAAAAATCCCCGAATCTAATAACAGAAGAGAGATGCATGCATTATGGCATGTAGCGTGTAGCACAGTGGAGATATAACCATAATTACTGAAATCAATTTTTTCCATGCCAACAATGCAAGTCTGAGATATTTTGATAACATACTGTGTAATTCTGTTCCTCAAGCTATTAGCAAAGGCCTCAATTTTGAGCAACTGCTATTCTAGTATGACAGGTTTTTACATGTAATGAGAAGTCTAGCCATTCACTTGTAACAGAACAATATAGCATATATTCATACTTCATATGTTAAGGAACATGCTGCAGACTTAACAGTTGAACATTGTATTTACTAGGGGAGCGTTGGGAAACTATTTTGGTTCCTGAATTTAAGGACTTTCACGTACCCTTCATCATGGTGGAAGAAAGAACGGTTTCAATGGTCAATGTAAGTAATTATTTATTACATCTTGCTTTTGGAGGTTACGATTTACAATCTGTTCAAGCGATTCTAACATGTGTAAGCATAGACTGAATTATTTACACTTTTTACTGTGGAGAACATGTTAGCAAGATACCAAAGTAGGTCAGGCTACTTAACTATTTAACAAGCTAAGCAGCCAAGTAAGTTATTCCCAAAACAGGCACATCAGTTTCCTGACATGCTCCTGATTTCAGACTACAGAGTATTTGGAAGGAAATATTTCATATGTAGGAAAAAAGATCATCTGATGAGAATATGAAGGGTTATGAGTTAGCTAGCTAGCTTAAACTTTTGAAATTACTTACTTATTCTATGTTCCACCTTGATCATTTTGTATGTTACACAGAATAGGTATTTTATTTTCTTTAGGCTTTCAAAATACTACTTAGACTTTATTGAGCAAAAGAAACACACAAAATAGAAAGCACTGTTATCAATACTGGATGGACAAATACATTGTTTTAAATTTCTTTGGCCGTAGTAGAACCTGGATCAAACATTTTGATACACACCTCTTCCAGCATCTCTCTGGTGGAGTACTGACTGGTCACGCCTGTTACCATGTGCGCAATGGAGTGAGAACCAAGGTCAAACCTGAAGACAAAGGTCAAGGTGGAGGGACATTAGCAGACTTTTCACATAATTCAAAACCCTTTGTCAGGATGTCACTGTGAAAAGAAATGGTTTGAGGAAAATTCATATTTAAGCATTTTTCCATCTTTTAACCAAACTCAGGAGGGCAGCCTAAATACGCTTGGTGTCTGAAGCTTGATTCTGTACATCGGAGCTATGAGGCCAATGTAGCTAACAAGTTATGGAAGCTTGTAACCCACAGGTTAGCATAAGCAAACTGATGCCTAAATTATCACATACTTGCCTTAAGCCATGTTAAACTGTGTGTAATACCAAATAGACTTATTTCTGTGGTTTCTGACAATGCACAGCATACTGTTATCTATAAATATGAGGTAAAGTATGTTAGCATAGCTAAAAACAAAAGCCCCAGGCATCTTGAAGCCTGCATTTGTTTATTAGCCTCATAGCCTTAGCCATTTTCTGGACACCAAATGTGTACTGGCTAATTGATTACCTTTGAGGGAAAACATTGTAAATTAATTTTTTTTGGCTGAACTATCACTTTAAAGCCTAACATCATGTTCTGGCAAGTAATTTAGCTCAAACAGATTCAGTTTGTTTAACTTCAACAGACGGGCTTTCAGAGCTACGATGTTTCCACTCACTTCTTCACCAGCGAGTGCCAGTTGGCCCTCAGGAAGTCCCAGGCGTGTTTATAGCCTTTAGGGTTCTTGCTGACTGATGTCACAACATACGGCAGGTCCTGCGTCTTCATCACAGAGCCCTCCAAACTCTGCTCCATCATCCTACAGCGAGGGAGAAAAGAGGAAGTTTGGATAAAATGGCAGGAATGCTTGTCACCCAGCATGGCCGCCATGTTCTATATCTACTCTCTTGTATGTGTTCCACCATGTTCTATATCTACCATCTTGTATGTGTTCCACCATGTTCTATATCTACCATCCTGTGTGTTCCACCATGTTCTATATCTACCATCCTGTATGTGTTCCACCACGTTCTATATCTGCCATCCTGCATGTGTTCCACCATGTTATATATCTACCATCCTGTTTGTGTTCCACCACATTCTATATCCTGTTTGTGTGATCTGATTGTACCATCCTGCACCAGCATCCAAAACACAACATACATGGTTTTGGTGCCTAATAACTTCCTTTGCTTTTGACATACCAGCAAACCAGCATCCAAACACATGTGCTAGTTTTGCTGGTGACCAGCTATATTGGTCTATGCTGTTTTTCTAGCAAGGGTGAAATTTTAAGGGTGCTGGAACATCTCACCATTTGAGTTTGTGAGCGAGAGGAGAGATGGACAGGGCAGATTTGATTCGGCTCTTCAGTGACGCATAAATAGATTCACGATACTTCTCAAACATAAAGTCCCAGCCCTCCTCAGTGCGAGCACCAACCGCAAACACCGCAAGGCTGACGTCGTTAGGGAGACTGTGAAGGAAAAACAAACAGGCAGAGAGAAATACATTGGATCTTATTCATCAAAGCTGTTCAGATTTGACTGCCTTTAATGAGGCACAAGTTACTTTGCATCTGGTTTGTGAAACTTAGTTTCAGTGTGTGAAATCAAGCGCCAGCCCACCAGCACCTCATTTACATGTAATCTACATGAAGCACACCCTAATTCATGCAGATGTTTCAGAGCCAATGGCTGTGCTTGTTGGTGGAGATTGAGGTCATGCACTGCTCCCCCTACTGACCAAAATTTATAGTGCTAAAATTAAGATACCAGAAATGTGAAATAAACAAAATGTCTCAGTTGTTTCAAGACGGTAGAATGATATTATTGTGTAATGTGATTATTTTTACCTGAAATAACACATTTAAACATGGTATTACTGCAACTTCTGCACATGTGGTGTTTTGTTTATTATTTATTATTTATGTTATGGGCAGCGTCAGTGGTATAAAATAAAATCACAGTGTAATATGATTTTCAATGGAATATGGAACAGTTGAAGCATTTGTTAATACCAATGTGCATGTAAAACAAGTATATCCACTTTTGTACTGGATTGCCATGAATCATGAGTACAAATCATGAATATTGTTGTTATTTTGCTATTTTAATTCTTGTTATTGGTATTATTGATGATATTGGTTATATTTTGGTTAGTTAACAAGCACATCATGCAAAAGCTATCATAAAAAACGGATTCATATTCACATCAAACCACATTAAATGACTGTGTTTACATATTCAAATCAACAACACTACAGGATAATACTACAGCAATATGGGTTGAAAAGTGAAGAGATAAAGATCATATCATAAGAGCTGATGTCTGACCTCATGTTGCCATCAGACTCCTTCCACTTGTTGAAGAGCTGGGTGGCGGTGGAGACGCAGGGTGGGTGACCCCTCACGCAGGCGAAGAGGAGCAGGTAGCTGCGCAGCATCCTCTCAGACACTGAGCCGTCGTCAGTCCATGCCTGCCGGTCTATGAGCTCACGGAACAGGTGCACGATGTAGCCCTGGACAGCGTTATTAAGAAATTTCAACTTCACCTGCACAAATGAGCTTTGAATTTAAAGTTTAGAATCTGCCATTTCAACAGAATATATCAATATATAAATAAATATTAATAACTTTCAGTTGGAAATTCTTTTCGGTCTGAAACTAGGGGTCTATAAAAACCACCTTTATTCTACCTTTTTATGCAGAAACAGGACATTTGAGAGGATTAAGCCTGTGATAAGGTCCAAACAGGTTCTTCCATATAAATTCCATGAAAATGTCCTACACACAAAGTTCTTCCTATGACTGACCTTCATCTGGTTCTCCAGCGCCTCCATTTCCCTTTTCTCCATCAGTTTGTAGAGTGGGACAAGCTCGCTGAGGCCCTGCGTCACAGGCATGATCTCCGTCTCGTGGCTCAGATACAACGACAGGTCCAGAGCTTTGTCCAGCGGTAGCTTCCCCACACTGACCAACAAAAGCAAGGGGTATCTCAAAATATATAATCTGGATACAGTTTAAGCCGACTCAAATATTATTAGTTTATACTACACAAATCTTCACTAAGCGAAGAGCAAGAACAGTTTTCTCAAGAGAAACCCAGAGAAATGAGTTCAATCATTATATCAGAGTCCAAGAACACCTGGCCAAGCAAAGCCCAGCAGACAGCTAACCTGACCAACTGGAAGACGTTGTTGATGAGGCTGGTCCGGTCGTTGCCGCTGAGGGCAGTGTGGTTGTGTTTGAGCAGAGTAATGAGGTCGTCCCAGCCCGACCCCTCGTAGTGGACAATGTAGTATCCGCTCATGTCCACGTTAAACTTCACCCAGTCTGCCTCTTCAGGCAGGTACAGCACATCTGAGAGCAGCACATGAGCATTTTTATTAATAACCTGAAATGTTGGCACCTTTGAATCCTTTGATAAACTACTGATTTAGCAATGCTGAAATGCATTGTTTGGGCTGTTAAGCAGAAACATCTGTACACACCTGTCTTAGTCTTCAGCAGAAAGCGATGGACGGTGGCCGAATTACTGGTGACGTATGTCAGTGGGACATGCCACAGAAACCTTCAACATAATAATTTAACATATTTAACTGAGATGCAAAACCAGGACTACCCAGTTACGGATGGCTGTGGCATCTTTGGGCAACAAATGCACAACCTCCTTATGATAGAGGGAGCACTTAGATGATTGTGCCACTCTTAGCAGTAAAAAAATATATATAAATAGAGGGTGTAACTATATCTGTGCTATATTCACCCAGAGGTCTGGGAGGGGTCGCCGCCCTTCAGGTACCGCTCCTGACTTAGGCGCACTTCACGACCTTTGACTTCCACTGTGACGAGGGGGAAGCCTTCCTGCAGTGTCCAGGTCTCCATCATCACCCTAACATCCAGCTCGTCCTCCGAGTGCTGTTTCTGGTAGAAGACATTAAATAAACTCAATAAATTAGTTTGTCACTTTAAACAAAAATACACTCATCTCCACGTGGAGATATCTCCGATATCAGATTGCCTTTGATCGTTGAGATTCGTTTTTAGATAAGACAGCAGTTTATGAAGCCACTTTACAACATCACAATGACTGAGCAATCCTAAGCCCACAGTTTATGCACATGTTGCTTACAGACTTTCTAGATCTTGATCTGAATTTCCTTTCAGCACAGGCTACCAATGGCACAAGCAACCAATGGCACAGACTACCAATGGCACAGGCAACCAATGGCAAAGGCTACAGAAGCACAAGCAACCAATGGCACAGACTACCAATGGCACAGGCTACCGACAGCACAGACAACCAATAGCACAGGCTACTGATGGCACAGGCAACCAATGGCACAGACTACCGATGGCACAGGTTATTGATGTCACAGACAACAGATGGCACAGGCAATCAATGACACAGGCAACCAATGGCGCAGGCAACAGACAGCGTAGGATGCCAATAGCAAGGGCTGCCAACGGCACAGGCAACCAATGGCACAGGGTACCGATGGCACAAGCAACTAATGGCATAGGCAACCAGTGGCACTGGCTACAGATGGCACAAGCAACCAATGGCACATGCTATTGATGGCACAGGCAACAGATGGTACAGGCTACCAATGGCAAAGACTACCGACAGCACAGGCAACTGATGGCGCAAGCAACAGATGGTACAGGCTACCAATGCTACAAACTACCGATGGCACAAGCTACCAACTGCACAGGCAAACAACAGCCCAGGCACACACTACTGAGAGCACAGACTACCAACAGCATATGCTATATGACAGCACAGTGTACTGATGGCACGGCCTCTGCTTCCAGCAATGTTTAGTGCCAAACACTCCTCGACCTCTGACAGTGCTGAAGCAATAACAAAGGCAAAAGGTCTTTTCATTGGGTTACATATGCACCCATTTCAGACTGTAGAGAACAAAGGATTATGATCGTTATTAAATGTGCTCAAGCCGTGGTATGACATTTCAAGCACACCGCGTTTCAGTACACATGTGGTGCCAAAGATGTCTGAAGGAACAAAGGCAGAACTTTGTGAAAAGTTGGGTGAGGCACAATTCATTGAAAGTACAATGGATAGCTGGACAACTCAAGCTACTCTCCTGAAACGGGTGATGGTAAGAATTATTTCACTTGATGTTTTCAAATGAATTTCCTTTTTTTTTTTCATTTTTATACTTGCTGATTGGTACATTGCTCTACCTCTTGATGTTTACATTTGTAACTCCTGTTGATGCTTTGTTCTACCTACTGATTTGTACACTTATTTTACTTGGTTCCATTGTTGACAGTGACCTGTCCAAGGTGTTTCCTGCCTGACCGCTGGGACAGGCTCCAGCACCCCCTGCGACCCAGAAGGATAAGCGGCTAGGCTACAGCAGTTAGGATTGGTTGACACACATTCCAATGTTCACACAATTGTGTGATGTACTTGCATACTGCATGTTGGGTATTGTAGTGAGAGAGCACTGACGGACAAAAACATGACAATGATACAAAATCTGGAATCTACAAAAAAGTGCACTTACAGTCGTCAGACTTTCCCAAAGGTGTGTGTTAACCGTGTTCTGGTAGCTGTATTTTTTCAGATATCGAACGATGCCAGATTTAAAGAGGTCAGGGCTCAGGAACTCCCTCAGCATGTGCAGAATACAAGCACCCTGAAAAATGACAAAACAGGTTGCATTCAGTTAATATAATGTAAACTGGTGGGATATTAGCTTCTATTATTTGTTAGTTACATTTAGGACTGTTTATCAAAATTCACTGTCTAAATGGAACCAACTACTTCAATACCATATAGTACAGAAAAAGTCTTTTGTCAATCAGTACCAAATTTCAGTGGCTCAAAAAGTAGTCAAAAATCGTAGCTTCAAAAGTAGTCAGTCTTAGCATCCATTAGCCAACAAGCATGCTTTTTCCAAAATCTACACTGATGACCGTTTGCTACTTTGTCTACTTTGCATTCTGCAACCGTATTATTAACCCCAGAGCTTCTTGACTAGCCTGCAATCCATTGGGGTCAGTAAATACACATGTCCAGCACTGCAGACTCATTCCTGAGTCTGAGCCACACCCACTTTCAGTTTGCAAATATTGTAAATAAATATTGAAAAAGTATCTTTCAGAATCGGTATTGGAAGTAAGGTTTTGGTACTGGTTTTGTTATCGATATAAAAAATATTTTGATATTCAGCCTTAGCTACATTAGCCTCGTAACCAACAAAGCAAACCTCAGACACCAAACGTGTCTCGGATGGGCAAACACGTGGGCTAAGAAGGAATATCACTAATTTCACCAGTATAATTTCATCTGTTTTCCCACCTTGTCATAAGACACGTCATCGAACATTTCCTGTATCTGAGCCGGGTTCTCCACGGGGGTGGACACAGGGTGGGAGGAGCCTAAACAATCCACCTCCATCGCCTCAAAGCACTTTCCCAGGAAATAGTCCTCCTGGAGAATGTGAACACACAGACAGATGGACAAGAGAGGCTTTTATTCAAAAACCACAGCACTGCTGCTGCTGGATATCATCATGCAAATCATTATTCAAACATTTGGCTGAGTTCATGAAGCTGCTGTATGACCTGTGTAGTTCTTTTACTATACCGATATATATATATCTTAAAGCTGCACAATATAGGTTTTGGGCATTAGGAGACCTCTCTGGTGGAAATCTGTAATTGCATGCAATGTGTAGAAGAAAATTTTGTAATGTGGGTTGTGTTTTGGATCCCTTCTTTGAGCAGATGAATCTAACACGAGCGCACTGAATAAGAATTTAAACAAAACTCAGTCAAAACTTAGTGAAAGACGCTTCTCCTAGGAATGTGAGTGAATAATGTATATAATGAATAACTGTCATCATATCTTAATCACTATAATGTTCATTTTGTACCAAAGATCTAAATATCGAGCTGGAACTTTTTTTCCAAAACGTATGTAGTCTTGCTTTTAGGTTCCAAGCAAACAGGTGCTGTGGTTTAAAAAGAACAAATTAAAGATGTCTCACCACTTGCAGCTCAGGGTTGGTGATGTTAACAGACACAAATTCCATGAACTTGGCGAATCCCTCGTTCAGCCAGAGATCATTCCACCACTGCATCGTCACCAGGTTACCAAACCACTGCCAAAACAACACAGCCTTTTTTTAAACATGCCGCTCCTGTTTTGCTGCTACATTTTGTCCACTCAACTCGTTTGCAAAATTTCAAATGTTGTGGTGTTCATTTTAGCCATATTTCACACTATTAATTTAAAACCATTATGTCTAAAATGGGTCAGGACTGATGTGTTATGGTTTTAACCTGGTGGGCGAGCTCATGTGCTATGACCATAGTGATGCCCAGCTTGTCAGAGGCAGAGGACTTGTGGGGGTCAAAGAGCAGGGCAGTCTCTCTGTAAGTGGTCAGTCCCCAGTTCTCCATAGCACCTGACTGGAAGTCTGGGATTGCAGCAAGATCTAAGAAGAGAAAGAGACACACGGTGCTAAAGGAAACGCAGAGAAATCTGCTCCAAACACATCAGTTTGAATATACATTTTACTCTATAATAAGAAGATACTTGTGTATAAAAAGTTTGAACACCCCTGGTCAAATTACATGTTTTCTGTTGATTTTTTAAGTGAAAGTAAGTTAACACAACATATACAGGGAACTTAAATATGGCATTTTTCATTAATGTTAGTGCACAATTCCTATTTATTTATTTAAGTCTAACAAATTGGAAAACAAAAACATAAAATGAGCTATAACATTTGCAGAGGCCGCAATTAAAGTTTTATTTTTTCCCCAAAATGATAAATTCAGCAAATAAACAGTAATTATGCTTTAATATTTGCAGAGGTATGTTCCCTGTAGAGGATGTGTTCACTTATTGTCACTTAGAAAATCAACTAAACATCTCATATTAGCAGGGGTGCCAAAACTTTTGCATACAACAGGATATACATGTTTTTGTATGTATCTTATGTCATCAGTCTTGTTAAGCCTTTATTTTTCACAGTTAGCCATTGCCCTTCTGTTTCCATAACACATTAAGCCTCAATTTACTGCTATTCATTAAACAAGTTAAATCGAAATTCGCCAACTATGTCTGTAATTACATGTAGTAATGTGAAACAGCTCTACATTGAAGTTACCTTGCTTAGGGAGAGGATACGGAATGTCAAAGTAATCATCATAGAAGTCCAGCAGCCTCACTGCAGCGTCCAGTGCAAACTCAGCCTGGTCTATCTTCTCTGGTACGGTGTATACTGAGATCTGACCACAGCCACATCAACAACACAGCAAATAAACAACAATGCAAAATACCCAGCACATTAAAGTTATGCCTACACAGAGTGATGAACGTGCAGAACTGTATGGGCACAATGAAAAAGAAGAAGAATAAAGAGAAAATTTGGTCATTTTGCCTTCCTTTAGTGGAATCCTAGGTGGTTGCTAGGGTGTTGTTAGGCTGTTACTGTGTTCCAGTAGTATCTCAAGTGGTTGCTAAGGTGTTGTTAAGTTGTTGCTAAGGTTTTGCTTGGCTGTTGCTAAGGTGTTGCTAGCCCATTGTAATGTTATCCCAGGTGGTTGCTAAGGTGTTGCTAGTGCATTGTAATGGTATCCCTGGTGGCTGCTAATATATGTGTGTATATATGTGGTATTATGTATGTGAGTCTTTACATAATGTCTGAGGGACTTTGTGACATCATTTGTGCCAGTCAGAATTTTTACAAGACCATAGATTTTGCAAAAAATGCACTTGCAATCATTTCCAAAAGCACAAATTCATTGCTCCCATAAAGGCTTTACGACCCTGAAATGATTAGTGGTTCTGGCTTGAAAACTGCAACCCGTGAAATCAAGAGAAAAAAGAAGTAGATGAATAAAATGAAAAACCGACCCAAACTGTGCATCCAGCAATAAATGAAGCCTCGTGCATCTTTTACACAGTGATAGAACACAGGGTAGCACAGACACATTTTACGCTGGCGAACATGGACACGCCTGCAATGTAACTCTTGTGGCCGAAGATTTAATCGAGCTGAACAGGCTGTCGCCAAACTCTAAGAATGGCTTGCCAGCAAGATGCTTGCCTCCATTGGGTTACTAGTGTAGGTTAAAGCAAAAATATGGACTGTCTGGGGGCTGTAAGGACAGGTTTAAAAAACAATGTTCGCGGCATCACTCTAAGAAACCATCTTTTGGTGTCTTTATTTTTAAGAATGTAGAGCTTTTATGTGTTAATAACAAAAAATCAGTAGGGTTTTAGGGGACAACCAGTAGATAAATTTGTTTTAAAAAACAGCCTATCAACTTTCTGAAATGGAGAGAACATTTGCTGAGGCAGTTCAGACCTTGACCCCATGCTCGGTGTTTTTGCTGATGGACAGGAAGTCGCACACGATGAATGCCACCAGGTACGTGCTCATCTTCACAGTGACGTCAAACTGGTCCTCAAACAGGCCGCCAGGAAGTGCCACTGTCCTCAGCTGGGAGAAGACAAAATAAACTGTTAGATACAGAGCAGAATTATTATAAAGCTAATATTGCCTATTAAAGGGAAACTCTGGCCAGACTTGGAAAGCCCCCTTCTAATAATGCATCAAAAGGTTTGAATAAGTTTTGAAAAACTATAATCTGTAACTGTTTTTTGGAGATGGCATATATATATATATATATATATATATATATATATATATATATATATATATATATGTTACCACAATACCCAGCGTCTGCTGATGTTTATGGGTCGTACCTTTGGCATGTTGGAGATGGAGATGTGTCTGCTCTCTCGGCGGATGCGGATGGAGAAGTTAGCTTTGAAGGCCGGCTCATCAAAACAGGGGAAAGCTGCACGAGCGCTGGTCGCCTCAAACTGTGTGGAGGCCAGAACCCTACAAACACAAGCATGAGTGTAATTAAAATATACAATTATTGTATTACAAGAACCTGTTTTTTTCCTTGATACATTACTCACTCTCTTACATTTATGGCATTTGGCAGATGCTCTTTTCCAGAGCAACTTACAATTTGATCATTTTTACACAGGTAGGCGAAGGTAGTGTTAGGAGTCTTGCCCAAGGACTCTTATGGGTATAGCGTAGGGTGTTTACCAAGGCGGTGGGATCGAACCCCAGTCTACAGCATAGAAGGCAGAGGTGTTACCCACTACACTATACCAACCACAACTCTTGAATGCCATTGTTTAACAAAACTAGGCATCTGGATGCATTCTAGAGAGTAAAGGGGGAAAATCATCCCGCATTAAATACTACAGCACTGGGTACTTCTGAAAATGTTGTTTTGCTGGCCTGGTTGCATCGTTATGTGATGTTTTTTAAACTAAAAACCTCATCTGTTTAACTAAATCATCATAGAAAGATGTCACTTTGTCTACACGTCGTACATGTTAACATAACATAATGGCTTTTGTTCACACATAAGCCCTTTCAGTAGTTAACCGAGTATTGTACTAGGTCTTGTGACGATTGACTGCTGTGCTAATTTTAGATCACATTTACATTCAACCCTTTCCTGTTTAATTCCAGTTTAAACCATGAGATGTTTTCTGTCATTAATACAGAGGAGCTCTGGAATTCATGTATAGATGCCTGTGGGAAACCACGAAGTGTTGAACCTATTTGTACATGACTAGACCCCCGGAGAGTCAAACTTTCAAAGTTTTTAAGACATCAAAGATGGAAAACTGCATAATCTGCCTGACAATATATGTATCATTACACCCCTAGAAACTCTATATTAGGATCCATACTCATTCACTCTTTCCTTTGATGGGTCGTCTTGATGTGTAAGGCTCCTTACCTCTCTTCTCCTTCCCTGGTCCGGTACGTGCTTTTGTAAAACCCGTGGAAGCTCTCTGAGAGTTTGGCCACGAACTCCAGCTCGATAACATACACACCACCCCTCTTCAGCACTGTACTATCGCTCACAAGAGCGATTTGGTGGTAGGCCGGATACTCCAGCACCTTCAGAACTTGATCTTGACCTTCAGCTGAGCCCCGCAGTGCTGCCTTGGTAATGTTGAGATCTTTGCTGTGGAGTACAATGGTGTTGGTTTCTTCATGGACCTCCACTTGGATCTTCACACTTCCAGAAAAGTCTAAGCTAGTGAGATTGGGGTGGATGAGAACGTCGTAGTGGAGGGGCAAAACAGCCTGAGGAAGCCTCATCTTGTTCCATGGGAACGGCTGTCCATTGGTTGCCTTTGGGAAAGAAGGCTCATGTTCTCTGCTGGCATGTGGAACTCCAGCCAAAGCTGTTGTAACCCACAAGAGGAGAGCCAAAAGGTACATGGCCTACTGAGAGACTGGGAGACAGTCAGGAACTGCTGAGACCAGGGAGACATAAACAAAGACTACAATTAGGGCTACACAACGTATGGAAAATTCAATGCTTTTTCAAGATTCTAACCACCAATACATTGAATTCCTTATTTAAGTCAGCTAATGCTAAATTGATACTGTCTACAGTTTAATCAAATTTTGGACCCTGACTTCAGTCCACATTGCATACGGCATATAGGTAAGTTTTATTCAGCTATATACAATTATGTGCAAAAGTTTGTAGCCCCCTTAGATTATCTGCAAATAATCTAAAAATCTACCTCTACCTCTATTATACCATTAATCTTTAAAATAACCTTACACATTCTCATTTAAATATGCTTTTCCTCAGAAAACATTTCATGTTATAACGTCCACATTAGAACAGCTCAGTCTAAGTCACTATTCGTGTTTAACAGCAAGCTCAAAAGTTTGCATCACCTTTGATATCATTCAAAGTATTTAACTTGAATATGTAAAATTAGGCATCTAAGCTTTAAAAACCAATGTCAGCACTTAATGCTTGATGAGTGGCATCAGGTGTGTTAGGCTTGCAGTTTAAATTTGCAGGTAGTTAGGTTTTCAGGAGCCGTCTCAAGCATGGCGGGATCAGTAAAACAGCGGTCAGAAGACCTCAGAAAACATTTCATAGAGCTGGAGAGGGATATAAAAAGATATCAAAGCGTTCTGGCTTTCCTGTAGAAACCGTGAAGACCATAATCCAGAAATGGAAGAAACATGGACACATGAAGACGCTACAAAAAAGTGGAAAACCAAGAAAAATAACCGAACAAACTGTCAGGAAAATTGTTCAAGAGCTCTGTGAGAATCCAAAACAAACAGCAGGGGACTTAAAAAGTCCTTAGAGGGGAATGGAGAGCAGGTTCACATCTCCACAGTGAAGCGTTTGGGAGAAAAGCATGCAGGAAGCCATTGCTTACTTCTAGACCCAAGACAGCGTGCTGGGAGTATGCTAATGAGCATATTAACAAAGCAGATGAATTCTGGAACAATATTCTGTGGTCTGATGAGACCAAAGTTGAACCATTTGGTGATAATTCACACAAGTATGTGTGAGAAAAAACTGTGCCTATGAAGAGAAGAACACCATGCCCACAGTAAAACATGGTGGAGGATGTTTTGGGGGGGGGTGTCTGCATCAGGGAGAGGAGCTCTGCAGAAAGTGGAAGGAAGAATGAATGCAGGCCAATATCAGCAGATTTCAGAGCAAAGCCTTCTACCATCAGTCAAAAAGCTAAAAATGAAGCGTGGATGGATCCTGCAAGAAGACCATGATCCAAAGCATAAAGCAAAGTCAACTGAAAGCATGGCTTAAAAAGAAGAAGGTGAAAGTTTTGCCATGGCCTTCCCAAAGTCTCCAGACGTGAGTATAATAGAAAATCTGTGAACAGACTTGAAGAAAGCATTGCATGACAGACAGCCCATCAATCTGGTAGAAATGAAGCAAATATGCCAGCAAGAATGGACTAAAATTACACCTGAAGGGTACAGAAGTTGCTCAGAGGGTTGGAGTTGGTTTTAAAGGCAAAGAGTGGACATACAAGATATTAAGACAATATTTCATAAAAGGGGGGTGTAAACTTGTATCTTAACTGGTATCATTTCAATTACGTTACTATGATTTTTCCTTATATACTTTTTGACCATATTTCTTACCTTTTATGAAGGGACACTTGGGAAATCTGATCTTTTATTAAATATTCTTTAACATAAAATGTCTTGCTCCTTTTGCTATCGCAGAGTATGTGACCTCATGCTAGAAACAACCAATACAGGATATAACCCATTTTCTATTTGTTTTAAAATCACTGTGATGGCTATACTTAGGCCTATACTTCGAGTTCCGTATTAGTGAAAATAAACAATTCTAAGATTTTAACACTGTTTAACACTGGATGGCAGTAACAAGTGCTTCTAAAGGGTCTATGTCCAGTTTCAATTCATTTTTATATAATGATTTTCCAACCTCCACTTGCCCTCAGAATTAAACAGGCAGTTTTGCTACTGTGGCTTAAAGACATATAAGTAAGTGGTCTCTGTTCTGATTGGCTGCCCTGCATTAGGCCTCATTCATACTTTTTTTCATCACATCACAAAAACAACTCATTCAGTAGGTTCAGTAGGGGCTGTATTTGCATCCTAGTTTCTATAAGGGGTTGAATGCCTCGTTTTGAAACTGAAACAACATTTACATACAACATTATTTAAGAAACAAATGAAGAAAGTTCAGATTTGCATAAGATGAGCCCTGTAATGCTTGGCCGTAGTGTCATTACTGTATTGAGCACCGAGCTACTGCACTTTTAATCCTTTAACCATTCCAGTGAACTTTATCCACAACTGTGAGGAGAATACAGACGTAAATGCTTTGAATTTGTAATTTTAGCTAAGATTTAACCTCCTTTTCCTGCACATTTGAATTGTAATTGTGTGATAAAATATCTACTTTCACATTCAGGCCATATGGAAGAGCTCAATGACTGACTGACTGAACCGAACAGCCACAATGACACAGCGAATCTGTCTACATTTCAAACATGAAGGGCTTATTTTTCGGACCCTAATCTCAGACCAGCTGCTCTACAGGTTATTCTATACAATATAACGACAGAAATATGATTAAAATCATTAATATCACTCACTGCAGTTTGTCTGGGAGCTGGAAGTGAAGTAAGCTGATAGAGGAAAATAGTGAAAGTGAAAATAAACACAGCGCTCAGCTTTTGTATCATAGGAGGGAAAAAACATAAAAATATAAATGAATATTAAATTTATATGCAGCACTTTATTATACATGAACTCATTTTCGCTGATAAAATGTGAGAATATTAAAGCAGAATCTGTGCGTTGTGTGTTTAAACAGTGAACGTATGAAGCGAAGCCGCCATTCTGGCTTTCAAAATAAAAGTCTCGAGCTGACCCAAATACATTCTGACAGTTCAGGTATTTAGATGTAAAATATTTAGAGGCATGTCTGCTTTTTGAGAATTAAGATGGAAAACGTAGAAGAGGGGCGAAACAGCCTGCCTTTAAGACTGATATATGTAAATGAGCTCCATTCTGATTGGTTCTCCTTCGCCTCAATCAAAAAGCAGTCCAGACTAGCACATTACTTAAAACTTCAGCATGAATGAGTGGAGCTAAATTACTGTGGACTGAATATGTAGGTGCATGTAAATATACCTACATATTCAGTCTACATAGTCATACATATTTTCATGACATCACAAAACAATCATTTCAACATGGGCTGTTTCAATTTTCTGAAAAATCCTATATTTGGCCATAAAAACTCCAAATATTGTAAAATGCGCTATGCTAATATGCTAAAATTGCTTGGAAACAGCCTTCAAGTTGTTCGAATCATGTTTATTTGCAAGTTTATTTACTATTTTTACAAGTGTACACATTCTGACAATATGTGATGTAAAAAAAGAGAACGATAGCAATTAAAAACTAAACTAAAATAAAAGTACAATAAGAAAATAACTTCAAAGTAGCTTTCCAGTAAAAGTAAGAAAAATAATAGATGCTAAAGTGAAAAAGTAAGTTTTAACTGTTTTTTAAATCAGTGATAGATGAAGCCTGGGGAATATTTAATGCTAATGTTTTCCAGATCTTTGGTGAATATGTATCCTCTTGATGTCCAAAGAAATACATGTATCTTAGCAACTTTACAAAAGAATGCTGCAAGTAAAAACATAGCATAGCATTGCTGGTCACCAGCACAACCACCATATGTTGTGTTTTGGATGCTGGTTTTGGACACTAGGTGTCCAGCTACACCAATGGGCAAACATGAATGTTTGATCCAAAAACATTTGTGAATGTGGAGGCAAGACATAAATATTAAGCTAGTCAGCTACAAAGAACAAACAAATAACGTTATTAACAGCTAACACAAATTTGAAATTAACATTTTAATGAAGATAAGAATGACTGGGTCTTTGTTCCTAACAAAATACCATTTTTTTTTGCTCTTTGCTCGTGGAAATTGGAATGTGTAAAATGATCATGTTTTCAATGCTAACTACGGGAAAAACAGACTTGAAGTACACATTAATTCCAATTTGGACACATTTTATTTCCAAATATTTTACAAATCTTAAACTATCCAAATGTTTTATTTAATATATCAGCATGAAGATTCACATCCCGCTGCTTTTAAAACTGATAAATGATGAAATGATGATGATAATGATGAAAGAAAAAGAAAACCACACAAAAAACAAAGCAAACAGTAGCTGATGTTGGTGTTTCAGTGAAGTACTACAAAAAAAAATAATAATAAAAATAATAATTACAGAACTACCTTCTCTAAGACACAGTTTTACCCTGAACAAAAATCGTCCTCAAATGAGGAATAGTACATATGGTGTACCACCAGAGACATTCTCAAACCCACCATACTCCAGAAAGTGGATTTAAATGATTGTATATAATCACAGAAAAGGTGAGAAAATCAGTGAAATAGTTGGTGAAAAATGTCATTTACACAATTTTCCCCTTACACCATAATGTAGTCAATCAGCAAAGACGCATTTGGTGTGCTTCTTTTGCATTGGAGCTACGAGGCTAATATAGCTAACAAGCAGTGGAGGCTTATGTAGAATTAGCCATTTAGCATCATGAAAACTGACTGCTAAATCAACTGACCTAAATCATTTCACTTACCTCAAACCATGAAAGGTTGTTCAGTAATCTCTACTTGACATGTTTATGTGGTTTCTGACACTGTATGACACAGTTTTTTATAAAAATGGACAAAAGTATGTAAGTGTCGCTAAAAACAGTAGCACAAGCCCCCTACCTTTGTCCGTCATACAGAATCAGGAACCACCTAAGATAGTCTACTGTGTGAACTGTTTTGCTAAACTCTTCTTTCAACACATTTTCTGTGGTTCAATACAGGTATTTTTTAACCTTTTTTAGAAAAAGCCTCAATCTGCTTCAAAAAATGAAAGCAATGATGGCCAGTTTCATTTTTCCCTCACGTTGTATTCTTCAAATTCTTACAAAAAGGTACTCTGAAAACAGAGTTAAGTTTGAGGTGAATTCCACCGATATTTCAGAGTGGTTTAAGGCTCATTGTAGAGAAACTCAGATGTCTTTACAGTGGTGGTGATGGGAACCAGGGGTCACCATGTCTACAACACAAATATAGCTATTTTATACCTATAAGTATCTTCTGAGGTTTTATATGTAATGCTGATGTGGGTAAATTTTGCCTAATAATGTCCTGAATGTACCCCACCACCATGAATGTATTATAAATACGTTTTAGACCATCTCTTAAAAACTTTTGCAAAACAGACATCAGGCGGTCTATTCGTAAGCATTTAATTTAATAAGAGGGCTGTTAGAGGTAGACGTCTGGTTCCCATCACCACCACTGTGAATAATCTTTAATGTATGTTTCTCTAGAACAGAGCATTTCACACCAAACCACTCTGGATGACTTTGTTTACATCTTCAATTATGCAGATATTTTGAAGAAATGGTGGAACAGCAGTGTATTCCTCAAACCAATCACACATTTCAGCAGATTTCACCATTCTCTCAGCAGGCACTATTTCTCAAACATATGGAGCACAGTGTAGCTTCTCGGTTCAGTCATCCAGTACAGTTTTGTGTAGTCATGGGCTTCACAGCTCTGAGTGTTTGCTCTGGTTGTCTAGCTGGGCTGGTTCCGGATGGTTCTTGTCTAGCCAGGCTTGGAGCAGCGGGAGGTTTTTGTCCATCCAGCGAATGTTCTCCTCCACGTTCTCCAGAGCCTGCTGGATGCAGCGCAGCTCAGCGCCCGTCTCAGCAGTTAAGGAACTGAAGAATTCCTGAATCTAATGCACAGAAGAGACAAATGTTACGGCATGTAGCGTGTAGCACAATGGAGATATAACCATAATTACATACATAATCATCGTGACACTCGGTGGTCCATGCAAGCAGCATAACACTCACAGATTATTCCATTAACAGCACAAGGATTTTTCACGACGTGGCGCAGTGATAAAAACCTCAGTTGCTGTGAGGCGGTCATAGTCATGTATTTTACAACAGCTTCAAACACGGCTCAGCCAATATTTTAGGACCGGAACTATCCACTTTATAATAGATCTTTTTTATCTAGCATAAGAAACACATACCATAGCAATCCACATTTATCAGTGTTGGATAATATGGACAAATACATTGCTGTAAGACTTTTTCGGCCCTAGTAGAACCTGGATCAAACATTGTGATACGCACCTCTTCCAGCATCTCTCTGGTGGAGTACTGACTGGTCACACCTGTTGCCATGTGCGCAATGGAGTGAGAACCGAGGTCAAACCTAAAGACAAAGGTCATGGTGGAGGGACATTAGCAGGCTTTTCACATAATTCAAAGCCTATATTGGCCTATAAGGATGTCACTGAAAAGAAATGGTTTGATGAAAATTCTAATTTAAGCATTTTCCACCTTTACACCCAATGTAGTTGAGCAGACTAGACATATTTGGTGTTACATCTGAGTTACGAGGCTAATGTAGCTAACAAGTAATGTAACCCCTAATGCAAACTGTGTGCCTAAATCATCCCATATTTGCCTTAAACCATGTTGAGTTGGTCAGTAATACCAAATAGACTTACTTTGGCATATGGTTGTCTATAAACATGGGGGAAAGTATGTTACTATAACTAAAATATGATATTGAAGATTGTATTTTGTCTGTACTTTTGTTTCTTTGATTAACCTCTCTTTTGGGGAGAACACTGTAAATTAGCTTTTTCTTAGTCAAACTATCACTTTAAAGCAAAACATTCAGTAGCTCAAACTTCTAGACAGGTGCTTCCACACAATGTTTTCACTCACTTCTTCACCAGCGAGTGCCAGTTGGCCCTGAGGAAGTCCCAGGCGTGTTTATAGCCTTTAGGGTTGTTGCTGACTGATGTCACAACATACGGAAGATCCTGCGTCTTCATCACCGATCCCTCCAAACTCTGCTTCATCATCCTACAGCGAGGGAGAAAAGAGGAAGGTTGTACAGAGTTATAGGAATGTGATGCTAACAAGACTATGTGACTTCTTACCAGCTTCCTGAACAGTCTCACCATTTGAGTTTGTGAGCGAGCGGAGAGGAGGACAGGGCAGATTTGATTCGGCTCTTTAGTGACGTAGAAAGGGACTCGCGGTACTTCTCAAACAGGAAGTCCCAGCCCTCCTCAGTGCGAGCACCAACCCTAAACACCGCATGGCTGACATCAATAGCGAGACTGTGAAGGAAAAACAGAACATTATCATCACAGACAGATGTTTTGGCCATTATTCATCAAAGTTGAGCAGGTTTGACTGCGTTGAATGACTTAATGTATGAAGGTTTCTGCATCTGATTCATCAAACTTTCATACAACACGGAAACAGTGGAGATTTCAGTGCAATCAGCTTTAGCTTCATTCAGCTTCAGTGCGAGAAATCAAGTGCCAGCCTACACTGAACTTGCTGATGCTGTTGCTGATTTTACAAGACCTCAATGTGTACAATGGCTCAAGTCAAGTCAAAATTTATATAGTGCTTTTACAGCAGGTGTCCTCACAAAGCAGATTTACAGAAAATCCAGGTCCAAGTCCCAGTGAGCGTCACCGGGGGTTACAGTGGCAAGCAAAAGCGTACCATTTTATGTAATTAATTTCTTTAGGCATTAAACTCTGCAGACATATACCAATATAGCAAATCAATTATAGTACATGATTCTACTATAACAATATGGGTTGAAAAGTGGAGAAGATAAGGATAATTTCAAAAGTGTTGGTCTCTGACCTCATGTTGCCATTGGACTCCTTCCACTTGTTGAAGAGCTGGGTCGCGGTGGAAACGGAGGGCGGGTGACTCCTCACGCAGGCAAAGAGGAGCAGGTAGCTGCGCAGCATCCTCTCAGAAACTGAACCATCATCCGTCCACGTCTGCCGGTCTATGAGCTCACGGAACAGGTGCATGATGTAGCCCTGAACAGGGATATTAAGAAAATGATAAACAGTCAATACTTTTAAACTGAGAGTCAATGCAAAATAATATTAGGAACTCTAAACTTATACTGGGTAGGGCCTCCCTTTGCTCTCAAAACAGCCTCAATTCTTCATGCCATGGATTCCACAAGACGTTGGAAACATTCCTTTGAGATTTTGGTCTATGTTGATATGACCGCATCATGCAGTTCCTGTAAATTTTTCAGGTGCACTTTCATGATGCAAATCTCCTGTTCTACTACATCCCAAAGATGTTCTTTTTTAATCAGATCTGGTGACTGGGAGGGCCACTGAAAAACACTGAGCTTATTGTCACGTTCAGTTTGAAACGAATTTTGCTTTGAGACAGGGTGCGTTTTCATGCTTGAAGTAGCCATTAGACGATGGGTAAATTGTGGCCATGAAGGGATGCACATGGCCAGCAACAATACTCAAATAGGCTGTGGCATTCAAGCAATGATTGATTAGTATCAAGAGGCCAAAAGTGTGCCAAGAAATTATTTCCCACACCATTACACCACCTCCACCAGCCTGGAATGTTGACACAAGGCAGGTTGGGTCCATGGATCCATGCTATTGGTGCCAAATTCTGTTCCCTATCATTTGTGTGCATCAGCAGAAATTGAGATTCATCAGCCCAGGCTATGTCTTTCTAGTCTTCAGCTGGCCAGTTTTGGTCAGCCTGTGCCCACTGCAGCCTTAGCTTTCCACAGAAGTGGAACTTGACGTGGTCTTCTGCTGTTGTAGCCCATCCACCTCAATGTTTGAGGTGTCGTGCATTCTGAGACGCTTTTCTGCTCAGAGTGATTATCTGAGTTACTGTAGCCTTTCTCTCAGCTCAAACCAGTCTGGCCATTCTCCACTGACCTCTATTATCAACACGGTGTTTCCATCCACAGAACTGCCAATCACTGGATATTTTTCCTTTTCTGAGTAAACTCTAGTGAGTTTTGTGCATGAAGATCCCAGGTGTTGTGGCCCGTCTACTTGTTTCAATTAGCTACAATTGGGAAATAATATAAATAAATACTACACTACAGTAGCTATAAAAACAGCCTTTATTACCCCTTTCTATTCAGAGATTGGACTTTCGAGAAAATTTACAGCTCTTCATAAGCCACTGCTGACATCGAAACAGCTTCTTCCATATAAAAATCCATTAAAAATGACATAAATACAAAGTTCTTCCTATGTCTGACCTTCATCTGATTCTCCAGTGCCTCCATGTCCCTTTTCTCCATCAGTTTGTAGAGCGGGACGAGCTCACTGAAGCCCTGCATCACAGGCATGATCTCCGTTTCATGGCTCAGATACAGCGACAGGTCCAGAGCTTTGTCCAGCGGTAGCTTCCCCACACTGACCAACAAGAGCAAAGGTTATGTGAAAATATATAATCTGGATACAGTTTAAGCCGACTCAAATATTATTAGTTTATACTGCACAAATCTTCACTAAGCGAAGAGCAAGAACAGTTTTCTCAAGAGAAACCCAGAGAAATGAGTTTTGAATTATAAATGAGATATCTGCATCCAAGAACACCTGGCCAAGCAAAGCCACAGCAGATGGCTAACCTGACCAACTGGAAGACGCTGTTGATGAGGCTGGCCCGGTCGTTGCTGCTGAGGGCGGTGTGGTTGTGTTTAAGCAGAGTGATGAGGTTGTCCCAGCCCGACCCCTCATAGTGGACGATGTAATATCCGCTCATGTCCACGTTAAACTTCACCCAGTCTGCCTCTTCAGGCAGGTACAGCACATCTGAGAGAAGCAAGAGACATTTTTTATTAAGAACTAAAATGTTGGCACCTTTAAATGAACAAAACTTGATTAAATCTAATTGAAGTTGATTTTAAATTGTTTGATAGTTTTCCAAACATATAGTTTTGGCGAAATGCCTCAAATGCAGTTGATCAGCTGCAGCTATGAGGCTTATGTAGCTAAGAAGTAACGGAAGCTTATGCTGCACCAAAGAGCACAGTGCCTAACATCACACATTGGCCTCAAACCACGTTGAGTTGTTGTTAAGTAAAAAATTTGGTGGTTTCTGATATTGTATGATATGCTGTTATCTATAAAAATGAACAAAAGTACATTAGCAGAGCTAAAAACGGTAACAGCAGCCATTTTAAAGCCTGTACTTTTGTCCATTTTCTGCTGAACTATTTAGAAATGTTGAAATGCAGTGTTTGTGTTGTTAAGCAGAAACATCTGTACACACCTGTCTTAGTTTTCAGGAGAAACCGATGGATGGTGGCCGAGTTACTGGTGATGTAGGTCAGCGGGACGTGCCAAAGAAACCTGTTTCCAAAAAAAGTTCAGTTACTACTGCACCATACAAACAATCACGCACCTGACTAAACATTGAGACCTGTATCCAAGCGAATTCAAATTTAAATTTGAAAATTAAATGCTAATTTTGCAATTGCATTTGCTATATGAGTGTGCATTATTAAAGACATAATTCAATTTAAATTTTGCATTTGCATTTCTGTGTGCAATGACTGAAAATTTAATATGGAAAAGCAAAGGACTTTTGACATTTCATTTTCATTGACTTCATGGTCCTGACATTAAAAACGGAATAACAATCACTATTTACAATTGTATTTCCTGCCAAAATTAAGATGTTTGCAATTGCATTTCCACTGTCAACAAGACGCTCAATTAAACGCTGTGGGTGGGACATTAAGACGGACTTTTTAGTGCAGTGTGTGCTTTAAGAGGACAAAAAAGTCCGACCTTTGGCGGTTCTGGGGTATAGTAAGATTACGGAGGAATATGGAGAATACGGAGGTAGCCATAGCAACCGCTGCGACGGACATTTAACGCAAACCAATCTGTGATTTCCTGTTTTGTGTGGAAGTGATTCTTGACTGACTAGGAGAGCTTGTGGCTGCACAAAGACCATTGGCATTCATTACGTAAATATAAAATTAATAATGTAAATATATATTTAATAGCAATAACTCTAGACTTCTAATGTTTAGCATATCCAGCTAACTGAGATTCGCTGTTGGGTCTCCTCTTATTACATGGTGCGACCAAGATGGGAGGTTGAAGACTAGCATGAGACGTGTATAGTGGCACCACATCATCTCAAGATGGGAGGTTGGTACACTTGGAGGAGAATGCTAACTGCTACTTCTGGTACATCAACCAACAGACACCCATGTTGGCTAGCATTGCGCTTAGTGATGGGGGAAAGGGATGGTCATCATTATGCTCTATTGTACTCCTGGCTACAGATGGCTACGACATCATCGGAGATGAAATCCGTGATCTCCTAACGACAGAGTGAACGCTTAGAGGGTATAACTATATCTCTGCCATATTCACCCAGAAGTTCGGGAGGGGTCCTCGGCCTTTAGGTACCGCTCCTGGCTCAGGCGCACTTGGCGACCCTTGACATCCACTGTGATGAGGGGGAAGCCTTCCTGCAGTGTCCATGTCTCCATCATTGCCTTAATGTCCAGCTTGCCCTCAGAGTGCTGCTTCTGGTAGAAGACATTAAATACATTTAATAAATTAGTATGTCATTTTACACAATGAACTATTGTAAGTTTATACACTGTAAATTGAACTTTAATAAGATATTGGTTTACAGACCCGTGCTACAACACCATAATAACGGAGCAATCCTACGCACAAAAAAACAGTTTACGCACATGTTGATTACAGAGGCATTATTAAAGGAGAAATGGTAACGATTGGATAAGACATAAAAATGTCAACAAACAATGGTAACAATAAATGACAACAAACTGTCCAATATTAATCTGTATATTCTGTCCACTTTATGTCTAAGGAAAAGCCAAACAAAGAAAATGTGTACACAATTTGTGAAAATTACATTTTAAACATAAAGCATTCTTAGTACTATAGGTAGATTTAATGGAAAGCTTACAGCAGCAAAATTCACTTCATTTAACTGCTTATACATAATCAAATCCTACATTAGTGCTGAAGTAATTTCTAGAGTGAGACTAGGATTTTAGAGTTTAAAGACTAGGAAAACTTTCTGATTATGTAGCTTGAAGGTGTAGCAGTGGTTCACGGCACAAACTACCTATGTCACAAGCAACCAATGGCACAGGCAACTCACTACACAGGCTACCAACGGCACAGGCTACTCACAGCACAAGCCACCGACGGTACAGGCAACCAACTACATAGGCTACCAATGGCACAGGCTACCAACGGCACAAACTTCCGACGGCACAAACTACCGATGGCACAGGCAACTGACTACATAGGCTACCAATGGCACAGGCTACCAACGGCATAGGCTACTCATGGCACAAGCTACTCATGGCACAAGCTACTGACGGCACAGGCAACTGACTACATAGACTACCAACGGCATAGGCTACTCACGGCACAAGCTACTGGCGGCACAGGCAACCAATGGCACAGGCAACGCACTACATAGTCTACCAACAGCACAGGCTATTCATGGCACATGCTACAGACAGCAAAGGCTACCGATGGCACCAGCATTTTTCCCAACTGGTTTATGTTTTGCTGATCTTGTATCTTTAAACATAAAGGCTACAGCAGTTAAAATTGGTTGATACCACAGGGAAGAGTGTGTGATTTATTTGTGTAATGCACGCTGGGTATTGTAGTGAGAGAACACTGATAGATGAAAACATGCAAATGACACAAAATCAGGAATTCTGTCAAATCTACAGTGACTGAGGCTACAGAATACTGCATAACATGACAACATATTAAATAGTAAGTTTCAGGCTGGAATGTCCTACTGTGCAAGTGTTAATGTGTAATACATTTACCAAAACATGCACTTACAGTGGTCAGACTTTCCCACAGGTGAGTGTTGACCGTGTTCTGGTAGCTATATTGTTTCAGATACCGAACGATGCCAGATTTAAAGTCATCAGGGGTCAGGAACTCCCTCAGCATGTGCAGAATACAAGCACCCTGAAAAATGACAAAACAAATTGCAAGCTGTTTGTATAATGCTTAGTGGTGGATACTGACTTGCATTATTTGCGAAAGTAAATATGTGTTGCTTTCAGTAATGATACACATGTCCACAGCAACTCAGACCATTTCTGGCTTATGACACACCCACTTTGGTTTGTAATGAAAAAGAATGTATTAAAAAAAGTAGTGTTCAGGAATTGGTATTGAAAGTAATGTACTGGTATTGTTATAGATATTGAAAATATTTACACAATACCCAGCCCTAGCTACATTAGCCTCGTAACCAAAGAAGCAAACTTCAGGGACCAAACATGTTTTGGTTTTGATCAAGCACCAGTTGGCTATAAGGAAAACTGTGTACATTTGATTTTTCATTGAAGTTTCACTTTAAAATAACATCACTTTCTTCTGTTGTTGTACCTTTTCATAAGACACGTCATCAAACATTTCCTGGATCTGAGCTGGGTTCTCCACAGGGGTGGACACAGGGTGGGAGGAGCTTAAAGAATCCACGTTCATTGCCTCAAAGCACTTTCCCAGGAAAGAGTCCTCCTGGAGTGTGTGAACATACAGACAGACAGAAAAGAGAGGCTTTCATTTAGAAATCACAGCACTTCTTGCTATTCGTCATTGCCTCAAGCCTTCGGTTTGTTATCAGTGCCCATCATTTTCCTCAATAGCATGAGGACACTAAAGTCCTCAGTATGTTTCTGAAGGGTTTTATGAAATTCAGTGTGAAAATAGCGACCCAATCTGGCATCGAAACACTATGCTAACCAAAATAACTCTGACCTCTCGAGATGTTTGGGTATGAAAACAAATATTATATTCTAAGATACAACATAGCTATGATAAGAATGAAAGAATCCACCTCAAGGTTTGACATGTTGTGCATTCTGAGATGCTTTTCTGCTCACCACAATTGTACAGAGTGGTTATCTGAGTTACTGTAGCCTTTCTGTCAGTTCGATCCAGTCTGGCCATTCTCTGTTGACCTCTTTCATCAACGAGGTGTTTCTGTCCACAGAAACACCACAGATGTTAATTCACTGGATTTTTTTTTCCTTACTTGCACCATTCTAAGTAAACTCTAGAGACTGTTGTGTGTGAAAATCCCAGGTGATCAACAGTTGTAGAAATACTCAAACTAGCCTGCCTGGCACCAACAATCATGTCATGGCTAGAATCACTGAGATCATTTTTTTTCCCATTTCTGATGGTTGATGTGAACATTACTTGAAGCTGCTGGCCCATATCTGCATGATTGTATGTACTGCACTGCAGCTGCACAGTTGGCTAATTAGATCATTGCATGAATGTGTAGGAATATGAATGAGTTCCTATTAAAGTGCTTGGAGAGTGTACAGCTATCTGGTAGAATTAATTTTTGTGTTACTGTACATGGTTGGTAAGTGAGCTATATTGCTAACTGCACCAAAATGGTTTTGTTCATTGCTGATTTTCTAGTCCAGTCTTGGTCATTCCTATTTCACAAAGTGGCATGAACTGCAAATTTCTAGTGTTATTTAGGCTTCAGAATTCTATTGTTATTATATGTTTTTTGTTGCTATACCATGTAAATGTAATTACACAGTTAATTACAAAGTTAATTACACAACACAAAGACGGTATAGTTTGAAAGTTTTGAATCCGCACTTTTGACAGGATTTCAATCTTTCAAAGAGCGAGAAATAATTCATATAAAATGACACCATGCTTTTGTCATAGCCAGCAGTAACTGCAAATTCTAAGCAAACAGGTGCTGTGGTTTAAAAAGAATAAATAAAATATGCCTCACCACTTGCAGCTCAGGGTTGGTGATGTTAACAGACACAAATTCCATGAATTTGGCAAATCCCTCCTTCAGCCAGAGATCATTCCACCACTCCATTGTCACCAAGTTACCAAACCACTGCCAAAACCAAAAAGCCTTTTTTTTAAATATGCCACTGCTGTTTTGCTGGTGTGTTTGATCCAATCAAATCCAATCCAATCAATATTTTCATATTGCCCACGCTTCATTTAAAAAAAATACACACAGAACAGATCATGGACTAGGGCTACATTTCCTGAAAGCATCTTAAGCTTCTTAAATGGTAGAGCAAGCATCACACTGGACACTGTCTTTACCAGATAAGATCTTAACATTAAAATGCAACTGGGAAACTGGGCCCTGAACAGTTTTATGGTTCTAACCTGGTGGGCGAGCTCATGCGCTATGATTGTAGTGATGCCCAGCTTGTTGGAGGCAGAGGACTTCTGGGGGTCGAAGAGCAGGGCGGACTCTCTGTAAGTGGTCAGTCCCCAGTTCTCCATAGCACCAGACTGGAAGTCCGGGATTGCAGCAAGATCTAAGAGGAGAAAGAGACACATGGTGCTACAGTAAATGCAGAGTGATCTGCCCAAAACAAATCAGTCTGAATATACAATTGACAAAAAAATGTCTGGGTAAAGTTACAATAAATTTAGTTCTTTAGTAACTAGAAACTTTATTATTGTAGAATAAATTTAGTTCAGTACTATAGCATATAACCCACAATACAATGTAAGTCAAACTAAAACACAAATAGTAGGTATAATAAAAAATAAACAAATAACATAGCGGTCTGAGACAGCTCCTAACCTTGTTTAGGGAGAGGGTAGGGAATGTCAAAGTAATCATCATAGAAGTCCAGCAGCCTCACTGCAGCGTCCAGTGCAAACTCGGCCTGGTCTATCTTCTCTGGTATGGTGTACACGGAGATCTGACCACAGCCACATCAACAACACAGCAAATAAATAACACTGCTAAATATCCAGAAAATCAAAGTCATGCTGATGAAAGTGCAGAACTGTAAGGATATTTTGCCTTCCTTTCGAGAACACCCACAAAGAGGCCTCAATTTCAATAGTAAGTCTTCTAGATTTTCAGTGACGAGTCTTTCTTCAGTCTGGTAAACTGACCCATACAGTCATAAAGGTTCCCACATGGTTCTTAGCTTGGATAAATGGTTCTAGGACAACAATCTTTTTTTTTTATTTTCCTCAGTTTATCGTATCCAGTTCGATCTACTAGTTAGGACTCCCCCAATCACACAATACCACTAGCGCTAGGAGGGCGAAGGCTAGCACAGGCTTCCTCCGGGACCTGTGAAGCGCCACCGCATCTTTATAGTGCAGTAGTCGCCAACAAACCTCCTGGAGATCTACCTTCCTGCAGGTCTCACCTCCAAACCAAATCTAACACACCTCCTTCAGCTAATCAAGGTCTTCTGAAGGCAGCAATCAGATGGTTGAGGTGGGGTTGATTAGGGTTGGAGCTGAAGTCTACAGGTCAATCTCCAGGAGTAGTGTTGGTGACCACTGCTATAGTGTTTCTGAAATGGAGAGAAGATTGACTAAGGCAGTTCAGACCTTGACACCATGCTCAGTGTTCTTGCTGATGGAAAGGAAGTCACACACGATGAAGGCCACCAGGTACGTGCTCATCTTCACAGTGATGTCAAACTGGTCCTCAAACAGGCTATCAGGAAGCGCCAGCGTCCTCAGCTGGGAGAAAATAAAACCTTACAGATATAGAGCAGCATTCAGACCCTTATCTTATTATATGTATTATTACATTATATTACAGAGCTTCATGTATTGTAAGGTTTGAATAAGTTTTAAAAACCTGTGTCACATAAATGCATCAGTTAACAGGAACCCCTTAAACAAGAAATTGTAGTGATTCCAGACTTCAGTTGCACATTCTTGTAACTACAAAATTTACATATAGTTACATAGTTTCATAATAGATATTCAATCATTTTAGCAGTTACTGGGTAATAAATCTTTGGTTGAAACAGATGTCTTTGTCGTGGGTTTTTTTTTTTATTTCTGCCTAATTAAATCATTAAGATGTAAACAAAGTCATTTGGAGTGGTTTAATGTGAAATGCTCCATTCTAGAGAAATTTACCAAATTAGACTTGTGCACAGTGGTGGGGATAGGAACCAGATGTCATAAGTGTTTAAATGTCCCCTCACAGAAAGTTATCACACAAAATTTTCGTCCGAGACATTGTTTTACAATAGTTTTGAGATAAGATTATGGACTACAACTTGTTTAACAGGTCAAGGCATAAGGCAAAAGAAAATGTATGTTTTTACCACTATTTTACCATCATCAACATTACATATAAAAACTCAGAAGACACATGTAGGTTCACTGGTGGTTTTGGATAGTAAATAAAATGGCTATAATTGTGTTACAGATATTGGAACCCCTGGTTCCCATCACCACCACTGTAAAAATATCCGAGAATTTTGGAGAAATGTTGAAAAATCTATGAAATAATAACAGAAAAGTAAGCCAGTCTGCAATTTGATGCATTAACAGATTTAGCTACATTATACCATACATACATAGTAATTCATTCTTGCACAATCCCCAGGTAAGATACCCAGCGCCTGACGATGTTTATGGGTCGTACCTTTGGCATGTTGGAGATGGAGATGTGTCTGCTCTCTCTGCGGATGCGGATGGAGAAGTTAGCTTTGAAGGCCGGCTCATCAAAACAGGGGAAAGCTTCACGAGCACTGGTCGGCTCAAACTGGGTGGAGGCCAGAATCCTACAAACACAAGCATTAGTGTAATGAAAATGTGTAATTATTGGATGTGCGTCACATCTATGCAGGGTTGGGATGTAATGGAATACAAGTATTGGGAATACATATTCAGAATACAGAAAGTACCAGATACTGTATTCAGTATTCAGGCCGTATTCATAATACAGTTACTTTTTAAATTTTTTTATCATTTTTTCTGTCCCTAATGTAGCCTGGAATTCAGGTATAGATGCCTGTGGGAAACCATGAAATGGCAAAACTACTACATAAATAGAGGTATCATTACGCACCTAGAATGCACCCTAATCCATACTTATTCACTCTTTCTTTTGATTGGGCCATGTTGATGTGTAAGGCTCCTTACCTCTCATCTCCTTTCCTGGTCCGGTATGTGCTTTTGTAAAATCCGTTGAAGCTCTCAGAGAGTTTGGCTACAAACTCCAGCTCGATAAAGTAAATGCCACCCTTCTTCAGCACTGTGCTATCACTCACAAGAGCGATTTGCTGGTAGGCCGGATACTCCAGCACCTTCACAATCTGACCTTCACCTTCAGCTGAGCCCAGCAGTGCTGCCTTGGTAATGTTGAGATCTTTGCTGTGGAGTACAATGGTGTTGGTTTCTTCATGGACCTCCACTTGGATCTTCACACTTCCAGAAAAGTCTAAGCTAGTGAGATTGGGGTGGATGAGGAGGTCATAGTGGAGGGGCGACACAGCCTGAGGAAGCCTCATCTTGTTCCATGGGAACGGCTGTCCATTGGTTGCCTTTGGGAAAGAAGGCTCATCTTCTCTGCTGGCATGTGGAACTCCAGCTAAAGCTGTTGTAACCCATACAAGGAGAGCTAAGATGTACATGGCCTACAGGAAGACAGTCAGGAACTGCTGAGACCAGAAGGAGACGTAAACAAAGACTACAATTAGTGGTTCACAGTGTATGGAAAATTTAATGCAGTCAATTACATTCTATTCCTTATTTAAGCAGGCTAACGTTACATCGACATTGTATTCCGTCTAATTTGAATCAGATGGGCAGAGGTGTGCTCCTTAGCATTAGCATTAGCATTAAGCATGACCTTTTTCAACCTTATCCTATGAATCAAACAGGTAGTTTTTGTTACTGTGCTTTTAAGATGTATATGTAAATGAGCTCTATTCTGATTTGCTGCCCTGTATTGTACCTTGATCAGACAGCAATGCAGGCTGAAACACTTTTTATAACTTCAGTGTTAATAGGTGGAACTAAATTGCTACTGAGCATGCATGTATATATAAATGTGTTGCTTTTCATGACATCACAAAAACAATTAGGAAATATGGCTTAATTTCCATATATGGACTGGGATTTAATGGTATATTTTGTAAATGAAACAATGTGTACATACAACATTATTATTATCCTTTTTTTAAGTGAGGGAAATTCAGTTTTCTATATGAGCACTTTGAGCATTGATTTACTGCTACCCTTCTTCTTTTAATCATACCACTAAACTTTATCCAACAACTGTGAGGAAAATACAGACTTAGGTGCTCTGAATTTGTAACTTTAGCTCACATTTAACTTCCTTTTCCTGCACATTTGAATTGTAATTGTGTGATAAAATATCTACTTTCACATTCAGGCCATATGGAAGTGCTGACTGACTGACTGACTGACTGACTGAACCGAACAGCCACAATGACACAGCGAATCTGTCTACATTTCAAACATGAAGGGCTTTTTGCGGACCCTAATCTCAGACCAGCTGCTCTACAGGTTATTCTACACAATATAACGACAGAAATATGATTAAAATCATCAATATCACTCACTGCAGTTTGTCTGTGAGCTGGAAGTGAAGTAAGCTGATAAAGGAAAATAGTGAAAGTGAAAATAAACACAGCGCTGAGCATCATGGGAGGATAAAACATGAAATATAAATTAATATTAAATTAATATGCAGTACTGTGTTATCCATGAAGTTATTTTCGCTAATAAAATGTGAAAATATTAAAGCAGAATCTGTGCATTGTGCGTTTAAAAAATGAGTGTAAAAAGCGAAGCCGCCATTTTGGCTTTCAAAATAAAAGTCACAATTTGACTACAATATGTTCTGACAGTTCAGGTATTTAAATGTAAAATATTTAGAGTTATGGCTATGCTTTGGGAACTCAGATGGAACAAGTTTTACTACACTGTTCTGAAAAATCAAATCCTGTGTTTGACTATAAAAACATATGCTATGACATTTTCTGATACAACTCTATGTTCTCATGGCCCCTTGATTTAGCCCCAAGTTGCCACAGTCAAGTTTCCTCTAATATGAGAAATAAGACTAAGATCCTTACTTCTAGTATATTTACAAGAGTATATATTCTGATATTACAAGATGATGATAATATTAATTATATTAATAATGTGGTGTCCGGTCAGATTGTTATGGCTGCTGTTGTTGTCGCTGGTTTAGTTTGTAGTTAATTAGAGTAATTGTAACTGAGGAGGGGGGGTTACAGTATGTTGGAAGTGTCTACGCTCCTCAGATGTCGTGTCCTCCCATGTTACCCCTCCCTGTGTTATGTGTTGGGGGTGTGCTGGGCTACCTGTTGAAGTGCCTGTTCAAAATAAAAGAGCATTTGTCCATAAGCACAATGTTCTTCGCATCTTCTTCTATGCTGACACTACATTAGTGTCAGAAGTGGGATGTGGCTGCTGAGTTGGAAGAAGTTGAGCAGCACATCAACAAACTCAAAGGCAGACAGCAAAGAAGATATGGCCTGAAGGAAGGGAGTATATGCATATATATGTATACAGATTTTGATAGCAAACATTGACATTTTGCCTCAGTTTTGTTAGTCTACGTGTCTCCACCCATTTTGGGGAAGTGGTTGTGATTGTAATTGTGTTTAAAAACAGGCTAAAATGTATATGTCTGACAGGAATCTGCCAAGACAGAATATTTAAAGGGATTTTCCGTCTGACTGTGCGGTGTCAGTAACTGTGTGAGCAGACCCTCGTTCACTGTCAGCTTGAGTCGTTTGTTTATTAGCGTGGCAGGGAACACTCAGCTTACGTCGCATGATATCAGGTGGTATTAGATGTTGGTATCTGTGCATTTTTATGAGTACGAGTAAATGAGCATGACTTGAGCGCACATTAATTAAACGTTTTATTTCCAAATATTTTACAAATATAAACCCATCCAAATGTTTTATTTCATATCTCAGCATAAAGATTTACATTCCAGAAGGTGCTTTTAAAACTGATAAATTAAGAAAACTGAAAGAAAAAGAAAACCCATAACACATAAACAAGCAAAAAACAGTAGTTGATGTTGGTGTGTCTCAGAGACGTATGACAAAAAATAATAAATAGAAAATTAAATAATAATAAAAGCTACCCAGAACTATGTTCTCTACAACACAGTTTTACCCTGAACAAAATTCATCCTCAAATGAGGACCAGCACATGTGGTGTACCACAAGAGACATTTTCAACCCACCCTCCTCCAGAATGTGTATGTTAAAAGCCTGCATTTCATCACAGAAAAGGTGAGAAAATCAAGAACAGTTGATGAAAAATCACATTTTGCTTCTTTTTCACGGGAGATATGAGGCTAATGTAGCTAACAAGCAATGGAGGCTTATGTGTAATTAGTCATTTAGCATCATGTAAACTGCATGTCTAAATTATTTTAAACTTGCCTCAAACTATGTGGATTTGTTCAGTAACCTCTAACAGTCTTCTTTATGCGGTTTCTGACATTGTATGACACACTGTTATCTATAGAAATGGACAAAAGTATGTTAGCATAGTTAAAAACAGTAGCACAAGCCCATACTTTTATCCAGCAGTCTGTCATACAGTATCACAAGCCACCAAAGCTAGTCTACCGTGTGAATGCACAATTAAGCATTTAATATAATAACTTTCTGTGAGGAAGCTGTTAGAGGTGGACGTCTGGTTCCTATCACCACCACTGTAAACAATTTTTACTGTATGTTCCTGTAGAACAGAGCATTTCACACCAAACCACTCTGGTTGACTTTGTTTACATCTTCAATTATGTAGATATTTTGAAAGAAATGGTGGAATTGTTAAGAACAGCAGTGTGTCCCTCAAACCAATAACCGTTTCAGCAAACTTCACCATTCAGCAGGCATTATTTTAACATATGGAGCACAATGTTCGTAGCTTCTTGGTTCAGTCATTCAATACAAGATGTTGGCTCAGGTCAGGTCAGGTCTAGTGTGGTCAAGGTTTTCACAGCTCTGAGTATTTGCACTGGTCGTCTAGCTGGGCTGGTTCTGGAAGGTTCTTTTTCAGCCAGGCTTGGAGCAGAGGGAGGTTCTTGTCCATCCAGCGAATGTTCTCCTCCACATTCTCCAGAGCCTGCTGGATGCAGCGCAGCTCAGCGCCCGTCTCAGCACTTAAGGAACCGAAGAATCCCCGAATCTGATGGATGGAAGAGAGACACATGCATTATAGTGGAGATGGGTGAAATAACCATAATTACTGAAATCTTCAATATTAAAAATGCATGTTTCAGGTATTTTGATTATGCAGTTCTGTTTCTCAATCTGATATTATCAGCAAATGATTGAGTTTTGAGCATCTGCTGTTTCAGTACACTAGGTGGCACTGTGCACCTTTTACCTGGAAAGAGCAGAAGTCTGGCCATTCACTTGTAACAGAACAAACTAACATGAATTATTGTAAATATGCGTCTCAAACCTAAAAGTTGTACATGAACGTCCGATCTAGTCGTGATTACAAGAGGAATCTTTGGAAACAACTTGGTTACCTGAGTTTATGACTTGCTACTGACCTTTACTCTTTTATCATGGCAAAGAACAGCATGGTGTCAATGATCGATTGTTGGTAATTCTTTATTGCAACTTACCTTTTACAGTTAAGTCATAGACATTTGCTTACAAGTGTAAATACAGAATGCATTACTTACACTTTTTACAAAGGAGGAAAATCTTAGCAAGTGCCCAAAGTCGATCAGGTTAGTTAAGAGGCTAACGTTAGCGGCCAAAGTAAGTCTTGCAATGGTTTCCTGATATGCTCCTTATTTCAGACTACAGCATATGAGCATATGAGGGCAGCATTAGGAGAGTTAGCTAGCTAGCTATACTTCAAGTGTTGAAATTTCTTCTCATTTTATGTTCTATAGTAGACAGATCATTTCATATATTACACCAAAATAGATCTTTTTTTTTTATCTAGCATAGGAAATACATATAATAGCAATCCACAATTATCAATATTGGATAATATGGACAAATATGATTTTTTTTTTTGACCCTAGTACAGACATTTTGATACACACCTCTTCCAGCATCTCTCTGGTGGAGTACTGACTGGTCACACCTGTTACCATGTGCGCAATGGAGTGAGAACCCAGGTCAAACCTGAAGAAAAAAAAGTCATGGTGGAGGGACATTAACAGACTTTTCACATAATTCAAAGCCTATTGTCAGGATGTCACTATGAAAAGAATTGGTTACGAAAATTCTATTAGACAAAAATTCTAATTAGATGAAAATTCTAATTTAAGCATTGTTTTTTTTACATTGGAGCAAATCTAGCCAACAAGTAATGCAAGCGTATAACCCATCATTGAAACCATGTGCCTAAATCATCACATACTTGCCTTAAACCATGTTGAGTTGTTCAGTAATATCAAATAGACTTACTTTGGTGGTTTCTGGTACTATATAGCAAGTATGTCAAACTAGAGACCTTCCAGGTCAAAGTCCTGAGGAGATCAGCGTTTATCCTCATCTAACACTCAATTCAATTCATGGAGGTCTTGCTAATTAGCTGAATTTAATAAGGCAGTGTGCTGAAGTCCATCCACTCACTTCTTCACCAGCGAGTGCCAATTGGCCCTGAGGAAGTCCCAGGCGTGTTTATAGCCTTTAGGGTTGCTGCTGACTGATGTCACAACATACGGCAGATCCTGCGTCTTCATCAGCGACCCCTCCAAACTCTGCTCCATCATCCTACAGTGAGGAGAAAAGAGGAAGGTTGTACAGAGTTATAGGAATGTGACGCTAACAAGACTATGTGACTTCTTACCAGCTTCCTGAACTGTCTCACCATTTGAGTTTGTGAGTGAGTGGAGAGGAGGACAGGGCAGATTCGATGCAGCTTTTCCTTGACGTGGAAAGGGTTTCGCGGTACTTCTTGAACAGGAAGTCCCAGCCCTCCTCAGTGCGAGCACCAACCGTGAATACTGCACGGCTGACATCGTTAGGGAGACTGTGAAGGAAAAACAAATGGAACATTTTCATCACAGACAGACAGACGTTTTGGCCCTTATTCACAAGTTGAACAGATTTGACATTTCATGACATATGAAGTCCTCTGCATCTGATTCATCAAACGTTTGTACAACATGGAAACAAGTGGAGATTTCAGTGCAGTCAGCTGCAGCTTCAATCAGCTTAAGTGAGTGAAATCAAGTGCCATCCTATACTGAAAAAAAAGTCTCTGAGATTACGTGACTCAAATGTGTACGTCGGCTCAAGTCAAGTCAAAATTTATTTATATAGTGATTTTTACAACAGGTGTTCTCAGAAACCAGATTTACAGAAAATCCAGGTCCAAGCCCCAGTGAGCATCGCCAGGAGTGCCAGTGGCAAGGAAAAGCTTTACCCAGGCTTAAAAACGGAACCAGTCCTACTCTGGTCGACACCAGGTAGTAAGACAATAACACAAAAAGAACAATATGAATAGAAAATAAGATTTGACAATTAATATACAATTCTCCACACTGTTAAGTAATAACAGTTACATTACTTTGGTTTGAAAAAGTAAGTAAAGCAAGTATTTAGTAATTATGTCAATGTAACATATTTCATTCATGTGGAGCCAATGTACAGATTTGAATCAAGTAAATTTAAAGCAACCTTTTTTGTTTCGATGTACGAGTACCTCATCCACATCTCATTTAGATAAAACACACCCTGATTCAATCAATTTTTTTGGTAGGCAATAAATAGTCTGCACTCATCATGAGCCAATGCTTCTCAAACGCTTCTCTTTCTGCAGTGCATGCTGAGTACTGTATTGAGTGAACACTGATTGAAGAAAACACAAAAAGGACACATCTTGTGAATTCTGCCAAACTGATGAGGCTGAGGAATGCAATGCTCTACTAAAAACATTCCATAATACCACAAAGTTTCTCAAAATGTCTGCATAATTCGGTGCCTGACATGTAAATGTGGTTATTCAGAATGGTCTGATGTGAAATGATTAATTGCAGAGTGTCAGGTGTAATACCTACCTTTGTCACCAGAGGTCTCAGCCTCACCTGAGTACTGACTTGCTTCCTAGTTACACCTTGACCTCTCTCACCTGCAGCTCATTTACTTCCCTTTATAAGGACCTTCACTCACACTGGATCTCTGTGAAGTATTGCCAGTTAATCTGCATACCAAGCCTTGTTTCTTCTCAACTGTTGGATATTTTGGATTACCTAGACTTTTTTTTGAACTCTTGGGCTTTTTGATCTCCCCTTGGTACCTTTGCTGTTTTGTGATCTTTTCTGTTTTTTTGACTGTCTCTGACTCTGTTTTTTTTATCTTTTTACTGTGTTTTTGAGTAAATGGGAATTATGGATTCCAATCCGTCTGGAGAGTCTTCCTTACACAGAGATTCAGATTTCTATACATTGATGGTGACAGGAACCAAAACCACAATCCAAAACCACCAGTGAACCTACACGTGTCTTCTGAGCTTTTATATGTAATGTTAATGAGAGTAAAATAGTGGAAAATCTGAGAAGTTTTCTTTGAGGACTTTTTTTTTTTCCTCACACCCTACATGTACCCCTCCACCATGTATGGGTTTTTAAAGAAATCTGTTTTAGACCAAAACCTTCTCAAAACAATGTCTCCGCATACTCATAGCCATAATCTGTGTAGCTGGTTCCTATCAACATCACTGTGAACAATTCTGACTCTAGAATGGAGCATTTCACATCAAACCACACTGAATGACTGTTTACAACTTAATCATTTACTTATGCAGGAATCCCCCTTTAAATAATATAGCAAATCAATTGCAGAATAGGTTTATGAGTAGGGGTGCAATGGTGCGTGTCTTCGTCCCAAACTGCCACGGTGCGGACATTATAGTTGAGTGCATGCAGTCGTACGGAGAATACACTGTATATGCAAAGACTGATGAATGTCATGCAGAGCCAAATTGCACAAGTGCGAGTTTCACCCAGAAATCTTAAGCTGTAGGCCGTTAGCAAGTTAGCAGTGGCAGTCCGTGAAACTTAGTGCCAAATGATTCAGTTTATCAAGGATTCATAATTGCAGCAGCTCATAACTGAGTTTGAAGTGTTTGAACAGTGAGTGAGATGTAAAGAAGGAAGCCATTGAAGTACACTTAAGAAGGGGTATAAAAAAAACACTAGCTGAAATTAAATGAACAAAACAAGGCTCATCACTATCCACAGCCTCCAGTATTTTTGCACCTGTGAAGAGATTCAGCACAAAGCCTTATGAATTTTTCCTGTTTTTCTCTGCTCCTAACTACACAATCACAGCCGAAGCGAACAATCACTGCACAAATGAGTTAACGTTAGTGTCTTTCCCCATCGAGTGCAAATGATCCACACTACAGACTGTACCAACTAAAGTTACCTTAGGGGAGGACTATACTACATTATGTGGGGCAAACTGTAACTTGCACTACTGTGTGTTCAAAATAAAAGAAACCTAGCCTCATGCTTTTGGGTTTTGTTGCTTTTTTCTGTTGTACTGAAATTATACGGAACTGTGATGTCCAAACTGTGTGAACCAAACTATGACTTCTGTGTACTGTTACACCCCTAATTGTAAATAAGGGTTAAAGAGCGAAGAATATAAGGATCCTATCATAAGAGCTGATGTCTGACCTTATATTGCCGTCAGACTCCTTCCACTTGTTGAAAAGCTGGGTGGCAGTGGAGACGCAGGCCGGGTGACCCCTCAAGCAGGCAAAGAGGAGAAGGTAACTGCGCAGCATCCTCTCAGACTCTGAACCGTCGTCAGTCCACGCCTGCCGGTCTATGAGCCCATGGAACAGGTGCATGATGTAGCCCTGAACAGGGATATTAAGAAAATAATAAACAGTCAATACTTTTAAACCTCCATATACACTCACTGACTACTTTATTAGGAACACTATCCTAAAACTGGGTAGAGCTTCCCTTTGTTCTCAAATCATCTTCAGTTCTTCGCGGTATAGATTCCTCAAGATGTTGGAAACATTCTTTGAGATTCTGGTCCATGCTGTCATGACTGCATCATGCAGTTCCTGCATATTTTTCAGGTGCACTTTAATTCTGCAAATCTCCTGTTCTACTACATCCCAAAGGTGTTCTACTGAATTCAGATTCGGTGACTGGAAAGACCACTGAAGAACACAGAACTTAAGCAGACTTAAGTTTTTGTACCATAGTGCATTTTCATGCTGGAAATAGCCATTAGAAGTTGGGTAAATTGTGGCCATGAAGGGATGCACATGGTCAGCAACAATACTCAAACAGGCTGTGGCATTCAAGTGATTATTGATTGGTATTAACAGGACCAAAGTGTGCCAGGAAAACGTGTGCCCACACCATTACACCACCTCCACCATCCTGGAATGTTGACACAAGGCAGGTTGTGCCCATAGATTTATGCTGTTAGTGCCAAATTCTGACCCTATCATTTGTGTGCACCAGCAGAAACTGAGAATCATCAGACCAGGCTATGGTTTCTAGTCTCCAGCTGTCCAGTTTTGGTGAGCCTGTGCCCACCGCAGCCTTAGCTTTCTGTTCTTGGCTGACAGAAGTGGAACCCGACGTGGTCTTCTGCTGTTGTAGCCCATCCACCTCAAGGTTTGACGTGCTGTTCATTCTGAGATGCTTTTCTGCTCACCTTGATTGTACACAGAATGGTTATCTATGTTACCGCAGCCTTTCTGTCAGCTCAAACCAGTCTGGCCATTGTCCATTGACCTCTATCATCAACAAGGTATTTCCATCCACAGAATTGCCGCCCACTGGATGTTCTTCCTTTTTCTGAGCAAACTCTAGTGAGTGTGGTGCATGAAAATCCCAAGTGATCAGCAGTTACAGAAACACTCAAACCAGCCCATCTACTTATTTCAATGAGCTACAAATAATATAAATAAATACTAATAATAGTAATTATTTAAGTAGGAAATGCATTTTAATGCAATCTAAAACTAGATAGCTATAAAAACAGCTTTTATTAGACCTTTCCTCCTCCGTATAAAAATGTTCCATAAAAAAAGTGCCTTCCATGACTGACCTTCATCTGATTCTCCAGTGCCTCCATGTCCCTTTTCTCTATCAGTTTGTAGAGTGGGATGAGCTCACTGAAGCCCTGCATCACAGGCATGATCTCCGTCTCGTGGCACAGATACAGCGACAGGTGCAGAGCTTTGTCCAGCGGTAGCTTCCCCACACTGACCAACAAAAGCAAGGGGTATCTTGAAATATATAATCTGGATACAGTTTAAGCCGACTCCAATATTATTAGTTTATACTAGGCAAATTTTCACTAAGCAAAGGGCAAGAACGATTTTCTCAAGAGAAACCCAGAGAAATTAGTTCTGAATGAGAAATTCGTCCAAGAACACCTGGCCAAGCAAAGTCCAGCAGACAGCTAACCTGACCAACTGGAAGACGTTGTTGATGAGGCTGGCCCGGTCGTTGCTGCTCAGGGCGGTGTGGTTGTGTTTGAGCAGAGTGATGAGGTCGTCCCAGCCCGACCCCTCATAGTGGACAATGTAATATCCGCTCAAGTCCACGTTAAACTTCACCCAGTCCGCCTCTTCAGGCAGGTACAGCACATCTGAGAGCAGCACATGAGTATTTTTTATTAATAACCTGAAATGTCGGCACCTTTAAATGACCAAAATGTGATTACATTTAGTTGAAGTTGATTTTAAATTGTTTGATAGTTTTCTAAACATACAGCTTTGACGAAATGCCTCAAATGCAGTAAATCAGCTGCAGCTATGAGGCTATGTAGATAAGAAGTAACGGAAGCTTATGCTGCACCAAAGAGCACAGTGCCTAACATCACACATTTGCCTGAAACCACGTTGAGTTGTTGTTAAGTAATAAATTTGGTGGTTTCTGATATTGTGTGATGTGCTGTTATCTATAAAAGTGAACAAAAGTACATTACATAGCAGAGCTAAAATAAAGCCTCTACTTTTATCCATTTTCTTTGCTGAACTATTTAGAAATGTTAAAATGTAGCGTTTGTGTTGTTAATCAGAAACATCTGTACACACCTGTCTTAGTCTTCAGCAGAAACCGATGGATGGCGGCCGAGTTACTGGTGACGTAGGTCAGTGGGACGTGCCAAAGAAACCTGTTTCCAAAAGAAGATCAGTTACTACAGCACTATACAAACAATCACACCCTGACTAAACATAGAGACCTGTATCCAAGACTATGGCAACATATTCCAGACATTTTGCTGTACAAAATGTCCAGCAAATTGTGTTTTTGTCATTGCATTTCCCTAATTAGCCAATGTTTCCAAAAGTTTCAAAATTCCAATAAGTTTGGAGTGTGCATTATTAAAGACATAATTCAAATACTGCATTTGCATTTCTGTGTAAAATGGCTGGAAAAAAGTTAATATGGAAAAGCAAAGAACTTGTGACATTTCATTTTCAGTGTCTTAATTGTCCAACTCTGAAATATTAAAAAAATGGAATAACAATCACCCATTGGCAGTTGCATTTCCTCATCGTCGCTCTTCTGTCAAAATTAAAATATATATTTGCAACCCTGTCTGCAATTGCATTTTCACTGTCAACAAGGCACCCCAATCAAATGCTGGGAGGGACTTTTTAGCGCCAGAACTCTGGTGCATGGCTAGATGCTCGTTTAGAATATGGAGGTAACCCTAGCAACCGCTGCTACAGACATTAACTCCCATCCCACCATAAATCCTTACAAAGTTATTTGTTGTTGTTTTGCATGGAAGTGATTCTTACTAGTGCTAGCTAGGTCTCCATTCACCACACAGTGCTACCAAGCTGGGAGGGTCAAGAATAGCATAAACAGCACCACATCTTTTCAAACTGCTGCTAACACAACGTCACAGGACAGCTACATACACTTGGAGGAGAATGCTAACCGCTAATTTTGTTGCATCAACCAACAGACACACATGTTGGCTAGCATTGCACTGAGTGATGGGGAGGGTCATCCTACCCACCCAGAGAGGCAGAAAGGAAAACTATACTGTCCTGAACTCTCGGTTACGGATGGCTGTGGCATCATCTGAGATAAAACTTGTGATCTCCTGACGACAGAGCGAACGCAGTGAATAAAATCTTAGCAATAAATAAAAAGTAAAATATAAGGGTATAACTATAGCTCTGCTATATTCACCCTGAGGTTCGGGAAGGGTCCTTGCCCTTCAGGTACCGCTCCTGACGTAGATGCACTTGGAGACCTTTGACCTCCACTGTGATGAGGGGGAAGCCTTCTTGCAGTGTCCATGCCTCCATCATCACCTTGACATCTAGCTTGTCCTCAGAGTGCTGCTTCTGGCAGAAGACATTGAATAAATTTAATAAATTGCTATGTCATTTTACATAACAAAGACAATCATCTCCAAGGGAGATACTGAGCATATCTGATTGTGTTTGATCAGTCAGATTAGTTTATATGTTTCAAAATGAACTTGATAAGATAGCGGTTTATAGAGCCATGCTACAACACCATAATAACTGAGCAATCCTACACGCAATATTTCACCACAGCTTACGCACATGTTGCTTACAGAGGTGATCCAACATTCCCTTCAGCTGGCCTGCCAATAGGCACATTTGCCAACACATGACAACATGTGTCTTTGGCTTTATTATAACCAAAATCTGGGGAGTTATTAAAACAAAAATGTTAATGATTGGCTAAGACATAAGAATAATAACAAACAGTCCAATATTAATCTGTATATTCTGTCCATTTTATGTCTAAGGAAAAGCAAAACAAAGTAAACAACAATTTGTGGTACAGATGAAACTCTATATTGTTAACCCCTTAAATGGCCAGTGCTCACCGGTGGGCCCAAAGCTGTATTACACAAGAGATTCGAGATTCACTCTAAAGGGGCCCTGAATATTCTGTTGTAACTCGCGTTAGGATGAAGCAATCTCAAGCAAAAAAACATGCTACATACCTTGACGTATGTGTAATCGATTGCATTACATGCGATGCTGTAAGTGATCTCTGTTTTCTGCCAGACACATGAAGGGGTACGGGGGTCTGCACCCAGAAGTTGCAAACGGAGGTTAAACGTTGCGACGGCTGTCCGGCGCCTACCTCATCGTTCCGACGCAGGGGCATCCTGGCTTGTCTGAAGCTCCATATACTGAGGAGCACATTTGGATTGCTTCGTCCTAGCGAGAGTTATTACAAAATATTTGGGGCGTCTTTGAGTGAATCTCCCTTTATAGAATAGTTCAGGCAGTTTGCACAGAAGTCCCTGTAGTTACTGAATTATAAGCCTTAATATGTAATAAGCCTGGGATTTTAAGGGGCAAATCTTCTGCAATGATCAGTTTGCCGAAAATGATAGTATGTTAAACATACAGCATTTTAGTACTATAGGTAAATCTGACGAAAGGCTTCCAGCAGCAAAAATTTGCTTCATTTAATTGCTTCTGCCTAATCACATCCTACATTAGTGATGTGGTAGTTTGTAGATTGAGACTCTCTGATTATGTATCCTGAAGGTGTAGCTGTTATGAATTAAAACCAACATCAGTGGTTTGACAGCCTATGGTTCTGTTCACAAAACAAACAATTCTAAGGGCAAATATTTTTTGTCTCTTAGAGTGTGATGTTCCTTGTTTGATTAAAGAACAAGCAGGCTATCGATGGCTTAGTCAAACCAACAGCACAAGCAACTGGTGGCACAAGCTGCCGACAGCACAGGCAAAACAACTGGTTAGTTTTTTTTTTGCATATCTTGCATTAAACATAGACTTAAACTTATGTGCAATAAAAAAAATCTAAGGTTCAGTTACGTTTTTCTATTCAGAACCATGATACAAACCGTATCGTGGCCTAGAACCCATGAACAGAACCAGATGAACAGTAACACCTCTAGTGGCTAGGCTACAGCAGGTAAGGTTGGATTGATACTACAGGGATTCCCAATGATAGTGTGAGGTGCTTGAAAACATGCAAATGACACAAAATCAGGAATTCTGTCAAACCTGAGGAGGTTGATGAACTACAGAACACTGCATAACACGATAAATAACATTAAATGCACTAGTTGGTTAACGTCAGGCTTGTCAATCCCTTCAAAGCCACCAAGCAAGTGTTAATGTGTAATAAATTAACAAAAACATGCACTTACAGTGGTCAGACTTTCCCACAGGTGAGTGTTGACCGTGTTCTGGTAGCTGTATTGTTTCAGATACTGAATGATGCCAGATTTAAAGTCATCAGGGGTCAGGAACTCCCTCAGCATGTGCAGAATGCAAGCACCCTGAAAAACGACAAAACAGATTGCAAGCTGTTTGTATAATGCTAAGTGGTGGATACTGACTTCGAGTATTTTCGGAAGTACATATATGTATTGCATTCAATATTGATACACAGGTCCACAGCACCTCAGACTCATTTCTGGCTTATGACACACCCACTTTTGGTTTGTAACAAAAAAAAAAGGTATTCACAAAATGGTATCGAAAGTAATGTACTGGTTTTGCTATAGATATGGAAAATATTTTAACAATACCCAGGCCCAGCTACATTAGCCACGTAACTAAAGAAGAAAACTTCAGACACCAAACATGTTTCTGGCTGATCAACCACAAGTTGGCTAAATAGAAAACTGTGTAAATGTGATTTTTGGTTGAAGTATCACTTTAAAATAACCATTTTCCTTCTGTTGTCATACCTTTTCATAAGAAACGTCATCAAACATTTCCTGGATCTGAGCTGGGTTCTCCACAGGGGTGGACACAGGGTGGGAGGAGCTTAAAGAATCCACCTCCATCGCCTCAAAGCACTTTCCCAAGAAATAGTCTTCCTTCAGCACGTGAACATACAGATAAATGGACAAGAAAGGCTTTCATTCAAAAACCACAGCATAAATCATTATTCAAACATTTGACTGTCATCTATTCTCAGATAAGGAATTCATGAAGCTGCTGTATGAACAGTTTAGTGCTTTCTTCCACCACAGATGGTAAAGACCAGGGAAAGTACTAAACTGTACAGGGCTGCGATACTGCAGGACCTGATCATGGCCGTAACTAGCTTTGACAACACAGAAGTCTGGAACTCAGTAGTGCCATTTTGATAATGTGCTAATGGCAAGTATCACAGGCATACTCAATCAAATAGGGATGTAATGAATCTTATTTAAGATAATGAAATTTCTTTTCGTGAGTGCTGTCACTGTATTGTGGTCAATCAAAATCATGATGGTCTCCACCAAGCTCTGTCAATTTTCTCAGCTCTTCTAGTCACTGCTCATCAACTGTTGCTATCCGCCATTGCCTCAAGCATCCAGTTGATACCATTACTCATCAAGTTCCTAGCATGAGGATACAGAAGTCCTTGGCAGTTTCAAGAAATTCAATGTGGAAACAGCGACCTACTCAGCAGTGACCAGAGCTCAGCTGACCTCAGCAGTGATTCAGCCATAAACCTCCTGCTATGTTTATCTCTTTACGAGATGCTATGCTAACCAGAGTGACTCTGATTTCTTGAGAAGTTCAGGTATGAAAGCAAATCTGTATTCTATATTCTACATCTATATTCTATATACAATACAATATAGCTATGATAAAAATATGAAAGTTTAAAATTGATAGATTATGCTTGTAAAATGTCATCTTCATCATCATCGTTAACTGCTTAGCCCCGATAGGGTCACGGTAGCAGTTGGGAGAGCAGAGAATCCCAGACGACCTTGTTCCCCACAGCTTCCTCCAGCTCATTCCCAGGGACCCCAAGCCGCTCCCAGGCCAATTTAGAGATATAATCCCTTCAGCGGGTCCTAGGACAACCCCGGGGCCACCCTGCAAAGAAAGCTCATTTCCGCCGCTTGTATTCGAGATCTCATTCTTTTGGTCATTACCCACAGCTCATGGCCGGTAGATCGACCGGTAAACAGAGAGCTTTGCCTTATGGCTCTGCTCCCTCTTTACCACTACAGTCCAGTACAGTGACCACATTACTGCTGCCGCCTGTCCCAGCCTGCAGTCAAACTCACGATCCCTCTTCCCATCACTCGTGACGCTAACACTGAAAGAGTCCGACTTAATGCCGAGTATACGAACACAGCTCTCACTCCGGGAATACAGAGATTGAATGCCGCGGAGTAGTAGCCTCAGCACCCCATAATCCCAGAGGACCTCCCACAAGATATCTCGGGGAACATGGTTGTAAGCCTTCTCCAAATCCACAAAACACATGTAGACTGGGTTGGCAAAGTCCCATGCCCCCTCAACAATCCATTGTTCCACGGCTGGGACGGAATCAGCAGTGACCTCAATCTGAGGTTCAACTATCAGTCGAAGTCTACTTTCCAGCACCTTGGCATAGACTTTTCCAGGGAGGCTAAGCAGTGTGATACCCTGATAGTTGGCACACACCCTCCGGTCCCCTTTCGTAAAAAATAGGGACCACCACGCCGGTCTGCCAGTCCAAGGGTACTGTTCCCGAGGTCCATGCAATATTGCAGAGGCGTGTCAGCCACGACTGCCCCAAAATATCCAGAGCCTTAAGCATCTCCGGACGAATCTCATCCACCCCTGGTGCCTTGCGACTGAAGAACTTGCCAACCACCTCAGTGACCTCCACCAGGGAAATGGAGCTTGACATGCCAGAAGCCTCTGGCCCTGACTCCCGTGAGGGAGGCATGTTTCCCAGATAAAGGAGTTCCTCAAAGTACTCCTTCCACTGACCGACAATATCCTCATTTGAAGTCAGAGTTTCTCCACCCCTGCCGAATACAGCTTGGGAGCAGCCACCCCGACCACTCCTAAGTCGCCGGACAGTTGTCCAGAACCTCCTTGAAGCCAACCGAAAGTCTTTTTCCATGGCTTCACCAAACTCCTCCCATGCCCTGGATTTTGCTTCTGCCACCGTTGCAGCTGCCACCTTTTTGCCTGTCGGTACCTATCTGCTGAGTCGAGAGTCCTTCGGGCCATCCAGTCCCTAAAGGCCTCTTTCTTCAGCTTGACGGCCTCCCTCACCACCGGTTTCCACCAGGGAGTTCTTGGGTTACCGCACTGACAGGCACCAACAAGCTTTTGGCCATAGCTATGCCTGGCAGCTTCCACAATGGAGGTTTTGAACAGGGTCCATTCAGACTCCATGTCCCCTACCTCCTCCGGGACATGAGAAAAGCTCTCCTGGAGGTGGGAGTTAAAATCATTCTGAACAGGGGCCTCTGACAGTCGTTCCCAGCACACCCTCACTATTCGCTTGGGCCTACCAGGTCTGACCCCAAGTCTTTCCTGCCATCTGCTCCAACTCACCACCAGATGGTGATCAGTTGACAGCTCAGCACCTCTCTTCACCCGAGTGTCCAGAACATATGGTCCCAAGTCAGATGAAACGACAACAAAGTTGATAATTGACCTTTGACCCAAGGAGCTCTGGTACCATGTACACTTATGAACATCCTTGTGTTCGAACTTGGTGTTCGTTATGGACAATCCATGCCTGGCACAAAAGTCCAATAACAATTCACCTTTCGGGTTTAGATCAGGCAGGCCGGTCTTCCCAATCACGCCTCTCCAGGTCTCCCAGTCATTGCCAAAATGAGCACTGAAGTCTCCCAGTAAGACTATGGAGTCTGTAGGTGGGATCCTTTCCAGAAGCCTGCCCACTCGCTCCAAGAAGGCCGAATACTCCGACCTGTTGTTTGGTGTATTAGTTCTCCTCTCTGCGATTTTAATCCGCATTGAGGTGACCCTCACGTCCACCGGGACAAACTCCAACTGCACTGCCGCCAGCCGCCTCTCACCTTGTGCAACCCCTGAGTAGGAGAGGGACCAACTCCTATCCAGGAGTTTGGTTCCAGAGTCGACACTTTGGGTGGAGGTGAGCCCAACTATATCTAGCTGGTACCTCTCAACCTCCCGCACAAGCTCCGGCTCCTCCCCCCAGTGAGGTTACATTCCACATACCAAGAGCCAGTTTCTGCCACAGGGGCCTAGGCCACGGGCCCCCCTGCAATCTCCCACTGCCTATACGGCACTGCACCGCTCCCCCATGCTGGACCTTGCGGGTGGTGGGCCCACATGGTCTCCCCACGTTGCCTCTTCGGGCTGAGCCCAGCCGGGTTAAGTGGGCTGCCCGGCCACCAGGCGCTTGCCGAGGGATGCTACCCCCAGGCCTGGTCCCGGTGACCCTCTCCCTGGCAGTGTACACGATCGTCTGTGTCCGTTTTTCATGGAGGGTTTTTGGATCGAGTTAGTCTGGGTCTTCACTCCAGACCTGTTCACCCTGGGAGACGCTACCAGGAGCATATTGCTCCCGACGACTTAGCTCTGAAGATCCCTAGACCACACAAGCCCTTCCGCCACGACCAGGCCCTGATCCAGGAAAGGGCTAGCCCATTCTGGGTTAACCACATTGTAAAATGTAAACCACATAATTTGTTTTTTAGTTGGACCACGCATTGCTATGTAAGTCGGCATGCATTAACCTAGCTCGAGTAGCTGCTCAGTTTTGGCTACGAGCTCTGCAGTTGGCTATATTAGCGATTAGATGAGAACTTAAAGTTTTGTGTTGCTATTCATAACATACAGCATGAGACAGTATTAATCAATAACTGCAATTCACAGTGCAAGGTTTTATGTCTAAACCAACAGGTGCTGTGGTTTAAAAAGAACAAATAAAAGATGTCTCACCACGTGCAGCTCAGGGTTCGTGATGTTAACAGATACAAACTCCATGAAGTTGGCAAATCCCTCCTTCAGCCAGAGATCATTCCACCATTGCATTGTCACCAGGTTACCATACCACTGCCAAAACAACAAGGCCTTTTTTTAAACATGCTACTGCTGTTTTACTGGTGCATTTTACAACACCACTTAGGTGTCATAATGTTTTGTCCCATTTTGCCCACCCTTTATTAAAAAATAATTACACCCAGAATGGGCTAGGGTTAGGTCTCCTGAAAGCATGTTTGATGATTCTTAAAAAGTAGAGCAAGCATCACAGTGAACACTCTCTCTACCAGTTAAGATCTTAACATTAAAATGCAATTGGGAAACTGGGCCCTGAACAGTTTTATGGTTTTAACCTGGTGGGCGAGCTCATGCGCTATGATTGTAGTGATGTCCAGCTTGTCAGAGACGGAAGACTTGTGGGGGTCGAAGAGCAGGGTGGACTCTCTGTAAGTGCTCAGTCCCCAGTTCTCCATAGCACCCGACTGGAAGTCTGGTATTGCAGCAAGATCTAAGAGGAAAAAAGAGATACACAATGCTAAAGTAAATGAGAGTGATCTGCCCCATCTAAATTTACAATTGACTGTATAATAAGAAGAAACTTATTTTATGGCCATTTTATTTATACTTAATTTATGGCCATTAAGTACAACTCATTCTTTTTTAGGAGATATTTCTTAGGGGACCAGATATAAGCATAAGGAAGAGGAAATGGGACACCCGCAAGACCTGGTAGACCACCAAAACTGCCCCCATCATATAAACAGCAATTAAAGCTTTCAGTTTCAGATCTGAAAAAATCCACAGGTGTTTTCATCCATCCTTCCACTGTGAGAAGACAACTGAGCGCTATGGGTCTGGAAGGGTGTGTATCTGTCAAGAAAATATTACTGAGGAAAGGAAGAGCATTTGCAAATCAAACAAAGAAGCTGTTGGTGTTCTCAGAACAATGGATTGACCACCCCAGAGTCCAGACCTCAACATCACAGCGTGTTTGGGATTACTTGGATTGTGGAAGGCAGAAAATGCAACCAACTTCAAACTTTGGAGGAAAAATATCCCAGCAGATTTCTTTGCACAACTGAAAGAAAGTCTCCTAAAAACAATAAAAGCTGTAATAAAAGTAAAGAGTGAACACACTGAATACTGAATAATCTGATAATTTTCTTTGAAATATATGTTTCATGCTTCTTTTACTGAAAGTGAAAAATGAATTATAATAAGAATATGTTCTTTTATATGCCATCAGTATTTTACTTATGTTTTTCACAGTTGGTCATTGTTCTACTCTTATGTTTTCATGGCATATTAAGCTTCAATTTACTGATATTCATTAAAAAAGGTAAACAGGAAAAAATTAAATTCAGGTCTATTCAATTTAAGACAAAAGAATAAAATGTGTTAGTGGTCGTAATGTTGCAATAAATTTAGTTCTTTTGTAACTAGAAACATTATTGCTGTAGAATAAATTTAGTTGTGTGATGGAGTGGTCACCCCATGCCAGTTTTGAGCTCCAGTGTCTGGGGTTGGAAGGCAGGAGTTTGGATGAGCCACCAGCCAGCAGCTGATTTGTACCCCGATGCAAAGCGAAAAACTCCAAAAATAAACTCAAAAGAAACCTAAAAAACATTTTTTAAAGAAAATATACATATATTTTCACTACTTACACTGTCAAAAGACTCGAGACTTAGTTTGTAAACCAAGAGCACACCAGAGGTTAGAAAGAGAAGTGTTTTTTATCCATATTACCAGCCAGACAGAGACACCAACTTGCAAGATGGTAAAACTGAACTCAGGGTGCAGTGTCTCCTTAAGTAGAGCTCACACAGGTGGTGCCAGCTGTCAGTGACTGCCTAAGAGGCTGCTCTGTCTGGTGGCAGTGACTGGTACCTCTTGTCATTAGTTGGGTGACTGCTCTCTGTGTCCCTCTGTCTGTAACATGACCTCATGTTTACTGCCCCCTGACAGGAGCCCCTCCTCTAGGAACAGCTGTCGATGTTCCTTCACTGGCCAAGCACCAATGCCTGAATAAGCTTGGGTTCCAGGATGTGTTGGCCAGGCACCCAGCACCTATCCTCGAGTCCATAACCCTCCCAATCGACAAGATATAGGATGCTACTGTGCACTCGGTGACAGTCCAGCGTGCATCAGAATATTGTCTGGGGCACTGACAATGAGGCGAGGGGCCGGAGGAGATTGAGGGGAGTGAGAGTGGGCTCCAAAGAACCGGCCTGAGGTGCAAAACGTGGAATGTCAGGTTTACTGGCATCATCAGAGGTAGAAGAAGGCTGTAGGTGACTGGGTTGACATGTCTCAGTATCTTATAGAGTCCCACAAGAAAGGGGGCCAGCTTTCTGGACTCAAGCTGCAATGGTAAATCCTTGGCTGACAACTTGATACATTGCTAAAGCTGAAGATGGGCCCCAGGCAGAAGGTGAGCCCCAGGCGGAAGGGTGGCCCCAGGCAGAAGGTGGGCCCCAGCCAGCGGCGATGACTGATTCGGGAAGCTGCATGCAGGGCAGCCTGGGCCTTCAACTAAGTACAGAAGCAAAGAGGTATCAAGTGCTCTGCTGCAGGGACCCCACCCTCCACCTCTTGCTCAGGAAAGAGCGGCAGAGGTTCCCCAAACTGGCACTCAAATGGTGACATCCCGAGGGAGGAGTGTCATCGGGTGTGGTGAGCATACTCTGCCCACAGGGAAATCTTTATTTACACTTTCTGTCTGCCCATCTTACTGCGGGTGAATCCTGATGACATGCTGACTGATGCTCTCAATAACTACCAGAATGTCTTCCAGAATCTACGGGCAAAATGGGGTCCCCTGTCAGAGACTAGGTCCTCTGGAATCCCATGGATTTTTACCACATGCTGCAGTAGATGTTCTGCAGTCTGCTTTGCCGACCGGAGCCCAGGCAAGGTCTTGTCTTAGGGTCTTTATTCTGAGCACAGGCTTGGCAGGCTAAAATGGGGAATTTCTGAAAACTCCAGGGTAACAGGTCAATTGAGACGTGTGCACCCACTGTAGGACCTGGATTCTCATCACTGCAGGGACATGGCTTCCCAGGGGGAGCCCCTCTTGAATCTGGCTTCTACTCATAATTTCCAGAGAATTTTGCACTGGAGAAAGTGGTTGGGCTCACCTCAGGTCCCAACTCCTGGGGTGAGACTAGCCATTTAATGACAGCTCAGGGCATTAAAGGTCAATCACAGTATAGATAGTGCTTCTCTCTCATGCAGGCCTCTCTCTTTTGCCAGGAGAGGCTTTAGTGCCGCAGCTGCATGGGCTCCTCTTTGCTTTCCACAGGGAATGAAACAGCTGGGGGAGTCTGGTGAGGGGGAAGCAACCTAAGAGTATGCTCATAGAGCTCATCAAGCATAGGAGCAGGTTCTCAGGTGGAAAGTTTATCCTTTATCTCATGCTAACTCGCTAACTCATGCTGGTAGACTGCCATAAGAGCTATAGCATTTCAGTCACTTTCAGCATTAAGGGTTCAAAACTCAAAACTACATCTGCAGCTGCTGCTTCAGCAATCACAGCTGGCTGGGCTGGCCTGTTTCTCTCAGCAACTGCTCAGACAATGATTGCAGCTGAGAGAGTATTTCGTGCGTACTTGCGGCCCCCTCGGTGACTAGGGCAGTTCTAAGCTACTGAATCTCTGCTGGGTCCATACTGTTGGCTCAGTTTTGCTGTGAGCAGTGCCCTTGCCACTGGGTGGTTGGCTGCTCCCTGTCCCTCAGCCAGCAACACAACCTTGTGTTGGCTGTCCCCTGACAAGCTATATACAACAGCATATATCCCACAATTCAATGTACCTTTACATAAATGATAGCTATTATAAAAAATAATAACATAGCAATCTGAGATAGCTCTAAATATATTTACCTAGTTTAGGGAGAGGGTAGGGAATGTCAAAGTAATCATCATAGAAGTCCAGCAGCCTCACTGCAGCATCCAGTGCCAACTCGGCCTGGTCTATCTTCTCTGGTATGGTGTACAAGGAGATCTGACCACAGCCACATCAACACAGCAAATAAATACTGCTAAATATTCAGTGCATTAAAATTATGCATATATATATTTGCTGATAAAAGTGCAGAACTGTAAGGACACTTTGCTTTCATTTCAACAACACCTATAAGGAGGCCTCAATTTTAAGCCTTCTAGATTTTTAGTGGCGAGTCTCTAATGAAAGTACAAGTTGTTCCAAAACTTTGTTAAGTCTTTATCTAAAAATTGGTTGGGTCTTGCTTTCTCAGCACTGATTATGCCTTGTTCTGGGCTGAAGGATTCTCTACTGATGAAAATACCTCATTAAACAGGCTTGGTAAACTGACCATGATCATAAAAGTTCCTAAATGGTTTCAGCTTGGATGAATGGTTGTAGGAGAAACTTTAGAATCTTTACATTATGTGGAGGCTCATTAACCTTTAAAAAGGTTCTTCACACTACACATCTAATTTACAAAACTGGGGCCATATTACACAAACATCTTCACTCTGAAATCTTATGTGTTTAGTCACCACTTCAGTTAGGACTGAATTTAGGACAATATTATTACAGTTCTTAAGTTCATTATTTTATCCTAACTTCAGATAAGAAAATAGTATTATAGAAACATTCTAACGAGACAAAATTTCCTAAATACTGTCCTAACTTTAAGATAAACCCAGTGGTGTCTTAACTTGTTTTAACTGTCCATATCTATCTATATCTAGTTTAATTTTTGCATAATAATGTTTAATGTGTCTATATTGCAAAAAGAGTTTCAGTTATGAGATGTTTTTGTTCTCTTACTCTGCCACACACTGGGATTAAGGCAGAGATGTGGACTGTTCTTTGCCATCACTCCAAACCACTTTCGGTATCTTTAATTTTTAAGAATGTATGATTATATTTGTTCAGCTTTCTGTGCTTAAATAAAATCAAACCACAAAAAATTCAGTTTTTTAACAGATATTGAAAGGATTCATCTGTATTAGGAAAATCACCCTGTGGAGTGCAGTAGTCACCAACCGCCCCCCTCCTGGAGATCTACCTTCCTGCAGGTTTCACCTCCAAATCTAACACATCTCCTTCAGCTAATCAAGGACTTCTAATTGCTTGAAGGCAGCATTTAGATGGTTGAGGTGGGGTTGATTAGGGTTGGAGCTGGTCAATCTCCAGGAGTAGTGTTGGTGACCACTGCTATAGTGTTTCTGAAATGGAGAGAAGATTGACTAAGGCAGTTCAGACCTTGACCCCATGCTCAGTGTTCTTGCTGATGGAAAGGAAGTCACAAACGATGAAGGCCACCAGGTATGTGCTCATCTTCACAGTGATGTCAAACTGGTCCTCAAACAGGCCATCAGGAAGCGCCAGCGTCCTCAGCTGGGAGAAGAAAAAATAAAACCTTACAGATACAGAACAGGATTCAGACCCATTTCTCATTATATTACATATCTTATTACAACATTACAAGGCTTCATGCAATATATAGCTAATATTTCCTATTAAAGGAACCTTTTGATGATGCTTTGAATACGTTTTGAAAACCTACAACTGCTTGGGATTTTTGGGGTGGGCTGTTTGAAGCATGTTTGCTAGCTTTCTAACATTAACATTAACTCCTTTCTGCGTTCACCAGCTAGCAAAAAAAAACAAAACAAAACCTATCGCTGTTATGGAAGAAAACCTCGTATCTCCAAAATGGTAACTTTACAGGAGAAGGATAAAACCTACTTTACTTTTAATGTAAGTCAATGGAACCAGACTTTTTTCCAAGTCATTTTGGGCCGTTTCTTTTTCCATTCAACATGAAATTTACACACAATGTAAAGGACAACAGGTATTTTCATGTGCACCCACTGTAGGACCTGGATTCTCATCACTGCAGGGACATGGCTTCCCAGGGGGAGCCCCTCCTGGATCTGGCTTCTACTCATAATTTCCAGAGAACAATGTAAAGGACAACAGGTATTTTCAAATTATGTCAAAAACGAGGTTTTCTTCCGACAGCAGTGATATACACAAAGGCAGCACCAGTGAGCTTCCTGTACAACCATCAAAAATCCACCCCAAAGTTGTTTTTCAAAACTTTTCAAAACTTCCTCCCAATTTCAAGGTACATCATCAGAAGAGGGTTTTCCTAGTCTGGTCGGAGTGTCATATAACTGCATCAGCTAAAACTAAACCCTTAAACAAGGAATTGTGGGTGGTTCCATATTTAAATTGCTCACTCTTGAATTTACATCATTTATATAGTAGTTTCATTATAGATATTGAATAAATTCTAGCAAATAGTTATACTAATTTCTCATCAGGATGGTAATAGGTGGTAATGATGTTTATGGGTCGTACCTTTGGCATGTTGGAGATGGAGATGTGTCTGCTCTCTCGGCGGATGCGAATGGAGAAGTTAGCTTTGAAGGCCGGCTCATCAAAACAGGGGAAGGCTGCACGAGCGCTGGTCGGCTCAAACTGGGTGGAGGCCAGAACCCTACAAACACGAGCATCAGTGTAATGAAAATGTGTAATCATTGTGGTCAGAGAACATGGTTCATTTTCAGTTCCTTTTTTAACGTGCCCTCACCCTCTTCAACTTACCACTTGGATGTGTGTCATATCTATGTTACACAAAAAAGGCCACTCATGGCAGAAGTGGAAGAGTGAACAGCATGGAACAGACTATTCAAATAGGAGACAACTGTATGCTAACTAGCCAGCTAGCAGACAAAAGTGATGAAGTTGTCTCAGCAGTCATGTATAACTGCTATGTAATTACAGCAGTTATACACAGCCTTACTTTTGGGTTTGAAAAGAGAAAATTTAGGTATAGATGCCTGTGGGAAACCACGAAGTGTCAAACCTACTATGTAATACATGATTAGACCTCTGTAGAACCAAAATATTCTTAACACATAAAATATTGAAAAACGCAGAATCAAAAAAATGAAAATGCATGTATCATTACACCCTGATAAGCACTCTATATTAGGATCCATAGTCAATCACTCATTCTTTTGATTGGGCCATGTTGATGTGTAAGGCACCTTACCTCTCATCTCCGTTCCTGGTCCGGTACGTGCTTTTGTAAAACCCGTTGAAGCTCTCTGAGAGTTTGGCTACAAACTCCAGCTCAATAAAGTAAATGCCACCCTTCTTCAGCACTGCGCTATCGCTCACAAGAGCGATTTGCAGATAGGGCGGACACTCCAGCACCTTCACAATCTGACCTTCACCTTCAGCTGAGCCCAGCAGTGCTGCCTTGGTAATGTTGAGATCTTTGCTGTGGAGTACAATGGCATTGGTTTCTTCATGGACCTCCACTTGGATCTTCACACTTCCAGAAAAGTCTAAGCTAGTGAGATTGGGGTGGATGAGGAGGTCATAGTGGAGGGGCGACACAGCCTGTGGAAGCCTCATCTTGTTCCATGGGAACGGTTGTCCATTGGTTGCCACTGGAAACGAAGGCCCATCTTCTCTGCTGGCATGTGGAACTCCAGCTAAAGCCGTCAAAATCCACACAAAGACAGCCAAGATGTACATGGCCTACAGGAAGACAGTTAGGAACTGCTGAGACCAGAAGGAGACGTAAGCAAAGACTACAATTAGTGATTCACGATGTATGGAAAATTCAATGCTTTTTCAATATTCTAACTTTCAATACACTGAATTCCTTATTTAAGTAGGTTAACATTGACATTGTATGCTGTCTATTGACAAATGAAATTTTGGTTGCTAATTTCAGATTGGCAGAGGTGCTCTCTTTAGCATTAGCATTAGCATACAGGATGAACATTTGCCAACCTCTACTTACTCTTAGAATCAAACAGGCTGTTTTTATTACTGCGCTTTTAACATGTACATGTAAATGAGCTTGGTTTTGATTGGCTGACCTGAATTGTGCCTTGTTCAGAAAGCAGTCCAGGCTGAAACACTTCTTATAACTTGTAACTACAGACTGAGCATGCAGGTACATTTAAAGGTGTTGCTTTTCATGACATCACAAAAACAATTATTCAGTATGTAGCTGAGTTTTTCGTGATATGGGCCCTTTAATGTTTTGCCATAGTACAAAACAATATTAAGCATTGAGTTACTACACTTTTACTTTGTTTAACCATACCAGTAATGTTTATATATACAACCCCATTTCCAAGTTGCAATGCAATGATGTGCAAATCATTTAAACCTTATATTTCATTGAAAATAGTACAAAGAAAACAAATCAAATGTTGAAACTGAGAAATTTTATTGTTTATTGAAAAATATTTGCCCATTTTGAATTTGGTGCCAACATCACATTCCAAAAAAGTTGGGACGGGGGCAACAAAAGGCTGGTAAAGTTGTGTAATGCTAAAAAAAAAACACCTGGTGGTTAAGTGGCAACAGGTCAGTAACATGATTGGGTATAAAAAGAGAGGCTGAGTCTTTCAGAAGTAAAGATGGGGAGGGGTTCAGCACTCTGTGAAAGACTGCACGATGAAATAGTGCAACAATTCAAGTATAACGTTTCTCAATGTAAAATAGCAAAGAACTTTTGCTTTTCATCATCAACGGTACATAATAACTTTAAAAGATTCAGAGAATCTGGAGAAATCTCTGTATGCAAGGGACAAGGCCAAAAACCAGTATTTGCTGGCCATCATCTTTGGGCCCCTCAGACAGCACTGCATTAAAAACAGACATGATTCTGTAGTGGAAATCACTGCATGAGCTGAAAGTGAGCTGAATGAGTTTTCTGCATTACGAAAACCACTGTCTGTGAAAACAGTTTGTCGCTGCATCTACAAATGCAGGTTGAAGATAAAACAAAATATAAACAGGATCCAGAAATGCTGCACCTTCTCTGGGCCCAAGCTCATTTAAAATGGACTGAGGGGAAGTGGAAAAATGTCCTGTGGTTAGATGAATCAACATTTGAAATTCTTTTTGGAAATCATGGACACTGTGTCCTCCGGGCTAAAGACCATTCAGCTTGTTATCAGTGCACAGATCAAAAGCCAGTATTTATGATGGTATGGAGGGCATTAGTGCACATAGCATGGATGATGTGCACATCTGTGAAGGCACCATTAATGCTGAACGATATATACATGTTTTGGCAACATATGCTGCCATCCAGACAACGTCTTTTTCAGGGAAGGCCTTGATTATTTCAGCAAGACAATGTAAAACCACATTCTGCATGTATTACAACAGCAACAGCTCCGTATTAAAAGAGTCCAGACCTGTCTGCAGTCCAGACCTGTCACCCATTGACAACATTTGGAGGGTTATGAAATAAAAAATATGACAAATAAGCCCCTGAACTGTTGAGCAGCTGAAATCCTACATCAAACAAGTGGAGAAACATTTCACTTTCAAAACTACAGCACTCGGTCTCCTCAGTTCCCTAACACTTACAGAGCGTTGTTAAAAGGTGATGAAACACAGTGGTAAACAGGCCCCCGTCCCAACTTTTTTGGAACGTGTTGTAGGCATCAAATTCAAAATGGGCATATATTCTTCAAAAAGCAATACAATTTCTCATTTTCAACATTTGATATGTTGTCTTTGTAGTATTTTCCTTTAAAAATATGGTTCACATGATTTGCACATCATTGCATTCTATTTTTTTTTTTACATTTTGCACAGTGTCCCAACTTTTTTGGAAATGGGGTTTTATATCCAACATAAATATAGCTGTAAATGCTTTACATTTGTAATTTACCTAATACTTTATCTCACTTTCCTGCACATTTAAATTGTAATTTTGTGATAAATATCTATTTTACACATCTTTATCTTTATAGCATCTAGTAAGGAAGCTGCAAACTCCATCTCGTTGTACTTGTGCATCTGCAATGACAATAAAGATATTCTATTCTACACATTCAAAACATATGGAAGAGCTGCCTGACTGACTGAACTGAAAAAAGCCACAGTGACGGCTAATCTGTCTACATTTCAAACATGAAGGGCTTTTTGCGGCCCTAATCTCAGACCAGCTGCTCTACAGGTTCAATTATACCATTTAACTACAGGCGTATGATTAAAATCATCAATATTACTCACTGCAGCTCGTCTGAAGGCTGGAAGTGAAGTGAGAGCTGACAGTCCAAAACAGTAAAAGTGGAAGTAAACAGCGCTGAGCTTTTACATCATAGGAGGACAAAACATTAAAATATAAATTAATATTAAATTATCTGCAGCACTGCATTCTAAGTTTAGTCATTTTTGCTGATGAAATGTGAAAATATTTAAACAGAATCTGCGCGTTGTGCGTTTAAAAAGTGAGCGTGAGAAGCAAAGCCGCTGTCATGGGTTTCAAAATAAAAGTTTCGAACTGACTAAATTACTTTCTGACAGTTCAGATATTTAGATGTAGAATATTTAGAGTTATGGCTATGCTTTGGGAGTTAAGATGGGAAAAGTTTTACTACACTTTTCTGAACACTCAAATCCTGTATTTGGCCATAAAAATATCATCTAGATAATGTCAATAATACGGTAGCATAGGTGTAGAGCAGGCATGTCAAACTGGGGACCTTCTGGGCCAAAGTGCTGCGGAGATTAGCGTTTATCCTCATCTAAAGCTTTGAATTCAGTTCATGAAGGCCTTGCTAATCAGCTGATGAGCAGATGTGTTTAATGGGGCAGAGTGCTGAAGTATGAGGTGTTTTGGCCTGCAAGGACTGGAGCTTGGCACATGTGGTGTAGAGGAAGATGCAGAAAACATTGGGCATACTGGCAAATGCTCTTTTAATGCTCATTTAAATAACAGGTATTTCAAAAGGCGGCAAGAAATGCCCAGTATGGCAAACTCAGAGAACTACTTTGCATGGCCACACCCCCTAAGCTCCTCACGGCCACGTGGGGCCTGTGGCGGACACCACACAGCTTCCTCTCCAAGGTGCATCCGTCCCAGTGATCCACACAGTCCGAACAAATTGCCCGGAGTCCACAGTTCTCTCCCTGGACCACATCCTTGGTGCAGCGGCTTCTCGGCGTACCCCTCACCAGGTGCGCATCTCTCCATCCACAGACAAACACCAGCTCTATGGGCATTCTATCCATCAGTGTGGCGGAACTCCTGACAGCATGAAGTCTGATGCTTCTGGGGAGAATGGTAGCAACAGCGGCACTCTCTATTGTCCACTGCATCGCCAATGCTGGTGAGGGTGCTGCTTCTGTGCACTGCCCACAACCCTTGGGGATCCATATACTAGCGCTGGCACTGAGGGCTCTCTTCCAACATTGGTGGTTTCACCTGCAAAAAGCCATGGTGCCCTCGAACTGACAGCATACCTTGCCCCCAGAGGTCCCACAATCAGCTCTGACACTGCATATTCAGCGGTGGCTTCCTCCACAGAGAATGAAGGCCACAGTGCCAGGGAGCCGTGACTTTCTGCCTCAGCTCTGCTGCTAACCGGCGCAACCAGCTTTGCTTGTACCATCTCCAAGCCCAGCTTCCTGAGGTCAAACATGGCCCTGGCCGCTGCAAGGAAATGAAGCCCGAGTATGCATGCATCCTGTATAGGCGCGAGCCAGAACTCGTGCACTCAGCTAAGACCCCCCACTATGATCAGGAACCACCACCTCCCTCTCATTTTGACATTAACACCGATGAGCCAGTGTCAGTGAGGGCAGTGAACTGTTTTCCATCTAGGCTGCACTTGCACCACTGGCTTAGGCATTGACTGGCACCATGTTCCTTCTTCCTGCATCGTCAGCACACAAGTCGCTTGGGGGCCACTCGCCACATTGTCTCATCTTCAAGCTCCTCTGCTGTGTAGCACCGTGTTGCCCGCCTTAGCGTCTCTACGCCGAGGATGAGTTCTGCCCTCTCTGCGTCAGCAGCGGCTGATTGACGGCTGGCTGGTGTGGTGATCTGCACGTGCCAACTCTTCCTGCACAGCCTTCTCAAATGCCAGCTATGCCTGTCCAACCATTGTGCTCAGCTCTGCCGTCAGCATGCTTATCCACTCTCCCTATACCCCAAAGTGTTGCTGGAGGGCCATGATCAACATTGCTAGGTTGTCATGATGTTCTGGGTAGACACTTCCAACACACTGTAATCTACCCTTTCAAAAAATAATCTTAAAAAAAATTAAAAATAGAATAAAAGTAAATGAATAAAAATAATATGAAAATATTATAAAAGTATCATTCCAGTAAATGTATGGGAAATAATAAAAGCCAGATAAATGCCAAAGTAAAAAAATTCCATTTTTAACTGCTTTTTATATCAGTGATAGAAGGAGCCTTACGAATATTTACCGGTAATGTGTTCCATCTTTGGTACACATACACACCCTGCTAAAGAAACACAGCGTAGACAAGCATAAAGCTGGTTTATGCTGATTGGTTTGAGCAGCACACCAGCATCCAAAACACAACATATACATATGTACAGTATGTACATATCATATATATGTACAGTGTGTACAAATCACCACCGTCCATAGAAAAACATGTATCTCCAAAAATAGTAACTTTGCAGCAAAACCAGCGTGTTTTGGATGCTGGTGTGCCGGTCAACCAGCATGACCACACAGGGTGATCAGCTACTTCAGCACCAGATCAGCATAGATGAGCTTCATGCTGTTTTTATCAACATGTTTGGCAAAAATGTTCTTTACTTTTAATGTACGTTACTATAAGAAGGCTTTAGTCCGCGTAATATAAAATATATTTGGTTTTTTTTTGGACAGCAATGATATGTAAAGTAAATAATACCATAAACTAAAAATGTTTTTCGTCCATGCTGCTTCCAAATACATTTACTTATTAAAAGACACTCTGGTTGTACATTTCAGTAAACAACAATGACGGTTTAGTGTTTTTATTTTAATACAGTTTTTTTCAAAGGCCTTTTCAATGTACCACTTACTCTTGAGAGAATCCCTGATGTCATCTTAAGGGCTTTTCCATTACTGTATTAGCATTAATTGACTCTCTGGAGCACTAAGGGATTGAGTAGATGTAAATATAGACTTCGGGAGCAGAACTTATTGCAATTTGATAAAGGACCAATTTTGTCCATTACATCCCTGTTAGCATAACAGCATAGACCAGCATGCCTGGTCCCCAACAAAGCTAGCATATATTGTCCTTTGGATGCCAGTATTCTGGTCAGCAGCAATGGAAATTATTATGCTGGTCACCAACAAAACCAGTATATGAGGTTTTTTGGATGCTGGTATGCTGGTCAACCAGCATGATCAGCTAAACCAGCAGCATACCAGCGTAAACTAGCTCAGACCAGCTTAGACCAGCATGCAGTACATTCAGACTCTGCCTTCTGAAGTAAACCTCTAGTTTGATCTCTGCTGCTGAGCTAGTTAGCAAGCTAAGCTAGCAACAACAAAAGCAATGCAGTTATTCACAAGGCTCATGTGTGCTACACTGTGACCTCTCAGAAAATGCAGACCCCTGAGAGCATGAGTACACTCTTAGAAATAGAAATATGCTCATTTTAAAAGCTATAAATTGCTAAAAGAGAAGGAGATGGTTTGTTTATGTCCTCAGGCTGTAAAGGCTGCCGTTCGCTTGAACAGAGCTAGTGTGTGTTTACCGGCTGTCTGTGTTTTGTTCATGGGGGTAAAGTCCAACTTAAAAGTCCACAGAGGAGGACAGTAAGTGCATTTCCTCAGTTTCATACACCTGAATACAGTTTGAGGGACTTTTACTGGGCATTTTTAAATAATAATTCCACTTCTTGGTGATGAAATGAATCTACTTGTTCCTTGGTTCCATTTTAGCTCTTCATATTTGCTTCCTAACTCATTTGTTTGTATTTAACTTTATTCTGTTCTGCTTTATTGTTGTAGTTACCTCTACATTTTGAGCTAAAATGATCCCTAAAAAGGAGAATAAAACCTAACAAACTTCAGTTCAGTGTAGATAAATGTACTGGATGTATAAACTCAGTAGACTCAGTAGGTTCACTGGTGGCTATAATGGCTATATTTGTGTTTTGGACATCATTGACCCCTGGTTCCTATCACCACCACTGTAAAGAGGTCAGTAAGTTTAAGATCCTATGCTATAATTCTACTCGAGCCATGGTTTCATTGATGTAACAAGACTTACACTTGAACATGAGTTTATGCAATTTAACCCCCCTCTGTTAATTAGTAAACTTTATGATGTGGCTAGATTGATCCTTATCGTGGATGAGCTTTTTAGGATCACCTGTTCATCGTACCTCGACACTTGACCTTGACCATAACCATGACATTCCATACGTCACTCTTTCAACACTACCTTCCAGCATAGAAGCACCAGGCTCTGTTTGGAAGGACACAAATCCGTGCTCACAGCAGACGTGGTAACTCCTTGGCAAGGCTGTGGTGAGGAACCGCCAGGATGCTGAAGAAGCTGCTGTTGTTTGGTTTCGCAGGCTTGGCCGTCCTTGCGGTGGGAATCCTGATCGGCCACTTCGGCATCCAGAAGGGCAGCTCGGCACCCGGGTGGGTGCGGGAACTGTCTCATGATGTGGATGAGGACTTCATCCAGAAGTTCATTGCTGAGGTGGACAACGTGAGGATCGAGGAGAACCTCAGGTGAGTAGTGAGTTGGGCATTAATTCCCAATTAAATGGTCAAGTGAGTGAATTCAAAGTAATGACCATCAGGGCTTTGTGACTTCGTTTGGGTTTAAAAGAACGCCATGAATACCAAAGCTGATGGAAGCCAAGATAGACCAGGCGTGAATGAGAGATGATTGTTACACCACCATGTGTCTTTTGAATGAAATATGAATTCCATGGATTTTAGAAAATTTCTGCATTACTGAATCATTAATATGTAATCAAAGTCATTCAGAGTGGTTTGATATGAAATGTTCCATTCTAGAGAGCTTGAATCAGAATTGTTTACAGTGATAGTGGTAGGAACCAGACGTCAGAGGAGTTTAATGCCTCTAAAAGCTCCCTCACAGAAAGTTAGTACAAGAATGAATAGGTTTCCTGGTGCCTGCTTTTTTGTTTTACGTAAGATTTGAGATCAGATTTTGGCCTAAAAAATATCTTTTTTAACCATTCATGGCAGACAGGTACATATAGGTGGTTATAAGGTAAAATACTTCCAAAGAAAGCATATTTTTGTAACATACGACTATTTTACCATCGTCAAGGCTCCATATAAAAACTCAGAAGACTCATGTAGGTTCACTGGTGGTATTGGATGGTAAATAAAATGGCTATATTTGAGTTGTAGACATTGCAACATATGGTTCCCATCACCACCACTGTAAAGAAATCTGAGTCAGTAAGCTTCTCTACAGTGGAGCATTTCACATCAAACCACTCAGAATGATTTTGTTTACATATTCATGATTAAATTCTACAGATATTTTGAATGATTGGTGGGAGTCATTTTTAATATAGCAACAAAACTGTGGTAAACTAAGAATGACCAGGCCTTCTTTTCTTATAGGGAGCTAACCAAGGTGCCCCACATGGCCACCACTGTTGGGGATGAAGCTACAGTTGAGTTCATGCTGAAAAGGTGGCAGGATAAGGATAGTGGTCTGGACGCTGCATGGAGGGAGGATTACAGGGTCTATCTGTCCTTTCCTAACAAAGATACGCCTAATAAGGTCACTGTGGGTGAGTCCTGAGTTTACTGCTGTTAGTCCAGAAATCAGCTGTTATTGTTCTTTATTTCTTTATGGTAGTCTTTAATATTTGGCAAACAGCACATCTAGAATCAACTCTAGGCCTTAGCGCTCTTGGGCATGAACTAAAGAGGCATCAACATACAGCCTTAAAATGCCTTAAAGTGCCGTAAAATGAGGGATTATGTATGAAAATGGTCTGTAATTACTATTTGGATTGCCCAGTATAGACGTATATACTCTCAAATCTCCTCTTAGTCCTTAGTTCATTTCAAGCACAGTACCAGACAGCTTAAAAAAGTTTGATGTTGTATGAAAACACTAACAGAAGTTAAACAACTGTGCCATTCACTCCCACAGTCCGTGCCGTCCATATATGGTAACTAAGCTGCAAAAACAGCCTGCTTTGAATTTGTCTTTGTGATGCCATGAATGCATATCCATATATCTGCCCATTCAGCCTACAGAGGTTTAACTCTGCCCATTCGCACTGAAGTCATAAGGAGTGTTTCAGCCTGGACTGGCTTTTTACAAGTCAGCCAATCAGAGCAGAGCCCACTTACATATATCAGTCAGGAATAAAGAGAGGTTGGAATGGTCGTGTAAAAATGAATTATGACTGTTTGACTGTCATACATAAAACCTTAAAAGGTTGGTTGGGGGAAAACTTGAATACAAGAAAAAACTAGGATATGGGCCCTTTAAGCTACTGTCCAGTTGCACTGTAAGCCTTAAACGGCACATATTCTTTATTTGTCTTGTTTTATGCACCAAAAACAGTTGTAATTCATTGATACTTCACCATTTTCCAACCTCTCTGTATCCTTTACATTAAATTTATTAAACAGCCTGTTTTGTTACTGACTGGCAACCTGTTCAGGGTGTTTCTTGCCTTCTGCCGAGTGACCGCTGGGATAGGCTCCAGCTCCCCCTGTGGCCCTGAAGAATAAGCAGCTTAGAAAGTGTGTGTGTGTGTGTTTTGTTACTGTGCCTAATGTATGTAAATGAACCCTGTTCTGATTGGCTGCCTCATTCGAAAAGCAGTTCAGGCTGAAACACTCCTTAAAACTTCAGCATGAGTGGGCAAAGCTAAAGTGCTGTAGTCCAAATAGGTGGTTTTATGTTGTTTTTGTTAAGTTGTTTTTTCATGACCTCACAGAATCAAAGAATTCAATATATGCTGTTTTTGCACACATGTGGACTGTATGGACTGGGAGGTGAATAGTAGGTGTTGAAACAATGTTTACATACTACAACAAACTCTGTTGTTTCAAAAATAGTTAGGAAAATTTGGTTTTCCATGATGTGAGTCCTTTAAAGGAATATTCACTACAATATACAATATTGTACTGGTTAAACATTTCCAGAAAGAAACTTTAATATTTAATATTTATGGGTTTTAAACTGATTTTTCAAAACAAACTAAAGTACCCAGTAAATTACCAACATTGCTGTTAGCCATTAGGTCCAAAAAGATCTAAACAGAACTTACTGGAAACATGAACACTATTTTATGAACATTATTATGGATACAACGCTCATCATAGTACAAATACACTGCTAAAAATATCACTACAACTGAAAAGCATGTCATGGTGTGTCGGTATCACAGCATGTAGATGATATGACTCAGCACTATTCCCTGTGCTTAGACTTATGATAGCCTTCTGATAAACTTATGACAGAAGGCACTACCAGGAACTGTGTGTTGCCTTTGGCCAAAGTGACAGTATTGTAGTAGGAGAAATGAATCCTATGTGAATGCATGAAAGATCAGAGTTGGGTCATTCTCCATTTGGAGTGGGAATTCAGGTGATTTAAAAAAATAAATAAATAAAAAAATTCATCCTAAAACTAAATAATCTTACTATGTCCATTAACATCTCCTATTATCATAAATGCAGGAAGGAGAGCTTAATTCCAAACATATTTTACAGTCACTGGTGTTATATGAATGTGGTGTAACACCAGTTACTGTGACACCAGTGACATTCTTGAGGATTTTGTAAATTGGCTGACTCATTGTTGGTCAGGTGTCCTTATGTATTTAAATCAGTAATAAAAATGATATACAGCATTATTTTGACAAAATTTGAATTACCCAGCCATTAAAGCTGGGTAATTAAACACATAGATGTTATGTGTTGCCTGATAAACTTTATATTTTTATATTTGCCTGATATTAAAATTATTAATAAATTAATGAAATATAGTGAGCAAGTGTGGACTCGCCTTCTCAGGCCTTGAGCTGCTTCCTCTCTGATGAGCCTCGACCCGAAGCAGTTTAATAGAGCTGATTAATACTGTGTTAAAATGTAATATGAGTTCTGATAACACCAGTGGCCAGGATCTTAGTGACAAATGAATTCTTTAAATAAAATACATATTTTTTATGTAGTTTAACCTTAATGATGAACAGGAATCTGCTTCATATAAATTCCGAAGTTAAACCTCTTAAAAATATTGTTTTATATTAAAAATGGTTTCTCAAATGTTGAAAATTGTTTTTGTGATGAGGTGTTTTACAGATGCAGAGCGACTATGAAACATAATAAAAAAAGAAAAATCAGAGAATCATTTGGGAAAAGTATTATAAATGTACATACTGACTTTTGGATCTGGGCCTAATATTTTAGGCATCTTTTTTTTTTTTCATGGTTTCCCACTCAAAATGGAAAATGACCCAGTTGCACACGTGACAGACCTCCATGTGAATGTTGAATAATATTTTGTCGGGTCCAAGTGCTAATGGACACTGTACTCAATTACTTATAGTCAATTATTCATGAGTGTTCTAACTACATGCTGTGTGCACTAACGAACATTTCCCCACTGCCTAAGTCATCGGCTCAGCATTGTCTCACAAGCTGCGATGCAGGTTAAGTTCTAGTGTTTATTGTAGTTGTAGTCTATCAGGTAATTTGAACAATAGAGAACAAATCCAGATGTTTGTAACAAAGGGCCTCGAGATGTACAAAAAAGCCCAGAATTAGTTTGGAGCTGTGATATTTAGAGCCAACAGTTTGGGATTTTACATTTTGCCTGTTGAAAAAAGTAAGTCCTCTCAAAGACGTCTCTGGAATTGGGAGATAAGGCACCCCTTTCTGTGTCTTTAGCCTGTTTCTAATAATACTAAGCTGATTAAATGAAAAATCATATCAAAATATATATATATATATATAAACTTCTTCCCTTCCTGTTTTGAAATCTATGACTCCTGCCATATGTGCATTCATGCTGGTGTGGGTTTCCTCGTGCTCAAAGACGCAGCAAACACCTTACTCGAGTGCTAATAGTTTTTTCCAGAGTTTTTTGGACCAAGTCTTACGTCTTTAGTATTAATGTCACACGCACACGCCAATGTTTAGGTCTTAAATGCAGGTCTTCCTCAGAAGACGTGTCGTCCACCACGTTTTCACAATCAATACTCTTTCAACACACTCGCAATCAGATTTATCCGCTTGGGCAAGGTGACCAAAGCGCAACCCATGTTACAAAATGTTCTTCCGCATGTTGCATATTTCCACCAGAGAGGTCTCCTAATCCACAAAACTTACATAGTGTAGCTTTAACATAGCCTAACTTAACATATTGAACATGTTAGATTTTGTTTTATTTGTCAAATACAGCAAGTAAACAGGAATTATGCATTAAAATGTACAGAAGCATGTTCCGTGTGGAGCTTATTTTCACTTCATCCAACAAATCATGTAATTTGACCAAACTTTGGTGTAAATGTAAGTGTCTCTAGGCCTGGGGTGGGCTGAGGAAAACTGGATGACATAGTGTGTTTCCTGAGTAGTAATCTCATAAATAATTATGTAGAAAAAATTCCTAACTTGTCTTTTTTTTATTCAACATTTTAGTGAATCCTGGTGATACTGTGCTGCACACAGTGCAGGAGAAAGAGACGGCATACTCTCCAGAGCAGAATGACACAGAGGTGGTGCAGCCATACGCTGCCTATGGACCTGCTGGACATGCCAAGGTACAGTTCCAAGGCTGTATGTAGGCCTAATGTTATAAGATGTGAGTCAGTTTAGAAACAGCTGGCAGTTTGTATTTATAAGGACAGGTTCACTCACAGGCAGTGGAGTTTTACTGTCTGTGAATCAGTAAACGGCTCCAATACATAGCTATGAAATAGCCCATAATAATTTACTGGAAGTTGTTATGATGAAAATAGGCATAAATGCAGTGTTATATGTTGAGTTAGCAAATTTTCTGTTAAAAAATGCTGAGACATGCTAGCTGGATAATTGTTTTATAAAAAAATATCATGTGAGAGTGTACGAAAAAAACATCAAGACATTCAGAGTTGTTGTCTATAGGTTCTGATTAGCGAATTACAAGGCTACCCATATGGAAATCTGATATATGGCCATATATGCACATATATCATAAAAGGTCAGGCATATGTTTAAAAAAATACATACATATATGTTGTGTACATATATGCAACTGTCAAATATTGGACATATTTGCATAATATATGGATCACACTGATCTATATGTCTGATATGTGGTTGAATACATCACAGTACAGTCAGTATTGTTGCTATATTATCTGTTTGTTTTTATACATATTAAATTATTGAAATGTGTTTTATTAATGTCACATTTAAATTATTATATTATTATGTAGCTATTAGACTAATTAAATAAACTAAGAAGATGCATAAAAACCTATAAAACCTTATATAACATGAAGCTGGCACAAATGAGTAATATATACTTTATATGGATGTTTCATCCATGTATCCATGTCTATGATGTATTATTAAATATGTTTTACACATATATGTTGATATTTGACTGAAATATATTTCCCATATTTAAAAAAATGGCCAATTTCAAATAAGTTGGTATATATGTCATGTAGAGGTCCATATGTGACAGATATAAGTTGGATATAAAGGAAATCTATATGTACTCAAGCATATTACACATTTGACATCCAAATATTGCCATATAGGCATATTGCCAGATTTCTGTATGGATAAGTTTTGAATACAAGTAAATCCATATTTTACTATGCATGTTATCCCAGTTCTATACTTTTACCTTGTGTTATTATGTATTATTGTTACAGTACTATTATCTCTCTGACGATTTTTCTGGGGTAAATGAGGTAGCGTTCAATCAGGCTGATTGAACATTAAGCATGTCCAATCAGCCTGACTGGCTGTTTTTGGACTGTGGGAGGAAACCGGAGTACCCAGAGGAAACCCACGCAGACACGGGGAGAACAGAAATGACCCTGGTTGCCCGGCCGGGAATCGAACCCAGGCCATTCTTGCTGTGAGGCGACAGCGCTACCCACTGCGCCACCATGCCACCCATATGAGGTCACTCACAGGCCAAATTTTGTCAGCCATCCATCCAGTGAGCTGCATAAATCAGGAAATGGCCGCAGGAAAACAGCTAAACTGTTGAAAATTTCCAGTATCAGGGCAGCAATTAAGAAGTTTAAAACAACTGGAGATGGAGACAACTGGAGGATGTATGTCTGTACTGACCCACGCACAGTGAGGAGGATTGTTCGAGTGGACAAAGAATCTCTGAGGATCACAGATGGGGAGTTGCAGATATTAGTTAGGTCCTGGGGTTAGAATGTTTTCCAAGCTAAAATCAGATGCCACCTACATAACCACAAGCTGTTTGGGGAAGTTGCCAGATGTAATCCTCTGCTGTCAACCAACAAATTCAATTGCCAGATGTTACTGGAACTGTCAGTGGACTCAGTTCTGTGGTGAAAATAGAGCTTTTTGGCACCAAACATCAGAAGTGAGTTTGGCGTAGACAGAAAGATAGCCATGCAGAAAAGTACCTCATCCTCACTGTGAAGTATGGTGGTGGACATGTGATGTTGTGGAACTGTTTTTCTTCCAAAGCTCCTGGACAGCTTGTTCGGATACAATGTATCATGGAGTCCATCAGATACCAGCAGATATTAAATCAAAACCTGCCTGCCTCAGCCAGGACGCACAAACCGTGGTCGGATCTTCCAGCAGGACAATGATCCAAAACACACCTCAAAATCGACACAAAAATGGTTCACTGTCCCCTGAGCTAAACCCCATAGAAAACCTGTGAGATGAGCTGAAGAGGAGAGTCCACAGCGTGGACCTCAGAATCTGTGGGTTCTGGAGAGGTTCTGTATTTATTTTGTGATAAGTTTTAATTATTGTACTTCAAATAAAGGTTAGATTTTTGTTAATATTTTGATAAAAGGTCAAAAGGATGTTTACCCGGGATGCCACTATTTGTGGAGGACACTGTACAGCAACAAAACTGCAGTATTATATTTTGTCCACATCGTCCATTCCTAGTTTCTACATGAAGGCATAAATGGACGTTATTTTTTAGCCATCTTTCTAATTGTTCCTTCAGTCATTCGTCTTATCTTCCACGTAGGCTCTTTGAACAGTTCTTATGAAACTTCACCTTTCCACCATAAGAAACACTTTCAGTGTAACTCAAGCTATAGAGTAAGAGATAGCAGGATGATAATAGTCTTTTTAATAGACACTATTGTTTTGTGGAATGTCGTGAGAGACCTTTGAAGCTGTTACAACTTTACTGTAATTCACCATATATTACAGCACAATAAAATCAACCTCACTCATCTAAACTCTAACTAGTTCTTGTTACTGCAAGCTGTTCAAATAATGCTTTATAGTGTTTATTTGGTTTGTATGATTATCACATGAACATAAAACCTTATGACCGTGACCAAGACCTTTGATTTGGTCATCTATCAATCTGTCTTGCACCTTTACTGCTATAATTCTGTGTTGTGTTCAGGGGAGGCTGGTGTATGCTTACCAGGGGAAAGTGAGCGACTACGAGCTTTTGAACAGAACAATGGACCTCAGCGGCACCATCGCCATCGTCAGATATGGAGGAGCAGGACGAGGGGCAAAAGTAAGAAAATTGAAAGTTCAAACGCAAAGCCAGGGAATATATTTGGCTGGGATGATCCAGAACGGCATTCTAGCACCCTCTAGATAACTCAGAGAGTGAAAATAGTACTAAAAAACTAAAATGCCATTTTTCAGGTGTGTCTGTGCATGAAACATGACTGACCCTTATTTCACCTGCCGAGTTATCTACTCTACTGAAAAACACCAGCATGCATAGAATGCATTTAGCTGGTCACCCAGCATAGTTATGCTGATTCACCAGCATACCAGCATCCAAAACACAACATGTGCTGGTTTTGCTGGTGATCAACCTATGACCAGGATACCAGCATCCGAAACACAACATATGCTGGTTTTGCTGCTGACCAGCCATGCTTGTCTTCCAACATATTAACTGACCAGCATACCAGCCTCCAAAACACTACATATGCTAGTTTTGCTGGTGACCAGCCATGCTTGTCTGTGCTGGCTTTTCTGGCAGGACAGAGGGTGCCAGAATGCTATTCTGGCCGTTCTGGCCAAATGTAGACCTCAGAGCCCCCCAGATAATCCATAAGTTTGTTCCATCCCAACCCACAATACATAGAGCAAAATGTGGACCATCTGGGGGACCCAAGGACCAGTTTCCGGTTCAAACAAGACATAAGAGAAAATTACTCTTCCCTGTGATCATCCATCAAAAGTAATGACTTTTACCTTATAAACCTTCTTCTGATTTTTGATTATGTCACCGTGCAGCAGGTGGGAAAAAATATTAACCAATATATCATGTTTCATCTCCCCGCTCCCAGCACCCCGTCATAATGTACACTGCCATTTTTAATACAAGTCAGCATTTTTGAGGGGGCTGCTTTGATTTTTTTTTCATTAGCAGGTAAATGCAAGAAGCTATATAGCTAATGTTAATGTTTTATGAAGCCCAATACTTTATTGAAGCTGTATAACTTTAGTAACTGTCATTAAATCCCCACAGTGGAGAGAATGGATTACTTAAATGGCAGAAATGACTCATCAGATGAAAAGGATGAGCTAAAAGCTGAAGTCAGCATGGTAGCAGCTTAGTTCCTTGCTCAGTTTGGCTCACAGAATCACTGTCTTCTTTATGATTTTGTTCAATAACCGATGTAAGAGTGACAGTAATGCTAGCTTGGTTGTATTTATTAGCCTACAGAACAGTGGTTAGAAGTGATGATTGGGTGACACCACAGGGATTCCCAGTGGTTGTATAATGTATTTCAATGTACACAAAGACATAAACACAATATAAAATCATGTATTTTGTCAAACAGATAAGGCTAAGCGATATGATGTTGCACCACGAAATGCTGCATAATGAAACAAATAACATTTTAAACTATAGTTTTAAGTCGGAATGCCAACTTAATGGAAAAGTAACAGAGAAAACCAAAGGTCCCTGCGCAGCATCACACTTTTTGCATGTTATATATTCATTTTTAATTGTCTGTTGACCTGTTGTCTATGTACCTGTTGTGTTATTAACTGTACAGGCGATTAATGCGGCTCCGTTCGGGGTGGTCGGGGTGCTTGTCTACACAGAACCCTACGACATTAACGATGGTCTGATGAACGATGAAAATGAGACGTACCCCCATTCCTGGTACCTCCCTCCATCTGGCGTGGAGAGAGGAAGTTACAACGGTGACTTTGGAGACCTACTAACACCTTACCTGGCTGCTAAAAGTAACTTGCGTTTAGTGTTCATTACTTGCCATCATTTGTGTTTATTGGAGCTCACCCAACACATTCCTGTTTTCAGAGGACACATATAGAATTCCTGAGACGGACATCAACGGCGTTCCACCCATTCCGATCCAGCCAATAGGGTTCGAAGATGCCCAAGTCTTAATCTGGTGAGTCGAAAGCTGTCAAAGTGCGTTTGCAAAGATAGCCTGTTTTGAATTCATCGTGGTTGTGATGACACGACCATGAAGATGCTTAGAAAGGACCATCCATTCGTCCTGCAGCAGTTTAGCCCCGCCCCTTCCTGCTCCTGGCTTTCAGGAAGCAAATCATTGCACTGATGTTTAATTTTTCAATCAATCAATCGATCAATCTTTATTTTCACTCAGAAATACATTGACTGTGTCCTTCATTCTCAATGCAGCCAAGCATTTACAGCACAAAGGGATTGAAATGAACAGAACTACATGAACATAGTAACAGTAGAATCAAACAAAATCAAACAATATAAATATAAATATAAGTTCTTCTGCTGGTCTAATTGATCTTCCAGGCTGTGTTTCCTGCACCATAACAGTGATTATACTATTGTGTTAATAACCGTTGTGATAATCTCTTTTGTGTGTCGTGTGGTGAGTCTGTTGAATCTTCGATTCTGAAGTGACTTGTAATATTTACATTTAAAGGCCCAATAAACTTGCATGTGGTTACGTGTTACAGCGAGCTTGGTGGAGCTGCAGCTCCTGCGGACTGGCAAGGCTCCTTTCCCTGCGTGTACAACCTTGGTGGACCAGGATTCACTTCCACATCCCGCTTTAGCAACAGGTAGGGGGTCCTAATAGGCAAGCAAATTTGTCTTTTTTCTGCACTAATTTACCTGATTCAGCTCAAGAGACTGATAGGTGAAAACATAAACCAGAGAAGTTATCAGTGACTGTAGAAAAGAAAGTATGTGCTCGTTTGACCTTCAATCCTACATGAACTTGTTGGACATCTCATTCCAAAACCATTAATAAGGAGTTGTCCCCCTTTGTGGCTAAAATAGCCTCCACTCTTCTGGGAAGATTGATTTTTGATTTTTAGTTGTCAATCTGCCCTCCAGTGAGGTGAAGCTGGATGTATACAACAGCGGAGAGCTGAGAGACTCTGCGAATGTGATGGGAGTGATCTGGGGCAGCGTGGAGCCAGGTAAGCTGGCTCAGCACCATCTGACTGGCCTTTAACTTATGCCTTACTGGAGCCGGATTAGTCAGTCCTAGACACATACTATAGTTTTAGTGACTACTAAAAAGATCTGTTATTTTAATCCAGTGTGAATCTGCAGTGTGTATAGTTTTTACAGTCTGACAGTAATAATTGTGGAGTGATTTTAATCCAGTGTGAATCTGCAGTGTGTGTAGTTTTACAGTCTGACAGTAATAATTGTGAAGTGAATGATCTTCTGTAATTGGCTGATGCCAGAACTCCCACAATAACAGCATTCCTGTTCTAATCAACCTCATGCTAATGGAATAACAAACCTGCTAATGGACATGGCTGCATGATGTGTTGTTATTGTTAGTGAGTGCAGTGCCAGTAACGTAACACTGATGTGAATGTTTGGGTTATGACCTCTCTGTCAGGGCTATCGGAGGGAATTTGGGGAAAAACATATGCATATCATTTGGCCACCCAAATCCCAGCAAGAAGAATCTGTATATCCACTATGTAACTTGTCATTTCTGCCTTTTCTATGTTTCAATGTATTTTTGAGGTATGTTTTGACATGTTCAGACAGGTACGTGATATATGGGAACCACAGAGACAGCTGGGTCCACGGGGCCATTGACCCCAGCAGTGGGACAGCAGTCATGCTGGAGATCAGCAGAATCCTGGGCCAAAGGGTGAAAGCAGGTAAGCTGTTTAAATTCATTCAGACTCCATAAACCATAATGTAGCGAATAATGAACAGCAGCTAGTTGATTTGAGTTAACTTGAAATGATTCAGGCTTAGGCAGGTTTAAGTAGGTATTAAATGACAGGTGTTTAGTCAGTCTTAGAATTTAAGACCTGTTTCTCTTTGAAAGGAACATGGAGGCCTCGACGCACAATCATCTTCGGAAGCTGGGGAGCGGAGGAATTCGGTTTGATTGGATCTGCTGAATATGCAGAGGTAAAAGCACCAACATCAGAAAGACCACTCTTCAGTCATTAATGCTTGGATTTACAAAACTGTTATAAACATTGTTGGCGTGTTGGTGATATTTGCAGGAGTACATAAGCAAACTCAGCCAGCGGACAGTGGCCTACATCAATGTGGACATCTCTGTGTTCGGTAAGACTCAAGTCCTTTCAGTATTATACACTTACCTTTATTTGGTTTTTGGGCAAAATAACTGGTGGGTGTGGCCTGAGTGGCAGGATGTATAGAAATTCTGACAGGGTATGTAAATCTACGCCTCCACCTAATAATCACGTTAAATCAGGGATCGGCAACCCAAATATTAAGAAGAGCCATTTTCTCCTTTCAGCAAAAAATAAACCACAAATTAAATATGTCTCAGTATGTGCTAATGTACTAGTATAGACTAAAAATATAACATAAATGAAAACACAGACTTACTTTGCTCTGCTTTTAGCTTTAGCTCAGCTATAGCCGTGTTTTCTCGCATCTCCAACAGGAAACTTTTCCTCAAAAGTAGAACAGTTTCTTGTAAAATGTCTCTCAACATTGGGCTTTTCACAAGGCTTAAGTCAGCTTCTTATTGGCCAGCTTCTTCTTTGAATTTTCCTGTTCCACCTTAAATAGTGTCATCCCTTAATGTAATTGCTGCACCATTTAAGGTGAAACGGGAAAATTCGAACAAGTAGCTGGCAAAGGAGAAGCGACTTCAGCTTTGGGACTTTTTAGTGTTTGACAGTTTCTCATTTCAGATTAAACGCATCAGGAAACCAGCTGGAGTCCATTCGTCTCCAAATTATCGATGATTTGCACTAGTTAGGCGAGATTGTTGTCTGCATTGCTATGGTGACCAGCAGTCTGCACGCCAATCTTCAGGGTTAAAGAGTGAATTAGCAGTTATACATTATATCAGATCTTTAAGACCATTATTGTTTAAAACTGTGTTGAACGACCAGCAGAGCTTTATTTTACTGCAAAGGAGGATTATTTTATTTTTACTAAATAAATAATACTACTTTATTTTATTAAAATCAAAAAATCTTTTTGCAGTGGAGTTGCAACAGGGCAGTAAACGAGCCACATGTTGCAGACCCCTGTGTTAAGCCTTTGGGGTAGGACATAAACGAGTGGGCAATATGCCGATATGTTTTTATCATAATATTGTGAAATCATATTATTATCATCATCATTATCATTATCATGAGTTTAGGGATGCACTAATACTGACACCAGGTATTGGCCTGATACCGTGAGCACTTGTGTACTTATAAAAAGATACCAACATCCAAAACCAGCTACTGATATGTGATGTAAGCCTAGTATACGCTGCAATGCTAATAAACAAATGACTCAGTCTGGCTCACTCAGAATTACTGACTGCATGGCGGTTGGACACAAAGTTGTTGGTTACTTTAAACCCCATGTATGCACAATCCTGTCCAGCCCGTGAAATGATTTTAAATTTCTGTTTATATATATATATATATTGTTAATTATATTGGTATTGAAGCATCCCTACAGCCTAGAGTTCAACCTCACAACAGTACTAGCTACATTTGTGGGCGGAGCTTAGACAGCATGGATCAGTTTACACCTAGACTAGCAAATGTGGATTATCTTCATGAAGTCTATAGCTAGGTACCAAAAATATCATGAAAGGAGTACAGTATAAAATATGCCTTGAGATTTTCTCTTACATATTAAAAGTCTTTCTTTAAAAGACAGTAAAACAGTGTAATACTGTGTTCTGTCCTGCAGCTAATGCTACTCTGCGAGTTTCTGCATCCCCGATTGCAGAGAACGTTATATTTACAGCCTCCAAACAGGTCAGTGTTTGAGCTCAAACGTAATATGCCCAAATATGTATTACATATTTATCTGTTTTCCTATTATCCTTTATTTATAAGCTCCTTTCACTGTTATTATTTCCTTATATTTTAAAGACCAGTGGCCACGTTTGCATAAAACATCAAATTTATCCATTTACTGCATGAAACCTGTTTTTTTTTAATGATTTGTCTTATTAAAAGTTAATAGAAATATTTAATAAACAGATGGGGGATGTATTCTGAATAGAGAAAGGACTTTTTGAATGTTAAAAATAAATGTAACAATGAATGAATGTAACAATTGTCACTGTCAAACCTTGTATCCCCAAAAAAGCTCCAAAACGGAAGCTAATATAATAAGATTTTTTTCTAAGTCATTTTGGACCACTTCTATTGGTCCAGTCATCATGAAATTTTGAAACAATATAAAAAATGACACAATAAATGTAGATACAATGTTTTCTTCCAACAGAAAAGGATATACATACACATATATGTAACTTAGAAAGCCTTGAGGTTTCCAAAGAAAAAGAAAAAAGACTCATTTTGTAAGAAAAAAATATTAAAAAATCAAAAATTCATTTTTTCCATGAGGCAATGCCATGCAGTAAAAGGTTAGGTTTACTTATATAAGTGTAATTCCAATGTTAATCTTATACAATACACCAAGTCAAATTCCTTAAGCATTTAAATAAAGATAAATATTAAAGATATATGTATATATATTGTTTGTAAGCACTCACAGGACTGGTTGCTGAGCAGATGATTGGATTAATGGAAAGTTAATTGAAGGAAATGTATTTATTCATACATCATATAACACTATTGTTTCATTTAAATATAAATATTTTGTAACCACCTCAACAAAGTATTTTGTTGTAACTTTACTAACATTTCATTTATTTACGTTCTCAGGTGAAGGCAGCAGGTTCCAACACCGTGTCTGTGTACGATAACTGGATCAAATATTTCAACAGAACCAGCCCCACTTACGGACACATACCAAAGTACGCCTTTTCTGATCTATCGCCGTTGTATTTTAGGGAACTTACTTCAGCGTTTCTCTGTATTAACACTAACTAGTTGTCGGCGATAACAAAAGCAAGTTGCAATTTTGCATAAATGACTTCTCACTCATAGCTGACTAAAATGAGCAGAGAAAGTCTGTTGAAAGTGCAGATTCTAAGCCACATTTGCTTGTAAGTAGAAGAAGAGATACTTTATCAAGATCTAAACATCAGGAAACAGTTTTGTTTTGTGGAAACTAAAACAACCCTTTACATTCAAAGGTGCAGATTTGAACCGGAATGGAAATTCTTGTAATTGCTTTAAACAGTTGGGATGACCAAGCTAACATGCTAGCCACAAGCTACAATATGATATGCTGCGATACAATACAACATGTTGTATTGTTACATCCCTATTAAATAGTATAGAAAAATGACAGTAATACTAAACATGGGGTTTTTCCATTTCACTTTATACAGCAGTTTGTTCTAACAGCACAACCTGATTGCTTGAGAGGCGTTCTACCCATTTTTACGCAATAACTGCATCATTACGCTGAGCACCGTTTGCTAAGTAATGACTTGCTCTAAGCTGCAGCTAACATTACTAGAAGTGTGCCCCGATTCAGGGGCTGCATCCTTCGAAGGACGGCGTAGACCTGCAAAGGGGGAACCAAAATGAGACGGTCTGCTCTCCGGCTCTATTTCCGCTGTTCCTGCCCTTACCGTTGAATCAGGAAACACCACTCCTGTTAAGTTCTTTTAAAGTTCTTTAAGGATGGAGCCACAACTAGCTGGAGGACCCCCCCCCTCTAGGGGCCAGTGAGCACACTTGCCCGGAGCGGTGGGCAGCCCTGTCCACGGTGCCCGGGGGAGCAGTTGGGGGTTAGGTGCCTTGCTCAAGGGCACTTCATTCACAAACTGTCGACTGTTAGCTATTCGACTCAGTTTAAACCCAATACTTACATTTAAAAGTGTCTCCTCAGCCACTGTTTTCTCCTCTGCCAATGCCGCCATGTTCTCCCATCCTTCACGCAATGAACCTCGGGATATGTTGGCTGGCGAATGATCCACTCGTTGGATCCTTCGTTGCCATGGAACAGAAGGACACATTTCTCGGCCACATGTAAAGGAGCCTTCAAAATGGGACAGCCTAGTCGCGCCGCTGTGCTGCAGTCGGCCTTCAAAAGCAGCCCCCGAAGGATGCAGCCCTGAATTGGGACACAGCTTATGTTTCTACATTAGTGAATAGACTCTTCAATAACTTATAACTTAATAATAATAATATTTGACCTGCAGATCATTTGTTCAGATTCAGATTCTGACGAAAGATTGTGACAGCGACTTACATGAAATTCTGAACCTGCTGTTGCCCCAAAGTGAGCCTGATGATGGAACAACTAAACAAACTGGAAGTAGCCAGAAACTAACAGAATACAATTCAGCAAAATAGGCTATGAAATACTTCACAGACTAATCTGGCAAATACTGAAAAAGCTGAGCTGAACCTGATATTGCAACATTCGTAATGTAGAGGGGCACTACTTTTTGCAGTGGAAGGATATTAAAGCACTTTTGATACAGTGTTCAGAGCTTCTTTACTTTTTTTCTTTGTTTTGTGGAATCTATAAGCCATAGAGATCATGTGTTATTGTGAATACCATCACAGCTCTGATGATCTGCTGTGCTCGTCTTCAGCTTGTGCCTGTGACCAAATCACAGTGTTGTTATTATCCACGATAACACAACCTTGTGTTCTATTGCTTATTACATTAAAAATGACACCATTAAGAAAGTAACTAGTACATTTCCTTATGGTACCACGTATACTAGTGATTCATAGGTCTGGAGCTTTGCCAGTTTACTGTAGAAAGTGAAAGAGAAAGTAAAGGTTAAAATTATTTTATGGCATTAATATATGATATTATATATGACCATAAAGTAAGTTCTACTCTGATCGGGGGCGTTGTCGATTGTTTCCACAGTGTGGGATATCTGACGGGAGCAGGAAGTGACTATGCTCCCTTTATCCATTACCTGGGGATAACCTCTATGGATATATCCTACACCTACGACCGGGTATGAGGCCTTTCATTGTTGTTTGGTTATATTCATTAAAAATGTTGTCGTTGATTTCCTTTCCACTGACAGAATGACCCCCAGGGGGCCTGCCAAAAGAGGTTAAGGTCACCAAGACTTGTTGATGGGGGTTTATTTACTGTGAACTATAAAAATGAACAGAACTTCACCTCATGGATGAACGCTGCCATCACTCATATCAGCCTCGTAGATCCAATGCTTAACTAAAAAAACAACATTGGGACACCAAACAGTATTCCTACAGTATCCTGCGTTCCTTTCTGCTTTAATGCTTATGTATTATTATCTGTTTCTTTTTCAGAGCAAAACGAGAGCACGTATCTACCCAGCATACCACACAGCCTACGACACGTTTGACTACGCATCCAGGTTCATTGATCCAGGTGTGCCAAAACAGGCCGCTTTGCTCCCTTCTGTTCCATGAACTCTCCTGTTGAGTCATCATAACTCTTTCTTTGTTTCATTCATTGTCTAAGAATGTGGTTCTGTCCTGAGCAATGCATTTTGCACATTATCATTATTTCTTTCATTATTTTGTTAATTTGATCTACATTTTTGCTTTATCTGGACCATCTGGGAGTCCCTGAGGAAAAGTTTGAGAACGACTGGACTTGAGTATATCGCCAAAACAGCAATGTTTTTCATTTTTCTGCAACTAACACAACTCATTAGCTGTGGGAAATGATTACAGGCTTCATAAGATGCCGTACATCCATACTAATGTTTTCCACCTACTCACATCACACTTCTCTTTATGAAGGCTTCACCAGTCACCAGACAGTAGCAAGGACGGCGGGGAACATCCTGTTGCGACTGGCCGACAGCCTCCTGCTGCCATTCAACTGCAGCGACTACGCTGAGAGTCTAGAGGGTTACCTCAATGGCACCGTGGAGAACTTTGAAGAACACCTAAAGGCCAACAGCATCTCCATAGGTAGATAATTAAACTGATATACTAGTAGCAGCGCCACACACAGAACCATGGCACTACCATGTCAGTAAACCCTATAAAAACAAGGTACAGCTTATTGATCCCCATAACCTGCTATTCACCACTAGTGAGTTAGCATTTCGGGAGGCAGCCCAAATACAGTCATTTATACAGGCATTGGGGTGGCCTAATAAACATTTTCTTGTTCCAGAGCCCCTAAAAGAGGCAGTGAAGTCCTTTCGAAATGCAGCCACAAATCTGGACAGTGTCATCCGCAGCTCAGATCTTGTAAATGAAACGTAAGTGCTGTTTTGTCTAGTTGCCCAAAGCCTTGTCTATTCTTTATAGTAACAACACCAAAGAGACTGCTATAAAATAAGAGATCAAAACAGATAAAACATATGATTCCTAAGGCAAATACAAAATTAAAAGCTGCACTATGTCAGTTTTGGGGATTTGGACCTCTCTGGTGGAAACGTGTAATTGCGGATAAATCTGATTGTGAGCACATTGAAAGAGCATTCAAATAGAACTCAGTCAAAACTTGGTGGACATGTCTTAAAAGGATGTGAGTGATGATGCTACAATGGCAACAGTCGTTCATTCAGACGTCATCAGTATAATGCTGATTTTGCATTTTGAGACCTAAACATTGAGCCGGAACTTCTTTTTGAGATTTTTTTTGCATGTGATGTTAATATGTAAAGATGTGTGATGTGGTCCAAAAAGACTCAACTTCTAAAGACTGACTTTGAAATCATTATTTCAGGCTTTACAGAGCAACATGCACACCATATTTTAGAGTGCGTTTTTTTCTCTTTATCTGTTAATGCCGCTTCTTTTACGTTAACATTTCTTACATAGTGCAGCTTTAACTGTTAGCTGTTCCTGCTGTAACAAAGCACTGTATCTCTGTTTTACAGGCCTCTGAAAGCCCGCAGGATTAATGACCAGCTCATGCTGCTGGACCGAGCATTCGTGGACCCAGTGGCGTTCCCAGACAAATATGCATTCAGGTATCGCTCAGAGGCCTTAGAGCAACACTTCAGTCAAAGAACATTAAGTAGGGACATGGAAAGTGAATAGCCACCAGTTTGCATCATGCAAATAGCGTCATGCCTATTGGTGGCTGCAAGCATCTATTTTGTTAGCCATGTCAGTCTGTTTGGTTGAGCTACTCCTTTAAGGATGAAGGATTAATGTTGGTCACACTTCTTACTCAGTCACATCTGTTTATTATGAATATTCCCTTAGAGACACACTGTATTTCCTTCATTCCACTCACTGGCCACTTTATTAGAAACACCCACCTTATACTGCCACTCACTGGCCACTTTATTAGAAACACCCACCTTGTACTTTCACTAACTGGCCACTGTATTAGAAACACCCACCTAATTCTTTCACTCACTGGCCGCTTAATTAGAAATGCCCACCTTGCACTTTCACTAACTGGCCACTTTATTAAAAAAAGATTCATAACAATATTAAAAGTTTACTATATAGGTGTACATTTACAGACTGTAGTCCATCTATTGCTGCACAATTTTCTCAACCCTATTCATCATTAGTCAGTTTCTGACCTCAGGACCACTGCTGACCAGCTATTATTTGGATGGTGGATGATTCTCAGCACAGCAGGTTCTGTCATGAATGGCTAACACAATTTGTGCATCACTGTCTTTAACTGTACTCCAAGACAGTGAAGCTACAAGTTAGGGGTTTTCAGTAGTGGCCGTTAACATTATTTTTTTCAGTTTACAGTATCCTCACCTTCTAAGCCTGTCAACTCCCTCATCATTTGAAAGCTGCTACAAGCAAAGTGCTTCCAAAGTGCTCTGAAGGGCGTGAAATTCAAGACTGTACCATACCAAATTGTCATAAAAACTATCTATAGGGAAGCTGTAATGCTGATGCTCTGTGTTATTCCTCCAGGCACGTGATCTGGGCGTCCAGGTCGTCGGAAGTGGCCACATTTCCAGGCCTGGCGGATGCTGTAGAGAAGGCCCAGGCTACTGGACTGAAGGAGGACTGGGATCAGGCTCACAGACACCTGTCCATCGTCACACAGGCCATCTCCGGCGCTGCGCACACTCTCGCTGAAGCGCATGCCACGCAGTAGCTCCGCCCACTCACTGAGCTCATCTGAGGCTGGATTTACATGCTGAAACTTTCATTCAATTTCATTTGCATTATGTAAGATAAGGTCTCCTGCAGTGTATTTGAAAATAGTCGCAAAAACTATTTGCTATCTTACATATAATCTGGAACAGTGATACCGTGATGTACAGTGAAGGGACATTTTCAGACATTTTTTAAATATTTAACATACTTCTAGTGCATATATACATGTCAAATCTATACATATAATGCTTCTTGACTTTGAATATGAATAAAAATGTATGTATTCATAAGTATAAACAGACATTTAGAAATTAAAAAGTATTCAGACACCACAAATTGATCATTGTTGCTTTGTTGGCAAGCAGTTATTGGCAATTGCAGATTAAGAAGTAGCTACCTGTGGAATTCATTTGTAATGGAATTCAAATCAGGAGATTGGCTATGCAATCACCTTCACCTTCTTTAGATGCTAGTCTTGAGTTATCTTGACTGTATGTTTAGGGTCATTTTCTTGTCGAAACATCCATTCTTCCCACTTTCTTGGCTGATGAGATTCTCATCAGACATCTCGAGGTTCATTGCTCCACTGATGTTTCCTTCAATGATGTGTAATATCCCACTAGCGTTTGCCGAGAAGCAGCCCCATATCATGATGCTCCCACCATCATGCTTCACTGTGGGTATGGTGTTGTTGGGATTGAATGTGTAAACCTTTCTTTCTCTTTGTTTTCGCTTATGAATACATACTTTTGTTCATATTTTTAAGTACAAAGTCAAAAGATGTTAGCAAATTTGAAATGGAAATATGCACCAGAAGTGTATTAAATAACAAAAGCAAAAGTGTCTGAATACTCGTGCCCCAGCACTGAATTTGACCAGTTTCATTAATCAAAACCACATCAAACGATAACATTTCAACACAAATGGTTATTTGTTGGTAATGAGTGAGCCTAACTAGCGAGCTAGCTTTTTGTGGCATTTGTTCTACTGAGAGCCAAAGGATGAAAATTACAGTGGATGAAGTTGCTGGAAGAAAGATACAAAGACGATAAAACAGAAGACACGAAATGCAAATGTAAACAAATCATTTTTTATAGCGGTGTAGAAATGAAATGAGCTACATGTGACTTTAAACAGGCCTTGTCTCTGAATTGCTTCATGCAGCTATCAAAGTACATGGAAATTATATTTCATGCAACCAGCAAGAGTCGACTAGCTGAGTGAACGTTTCACCATATAAAGCTGCTCTAAAACAAGGGACTGTGGACCCCCTGCTTTTTCCCTGATCTAACACACAGTCATAAATGATGCAGCTCTATCTGGAGTGGATTATTAGATGGTGAAATGAATTCACTGTGTTAGAGGAGGGAAAACATGTAATGATAAAGGACACTGGAGCAACTGCCAAATATTCTTTATACAAATCATGGTATAATTTTCCTGTGATGTATATTTTATATGGAAACAGTATCATCTTTGCATGGAGCCCTGATGTTGACATCCCATATAAATTAAAACAATGCGGTCACAACTTAGTAATGCATGGGAACGAGATAATTAAGTCGTGGCCATGGCTTAGTAAGGTGTGGGACTGAGATCTTGCCTTGCCAAGTCGTGGCCATGCATTAGAGTCTCATTCCCACACCTTACCAAGTCGTGGCCATGACTTAATTATCTTGTTCCCACGCCTTACTAAGTCATGGCCACGCATTATTTTTATTTATACAGGATCTCACCAGTGGGGCTCTGTATCTTAGATTTTTTTGAATGTGTCCAAAAAATTGACCGTCTAAAATAATATTTTATAACTGTAATGATAATAAACAACAGTACAGAATGATGATGTTTCCAGCTATGATTTATTGAAAACACACATAAGTGACACTCTACAAATCTGTGTTTACTGTTTACTGACCTATATTTACTCTTAAGATGATCGGCATTACAGCTGTTGTGACTTCATTGGACAATTTCAACAGTTTCTTTATACTCCATGGTAATATATACATAAAGTAAATAGTCAAAGAAATTGTTGTAATGGTGATCATCTTTATGATATATTGAGAGGATATGAAGTAAAAAGTTAAATATAAAATGCTGAAAGTTTGAGGTTCTACATCAAAATAATTTGACTTATTTTACTTATTTTTGAAAATATTTGAAAATATTAACATCAAAAGATGCAAAAAATACCTATTTTCAGAAAAATTCTACTTGTAATTTTACCATCAAAATAATGAGTTATTAGACTTTGTGAAAGTAAATATTGAGATAATTGATAATTGAGATAATAGTAGGTCTTTTCAGAAGACAGTATCTCTAGAGAATGTCATTATTTTATATTTATTTTATTACTTTATTTTTATACACAAATTGTATAATGAATATGATTCAAATATAAACATAGGGTGACTTACATATGAAGGACAACATATTCTTAAAAAATTTAGGTTTGTTTATTTCAGGATATTACAAACTGCTGTATTTACTGTGATGTATTTACAGCACTTGGCCAGCAGATGTCGCCAGTGTGTAACATTTTGAGTGTGATTTGTTCAGACGGTTCAAAGCTTCACAAAGTTTAGAGGGGCAGATTTTCTAAAATAGAAGCTAACTACAGTGTGCAAATACTTTTAATGGTGGGGCAGCAAATTTATTGGGTTATCTACTAAAAACATCTGTGCAAATGAACACAGGCACAACCTTATATTTAGAAAAGGTTTGTAATCCTTCTCTGATTCTAGTTCAAATTGTGACACACTAGAAAAAAAAAGTCAAGAAATGAGCAAATATGTTATTATTTTGATATACGTTGACATGCATTTTGGGAAATAACACAGTATTTTGACATACATCAGAAATGTGAGGAAATAAAGCGCTTCATTGTAACAAACAAATTTGTTTACTTTCTGTTCCGAAACGTTCTGTTTCAAAAAGTTCATTTTCAGCTGGTGAGATGAGCTGAACTTGAGTTCTGGGCCGAGTGCATTTGGAAATTGTCCGTGCAATGTCCGGTAAAGGTGCAGGACATTGTTTCAAATGCTAAATAATTGGGCGATGTGGTCGTCACATGTATAACTGCTAGCATTACTTTTCTATGAAGTATGTTTTATATGGAAACAAGAACACCTTTGCATTGTTTTTATAAAAAAACAAAATTCAGCCGTCAAATAATAAAAATAACAACAGCACTCCATACATGATTATTTGAAAACACACCAAATCTGTTTTTTTTTCTTATTATGATGCATTTCCATGACTTGACTAGCAGATGTCGACAGATATCTTCAGACAGTTTGCAGGGCCAGATCTTCTAAAACATTGGTGTCCAATCTTATTCTCAAAGGGCCAGTGTGGCTGCAGGTTTTCATTCCAAACAGAAGCGCAGCTGATTCTACTTGTTTAATCAGCTGGTGTCTCCAAACAATTGATGAACTCCTCCTTTGTTGTAATGAAAACCCGCAGCCACACCAGGCCTTCACATATAAGGTTGGACACTTGTTCCAAAAGAGGTGCTAGTTACCAACAGCATCCCAACACTTTGCACTGTTGGGTGTAGCCAATTTATTTGGTTATTTACTGAAAACCTAAATGCAAATGACCACAGGCACAATGCTGGGTGGCTAGCAGCCAAGTAGTAGGCATGGTGAGCCAACAACCGTAATCCCAGGACTGTTGGCACATCTGATTTGGCACTTTCCCCTCTGCTCCCAGACTGAGCAAAATTAGGCAGCAAAATGCCAAATTTCCCCTTCTAGGATCAATACAGTATGTAACTTTGTGGTTAACATATAACTGGCATGGTTTGGGTCACATGCTTTTTGTATGGAAGTCTGTTTTTGCAAGATAGGAGATAAAGATTTTTTACCTTTATCCTTTCTGCCAGAAACTGGAGAAAATAAAATGCTTCATTATTTCAAACAAGCTATTTTTCAGCTGTTAGGATGAGCTGAACTTGAGTGCCATGCTGAGTGCTTTTCAGGTTGCAATAAAAAATGCTTAATAATTGAGATTTGTCATCTTGTTACTTATACACTATATAGACAAAAGCATTGGGAGACACTTCCTAATCATTGAATTCAGGTGTTTCATTCAGTCCCATTACCACAGGTATATAAAATCAAGCACCTAGCCGTGCAGGCTGCCTTTACATTTATGGATGAAAGAGCTCAGTGAATTCGAGCGGGGCACTGTAAGAGGACGCCAGCATTACAAGATGTGAAATTTCTTCCCTCCTAGATATTCCACAATCAACTGAGTGGTATTATTGAAAAGTGGAAGCGTTTAGGAACCACAGCAACTTAGCCATGAAGTGTCAGACCTCCTCTGGTATCAACATCAGCATAAAAAGTGCACCAGGAGCTTCAAGGCATGAGTTTCCATGGTTGAGCAGCTGCATGCAAGCCTTACATCACCAAGTACAATGCCAAGTGTCGGATGGAGTGGTGTAAAGCGCCACCTCTGGACTCTTGAGCAGTGGAAACATATTCTGTGGAGTGACGAATCAGGCTTCTCTATCTGTAACTCTAGGCGAGTCTGGGTTTGGTGAATGCCAGGAGAACCGTTACCTGCCTGACTGCATTGTGCCAACTGTAAAGGTTGGTGGAGGAGGGATGATGCTATGGGTTTGTTTTTCAGGACTTGGCCTAGAATTCTTAGTTCCAGTGAAGCGAAATCTTAATGCCTCAGCACCAAGACATTTTGGAGAATTGTAAGCTTCCAACTTTGTGGGAACAGTTTGGGGCCCTTTTCTGTTCCAGCATGACTGAGCCCCAGTGCACAGAGCAAGGTCCATAAAAGCATGACTGGGTGAGTTTTGTGTGTTAGAACTTGACTGGCCTGCACAGAGCCCTGACCTCAACCCCACCGAACACATCTGGGATGAACTAGAATGGAGATTATGAGCCAGTCCCTCTCGTCCAACATCAGCGTCTGACCTCACAAATGCTCTTCAGGATGAATGGGCAGAAATTCCCACAGACACACTCCAAAATCTTGTAGAAAGCTTCCCAGAAGAGTGGAAGCTGTTATAGCTGCAAAGGGTGGACCACGTCGATATTAATGCCTATGGATTTAGAATGCAATGTCATGAAAGCTCTTGTAGGTGTTCCGATACTTTTGTCCCTAAAGTGTGTATAACTACTAGTATTGTTTTCCTACCAAGTACGTTTATGTGGAAATGAGATCACACTTTAGAAAAGTAATTCAGCATTGAAAAAATAACAATAACAACAAACTCAGCACAGTTTTTCCAGGCATGGTTTATTGAAAACACACCAAAGTGATACTCTACAAATCTGTATTTTTCTGTTTGATTCTAACAAGTGCAGGCCTCCTCTCTGGGTATTAGTAAAATTAACATAATACATTCCGTCAATGTGGCGTCATTCTCGAGCACTACCAAAGCATGAACATCTTTCTCAATCTATGTACTCAAACCCTTTGAATGTGTCTATTCTTTTAAAGTATATAATACAATGTAATACAAGGCAACACCCACCACCAGTCTAAGACTACACTGAAGACATGGAGTGAGTAAAGGGGCAAGGGGTATGTGAGGGAAAAGGGGGGAAGAGGAGGGAGGGAAGGTTAAGGGAGCAGTAGAGGGTAAGGAGAACAACAAAGAGTTGAATATAAAACAACACAGTTATTCTTTTTCGATCTAACACAGAGAAGGGTTAAGGCACATATGATAGTTACAAACACGTTTGCTACCAAGTTGTACATTGACTTTTTGAGTTTTTCGGACGCTTTGAACTTGTGATATCTACAAAGGTAGGTCTCTCTTGATTCTATGTCGCCTCCTCTCGCTTTTTTGTTTTCTATAAATATACAATCTGACACTGATTCGCGCTCGTGGATCCGGCTTCATCAATATTACTGTACAATACCAAAATCCTTTGGTTGTGTACTGCGAAAAAGGCAGTCAGGAACAGACAGACACGACATGATCCATGAACACGCACAAGACGCTCTTGACGCGGGGATATAGAATATATTTCATCTTCCAAAATTAAAGTTAATACACAAAGCTACTGTTACTTTTTTGTTAGAAATCTCTGTTATAACACTATGTAGAAAAAGGATGGGGAAAAAAAGAAGACTGCAAGCTTTAGAGTGTCACGTGACGACGGAACTCAGAAGATACATGCTGCTCGCTTAGCGGATAGAAAGGATGGCGCCTTCAAGAATGTCCCTCTGACGTCCTCTGAGCGTAAGCGCAATCGTGAGCTTCCTTTTGTGGCAGGTTCTCCAGCTCTTTCAGAAGAGTTCATCGAACAGAAGGGAAAGTGTCCCACTTCTGTGTTTCTGCTGTCCCTCCGACGCATCGTTCCGCATTCCCTTTACAGTATGGATAAGACTTACAAGCCAATGTACATCACAAAGAGACATAATACAATCAGTATCTTTACATTTCGTCATGCTTGCTGCGGATATAATCAAAGATGCAGCTGTGCATGTGACCAAAACAAGTGTGGGTGACGTCACACGTTTCTGCCCAAAATGTAAAGGAGTTCTGACAGCTTGTCCTAACAGCAAGCAGCACAAGTGAATGACAGAACCCAAACGCTGTCTTCAGAATCAACACAGCTCCTCACATAACAGGCACTGGGTAGACTACGTTTTATTTAGGAAAAATGAAAGTAGCATAGAGTGCTTCATCCCTTCAATGCTTCCATTCAGGAGGTGAAACCTTAATTTGGATGTCTACAGCCCAGATCAAGCCCTTTTTGAGCTGCTGTTCGGAGATGCCTACAGCACCTGTGACAAAGCAGAGGGTAAACTAATCCGTCTAACGTTGTCAAAAAGTTCTATTTGCTGGGACACAGACGGCAGGTCATCTTGCCAATGATAAAGTCAACAGTGAGTGGTCGAGTGAGTTCATGTCGCCTGCAAAAATCAAACAGAAGACAAATAAAATAAATTTTCACCGTCTGTTTTTTTTTAAAAATTGACATCCAAATAACTTGCACAAATAAACTGGACTCGGTGTGTAAAGGTCTTCAGAGTGTGCCGTATTTGATGGACTGTTTGGATTTTTCCACAACTTTCTTCCCAATTTAGTCGTATCCAATTCCACTCACTAGTTGGGACTCCTCCAATCACATGATACCTCCAGTGCTAGGAGGTCGAAGGCCAGAAACTAAACTAGCCAAATACGGATTTTGAAGACGGCATGCTCCCATACGTTCACATTTGAAGGCGACAGGTCACCTCAATTTCACCTCTTGTGGGTTTGTTCGAGGCCACTCTTGTTGCATGTGGGTATGATAAGAAATGTTTTCTTTCAAATATGAAATGAGTTTACAAGATTATGTTTCTCACATTTTTTATCCTTTGTTAAGAATCGCAAATAAGAGTAGAAAAATGGGGACCATGGGCAACCCTGTCAGAACCCTGTGTGAGGGGGAATTTGTTGGAACCAACAATTTAGACTGTGTACAATTTAGACTGTTGCTTTACTGCATCATTATTTATTTGCATAAACTTGTCACTTGTTGCTAAATTGCAGCTACAGGTTGCCTGTTTCTATAGGACATGACTGGTCACCTGTTGCTCTGTCACCTGCTCATGTGAACGCAAGGTTAGCTGAGTAGGTCAGTAGTGTTGCAGTGTAGCAGTGTAGACACCCTAAAGACATATGAAGAGTACATTTGAGAGCTCACTTGCTGTTAGGCCAAGAAGGCTGTTCTGTCCCTGAATCTCTATATTGGTGTGTGCGTCCACCCTTTTATCCACCATGCACACACCAGTCAGCACTGTCCATCCCATTATTCCATTAGGCAAGCGACCAGGCTGTGAGTGTATGAAACGTGGAAAGATAAAATTCTTTTACCTTTTTGAAAATATAGAATATAAATAGATGATGAGCGTGACTCTGCAGCCTTTTGATACACACCATTAAATAATTATTATTTTTTTTTAAGCAAGGCATTGCTTTATCCATTGCATGCGATCCCAAACTGTTTATGGATACACACCTAGCAATGAATAAAGACAGAGAATTTTATATTGGTTTTGTTGTTTTTTCCATTTCATGGTCCTAATATACATTTAGAAAACCAACAAAAATATAAGACGTGATTTTCTCCACATGACGCAGGAGCGAGTCACTCTGCCACCGGAAAAATCCTTTTTTCACGCCGTCTACATAAACAAAGTGAATCTTTTTTTTTCTTTCATTTCATTTCTTAATGCAAACCAAACACAAACACAATCTGCAGAAAAAAAAATAAGTCGGTATAGCCCAGCAGTCCTCCACAGATCAGCGTATTAAGTGGGATTCAGGATTCAGGATTAGCCATCTTGATCCAACCCAGCAGTTTTCCACACTCTTAACTGGTGATAGAAACAGTCAGATTCAGTCTTGCCTGAAAGCAAGACCAAAAATGCTAAGGTTGCTAATAATCAGGGGCAAGTAACGTAGCTCTTTCAGCTTTATGAGATGCTAACTTCCCTCATAAGCTTTGACTACTAGCAACATTCGCATTTGGAATTGTTCCTTTAAAGTAGAAAAGGACACAAAAACACAAGGTAGTGAATATGCTATACGCTGATGAATGCTGGTCCAACAACCTCAGATGCTTAAGTGCTCCCAAACCCTTCAAACGTAAACCACAACCAATCCTTTTCCTCTAAATACAAACACAGACAATCCTCAATCCACCACAACAGGCCTTCTGTTCCAAAAAAAAAAAACTCAAATAGAACAAACCAATAGAAAATAGAAGAAAAATATACACTGCACCTCCAAAGAGGGGAAAAAATACAAAACAGAAATCAATCAAAAAACAAATATAAACAAAAACAGTCAAATTTCACTTTTTTTTGACATTTGACATTTTAGACAAAACACTTTTTTCCCCTCTTCAACTCGTTCCAATACACATCCATGTCCTCAAAATCACCTTCTCTTTGCTTGCTATTCACATCCATCCATCCATCCAAAAAACGGTTAGCTAGCACTCAGCCTGAGCTCTGTTGGGGTTCTCTTCATCCAGTGGGAATGTACATGTTGGAGAAAACGTAGTTCACTCGTTGTTGTTGCTGCTGTTGTTGTTTACAAGTCTTTCATTTTGCTTTATCTTGCAAAAAAACAGCTCACAAGTTTGGCTGCTGAATGAAAAGTTTGCATGGTGCTTTTTTCTTCTCTCTTTTGTAAAAGTCTGCTGATGAGTCCACGTCGCGTGGCGAATGGCAGAGAAAGTGGCAGTGGTGACTTGGGAGATCCTTGTGTAGATGTCACGGCGTCTCTGTGGCTAAGCCTGGAAAAAAAAACACCGCAGGGGGACGGCAGCAATAACAGATCAGATCAGAGACATGATATATTCTTAATCTACGCACACAGAAGACCAATCAAAAGTTTGGATGCACCCACTCTTAAGGGTTTTGTTCAATTTTTAATTTTGACTATTTTTAACTTTTACCGTTTAAAATTTTAAATTCTTCCAATGTTTAAATTACACGCCCAACTTTTTAGCTATCAAGGTTTAAAAATGACTCAGTAAAATATCTCACAATTGGATAATTACTCGGAGTAACAATGTGATTTTGCTGTAATGTCACACATTTAAGTTGGAAACAAGTGGCCGATTCATACAGGGAGGAATCTCTGTAATTTCTGCAACTTACCCCAGAAAGTTTGGAAATGTCATAGCCAAGACGTTCACATCAGCATTAAGATTAAAATGAAACAGGTCTGAATAAGCGAACAGTAAGACGCCTCTGTCGGAACAAAACCTCGTATCTCCTTTTTTTCGTAATTTTTCTGTTTTGTGACATAATTTGAAAATGTCTGTTTAACTTTACATTGTGTGTGAATTTCATGATGAATGGCCCAAAATCACTTGGGGGGGAAAAAAGTCTGATTACATTGACTTACTTTAAAAGTGAAATAAGTTTTTTCCTTCTCCTGTAAAATTACCATTTTGGAGACACAAAGTTTTGTTATGGACAGAATAGGTTTAGGCTAGTAAAGTGAGCTCATTCAACTTAACAAATACCGATTAACAAGATTCCTTGTCCTTCTACTTAGGCCAAAACCAAAATGCTGTAATTGTCACAGTAGTCCTGTTTTGAGTTTAAGCATAAATGACCTCCATTTTGGTGGCTGGCATTGTCTTTCAGTGCCGTTGTCCATTAACATATTTAGCTATTAAATTATCGTGATTTTCATTTGAAGAGGACTACTTATTACCAAGGAGGTTCTGCAAATTATAGAAGGTAATTATCTCTAGAATTGATTTAAACCTGTAAAAACTAGGGGCTGCAGATTCCTACTGGATTAAAATCATGGATCTGGTCAGTAATCACTCACATTACAGCAACTGCCCAGACAAAACTAATCCAACTTGATTAAGGCACAAGTAAATGGAATGTGATGTTCTGTAATGTACTATGCTGTACTATAATAATGTACACTGGGAGCAGCACAGCATTGCCAGCAGAGAAATGCCATCTGGTACAGTGGGGGGGTTAAGAGCCTTGACCAAGGGCACAATTGGGAACACCCAATCAGTCCTGGGATTTGAACCTGTGACCTTCCAGTTGCCAGCTCACTTCTCCCAAAGTATCCAGTTAAACCACAGTACGAATTATTGCTTTTGTTTACAGCCCAGATTCAGTTTGATTTCTAGGTAATAAATAGATATATATTATAAAAAGCTCAAGGATACAGACTTTTTTTTACCCAATATAACTACCTGCTAATAAGACATTTTACCAATTTACCTTTCTACAGTGAAATTTATGTCCTCCAAACAATTATCCATGCATGAGATATTTTACTATGTCCTTTATCAGCCTAATAGCTGGAAAATGTTGGGTATTTCAGAGTAATTTAGACTATTTTACTCAAAATATCTACACAGCAAAAATAGGCATTAGCTTCACCATTTTGATTTATCTATGCATTTTTTTTATCAAAATGATTAAAATCAGGCATCCAAACTTTTGACTGATGCTCTATATGAGATCAGATTTACAGAGTACCTAGAATCCCATATGAAAACATAACATGTTTACATTCCCAAACTAAAACACTGCATTTTCCATATGCAGTACAGTATTTTCATATAGGATCAAAGAAAAGCTAGCACAACACAGATCACTAGCCACGTTCTAACATTATAGCAGTACATGGATGGATTTAGAATGAATTGGAGTGCAGTAATGAGAATGAAGATGGGAGAGAGATGACTTTCATGAGGCTGATATGAACACAACATGTTAATAAGCACATAATGTACAGGTACAACTTACCGTACTATGTGTTAAACCTAGATAGAAACTGTAGAGGATTATTAGCCTATTCTAAGCCCCAGTAGGTGCGGAAGATTGTTTTGTCACAAGAAAAAGATGAGCCGAACTTTGAGAGTCCCATCACCCAATACGTATCCCAGAGGCAATGTACCCAAGGTCTATCTGCCCGTGAATGAAGTGAAGCAGGATGAGATGGAGGGGGAGGTGATGAGATCGTATTTGCAAAGCTGAAGCGCGATGAACCAGCAAGAAAACAAAAGCAAGGACTGCTGTTAAAGAAGAATTCCAGGATTCCAGAACTTCTGCATAATTGATGAGATGTAAACAGTCACTCAGAGTGGTTTGATGTTAAATGCTTTACTGTGGATTTTACCAACTCTAATTTCTTTACAGTGGTGGTGATCGGAACCAGGGGTTGCAATGTCTACACAAATATGGCCATTTTATTTAATATCCAAAACCACCAATGAACCTGCATGAGTTTTGATGGTGGTAAAACAGTGAAAAATCTGAAAAAACAAGAGTAGCACTGATGCAAAGCACAGCTTTACTGTTACGAAGCTGTGCTTAAGTGCCCCCTCGTGGAGAACATTCAGCCTGCTAAACATGAGTGAGTGAGTGAATGTGTGCGTTACAAGCTAGGTGTATGAAGTGCTTTGTATTTTAAAGTCCATTTCCTTTGGGGACTATTTCACCTTACGGCGCCCTGCATGTACTTCTCTGCCATGTATGTATATAAAACAATGTTTCAGTCCAAAATCCTTTCGTAAAACTATTGTACAACAATGTCTCAGGTGTCAGGGAGGATATTTGTAACCATTTCGTGTAAAAGCTTCCTTTTAGAGAGCTTTCAGAGACAGTAAACTCTTCAGATGTCTGGTACCAATCATCACCACTCTGAACAATTCTGATTTGGCTTCTCTAGACATTAATTTACATCATTTCAGGCAGAAATTTAGAAATTCAGTAGAATTCCATTTCAACCCAGAGACGTTAACCATGAGACATGGGCAGTTGGAGGTATCTTGTTGCCAGTGTTTGTGACCATGAGGTACCACTGTTTGTCCTAACATCTAGGAAATTGTATCTTTCATGAAAAATATATGACTTTAAACAGACAGACAGGCACTAGTTTTGAAATTATGACGGTTCTCTGGGTCAGGCATGGCCAAGAAACATCGCAAATCAAAGGAGAAGCAGCGTGCAGGTGCGCATGAGGGTTACAAAATCACAGTCCCAGACAACAGAAACAGAACCGAACCCAGCAAAACCTACCATGCATGCATTTACACCCAGGAGTCAACAGGCTGAGGCTTGACATCGCAAGCGTCCACAAGACTGATCGCCGGCCTGTTGCTCCGAATGTAGTGCTTCCTATTCGTGTCATTCTGCAGCAAACAGGAGGGTTAAAGGTCAGCGAAAACAAACAAACAACAGTTTTAACAAACAGAAAAGGACAGAGAGTCAGAAGAGGGGTCAAAGCAGCAAAGAGTTAGTCCTCTGGACGAGGAAGCATCAAGGAAAATGAGACAAAAGTGAGAGCAAAGAGGGAAAAAAACAATTCCATGCAAATCACAACAGGCAAACAGGGACAAAACTTTCTGAATTTATTTTAAAAAACAACAACACTGCAGCTTAAGTGATACTGGAGGTGTGAAAGCGGGGTTGGCGTGGTGGTCGCAGAGCTTCAAACGAACACAAGGGGGAGCAGCTGTGTGGCCACACAGTACGAAATCATCACCTTTGCCGTCTATGAATGACTCCGTAAAAAGGTTGCATGAACTTTACTGGACTGCATGTCTAAACACGACTGTTGGGTTGAATATAAAGAACATTCAGCTTAATCCATAGAAGTCGCAGTTATTATGTGGTGTAATTTGATATTAGTTCTCACTGCTCATTGGAGCGGAGAAATAATGTTAAAAGCGCAGATTCTAAACTTTTAACGATACCACATTCGTGCTTGTAAGTAGAAGATATTTTGTTATGCTTTAAATCTGACCATTATAGTTAAATTTATAATTTATATTTGATTATGCTTTGAATCTGATGAAAAGTTATTGGGTGTTCAGTTTTGTCTTGCAGGAAAAAAACAAAAAATTTGCCATGTTTTTTTCCTTTTTTGATCAAAACAAACACTGTAAATGCAAACATACTGTAAATTTTGCTATGATAGAATTGGTGACTGTAGTCCCTTAATTCAAATAGTCTTTGAATGGTTTTAAAGCGATAACTTCAGTGCCTTCAGCAGACTACACAGGACAGTGCTGGCATGAGGACTATGGATAAATCAACAAGCAGCAAACTAACAAAAGCGACAGCAAAGTTGAGCTCCAGTGTGCTCCACTGTAAGAAGAATCCATTAGCTATATGAACAAAAGCGAGAGACTACAATCACAGAGTTGAACCATTGACTCTATATGGACCATTCTCCATATTTTAAAAACAATTAAGTCTTCAGGTCTTAGCTATTTGCAAAAATTGTGTTATGATCTATTTAAACCGAAGCCATTAATTGTGATAGCAGTATACAACATCATCATTTATAGGGTACTTTCTATTGGAAGGTGAAAGATTTAGATTTATCATGAGTTTAACCTTTAAATACAATTAAAAAAATGCCGTCTTGTTTTTATGTAACTACCGAAACACACAGAATTTTAGTTCATAGGAGGAGCCTTATTTTAGCCACACCCCTGCATTTATAGTAGGAAGTGAGACTGCATCCCTGTAGCAGTTAGATCCAATTGTTTTGAAGCAAATGTGTCCCAAAGTCTAAAAATCAGTGTGAAACATTAAGAACTGTCATTACTGAAACATTTTCTGCACTTAAGTAAACTTTTTAGTGTTTCAAATATATATATATATATATATATATATATATATATATATATATATATATATATATATAGCTGTGTTTGCTAGTCATGTACTACCTAGCCTTTTTGAGTTCTGCTCAAAATTATCTAAAATTGTCACTACCGAAACAGTCTAAAACATTTGGTAAAGTTTTAGTAGTATTATGGTTGTTTTGGTAGTGACAAAATAGAATGCTCAATCAGTTATTTTAATAAAATAAATGTGATTAAAGCAAAGCAAATTGATTTTAGTCCAAAGGCCAAATTGGAAACTGTGTTCACAAGATTTCCATTTTCAGGTTCATATGAACCCTGAAAATAAAGTAATGAAGTCTGATGTTGTCCATTCATACAGCTATAACAAAACTCAGACTTTACGCTCAGTGGCTATCGAGCAGCTTGACTGCGGTGGCTAATCAATCCCGTCAGCCAGACGGCATTGAATGACTGAGGCCCACTTAATTGACCCATAAAGTGGCTCACACTCTTGCGAACTGATGCCCTCCACCACCCCATTTTGGGTCCACACGTGCCGTCTCTAGCATGTAAACGTAATGCAGCCTGTTGTAAATTATACTGATTGAGAGCTTTGATCCGGTCCCCAGAAGGATGTTCTGTGTGAGGTCAAGTGGAGGGCCACCACTTCCCCAGCCTGAGATGTCTGCATGTGTGGGAGCAGGAAGCACAGTTGAAGTCTTTAAAATCTCAATACAGATGACTTCAAAATCACTGCATTTGCGCTCAATTATCTGCCATTTCAGGTCTGCAGCTTGTAAATCAGAGCGCAGTAGGTGAGAGCACGGACTTCACAGATATGAGCTGCTGAAGAACCCTGGGTAACACTCTGCTTACAGTTAGCAAAAATAAGCTGTGACGAGATCAAACATTATGATATCACAACACTGTTACGGAATAAAACTTGTCCCTAAATCTGGTGTTAGCAGCAAACAATTACTTCTAATTCCACAATACTCACTAAACTAGGAGAGAGAAGTCTAGCCATTCACTTGTAACAGCACAAACCAGGACAGTTATTGGTAGCTAGAGCCAGTATATATAGCTATAGCTAACAGACCCCTAGTGATAGAACGAGGTACAATTCCCAACCTGGACAAGCACACCAAGCTACAACAATAAGGGTTGATTACTGAACAGAGTTTAAGCCTAGTCCTGGACTACACAGCATTCTGAATGGAGATTATCTATTGAAAGGAAAAAGCGGTCCAGAAGTAAGCTTAATGTCTGTACAGGAAATTGACCATAGACGCTCTTGGACTTGACTCCTAATAGTGCTGTAACATGAATAAACTGTAATAACAGTATCTGGATAAGAGTGGATAAGAGTACCTGGAGAATGTCATAAATAAATGTCATTTAATGCATATAGTAATTATTGTTCATTATTGTCAAACGGTATATAAAAAAATCTATCCCAATAAATATTTTGCCCATATCGCCCAGTCCTACTTCAGAGAGTCTCGCACCCTATATGACTCCCTAATTAAAACATAAAGCACTACCAAGGGTGTAGAGTCCACGTCATGAGCACAAACATCATTAGAAGAGTATATGTTGCACAACAGTTACCCAGCAATGCTGCCATCCTGCTCTGGAATAAGAGATGTATGAGCATTGATTATCATCACCATTCTGTACTGTCTTATGCTGCGTTTACATTCTGATGGTAGACAGATGACTGGAAACCAGGTATTCCATATCTTTCAATGACATGATGACAGAAAATGCCAGTGTTCAACTTTTGTCAATGTTAGACTTTTATCAATATTTATCAGTATTTTCGGGGAATACAGAAGCTAAACACTTTTAGCTGGTTATGTACAACAAATTCCAAATTTTGACCAAAATATTTGACGTATTGAGAAACATTAGCCCTTTCTGGGACAAAACAGTGGCCAAAACCAGTGGCCAGCACAAGGGAATGCACGCCTCTGCTATTTTAGTGATGGAATTCTATTATAAGGCCCAGAACAGTGTTTTTCATGTCAACATGTAAACCAGGGGTCTCAACGTATCAGCCAATGAAACTTGATACAGCTTGCATGTATTTAAAATATGTAATATCATTTTTTCTGCTGCAGCTGAATAATTACATTTGACAGGTAGATTTGCTTCACCCATAGAACATAAGATCTATAAAATAAACTTATGACGTTAAAAGCAAAAATAAAGTGCAGTACACAAGAGGGACCATTCAAACGAAAAGCCTGATAAGAACACTGCACACTGAGCCAGTGTGGTTGTAATTTAGCAATAACAAACTTAGCTATTATTCTAATTTAGAGCGATAACTAGTTATAATTGCCTTTGTGGATTCATTCATGACACAATGTTACAGCATGTCAGAATTGAAACAGAATTATTAAACAAACCCATTGAAAACACAGACTTTACCACTTTGATGACAATTTACTAGCATTAACTTCACTCACCTTCAGCAGAAACGATAACGCTATCACAATAGTTTTAATTTTGCCTTAGTTTAATACTTGCTAATGGTCTCTTTGCTTGTCTGGTCTGTTTAGTATGTCATACATTCGTGCACTCAAAATGAGTTCCTTTTGCGAAATAAAGTGATTCTGATTCTGATAAGAGTTCCATATAATTCTACTGTAAAAGTAAGTTTACTTGATTTAATTGGATACTAAAATATTTCAAACACTCTGTATTTATTCTACTAATAATAATGACAATATTAATAGTAACAATAATTATTACTATTATCAGTAACAGTAGGTTGTGGTAAGTAGGTTGAGGTAACAGAAGAATTGCTAATAAACATTGACTACGATGTGCTTAAAAGAGTGTATTTGTGTAGTTAAGATTCAAATTATGGGAAACAGCCCCCCCCCTTGAAGAATACCACTTGGCTAGTGGGCCCCAGCTGATTTGAGTTTGAGACTCCTGATGTAAACGCAGCATAAACATTTACAGTTTTAGTTTTACAGTGGAGTTATGAGGCTAATAGTTAACAAGTGATCAAAGCTTACATCACTGCAGTCTGCACAATGCTAACCAGCTCCATTAAAAAAACTAAGGAAACTTCAGACACCAACTTCAGTCTCATCAACTATAATTAAGTTGAAAGCGAAATTGTGTCAATTCTTTGCCGTTTACGTGTTTTCAGCTCTCACCTTCAGTGGTTCCCGCTCCGTCAGGTCTGATGAGCCATCGCTGGTTTTGTATTTGCAGTCTTTGTCCCTTTGGTCAATAGTGGAATAGCCGTCTGTAATAGAGAAAGCATACAGACTACTTTAGTTGTGAGTTGTACAAAGCGCTGCTTACCGCGGATCTTCTAAGGAGTCATGACAGACATGCAAGACACTTGTGATATATCTTGTATGAGTGTTGATGTGTTGAGGCAGAACATTTCATTACCTCCCTCCTTCAAGTCATGTCCTGATCTCTTTGCCTCTACTTCTTGCTACCATCTAACTTTCTCTCTCTCGCCCACCGCTCACTCCCCCAGCCCACACACTGTCCAATTACTGTCAGTCAGGCTTGCCCAGAGCCCCAAAGCATCGTGGAATGTGAGGCAGCCTGGTGGAAGGGTAGCGCGGAGCGGCTGATGAGTGCACTCCTCATCTGCATGTACCCGCCGGGAACTGATTTAGCTGAAGTTTCTACTGCTGCACCACTGTCGCTAATGCTAATGTAGCTACTACTGTCACTATAGCACTTACAACTGAATTTACCGGTGAGGCTTTCTGTTTTAGCAAGCCTGAAAAATCTCTCCCTCTGCCTGCACTAACATACCAACGTTACTGGCCACTTTAATAGAAACCTCTAACTTGTGGCTCCACTTTGCTCGTGTACAATAAGAGGGTGTAGCTCATATGTTGATGCACAATTAGCCAATAAGTGCTAGCCCTTCATCAGCGGTCAGTTTCTGACCACAGAACCACTCAAATATCTTTGCTGTGCTAAGAATGACGAGGTAGGTGTTTCCAATAAAGTGGACAGTGAGTAGAAGCACAAGGTACAGGTTTCTAATAAAGTGGCCAGCTAGTGGAAATACTACATAGGTGTTTCTAATGAGGTGGCCATTGAGTGGACATACAAGGCAGGTCTTTCTAATAAAGTGGCCAGTGAGTGGACGCACAAAGTGGGTGTTTTGAAAAAAGTGGACAGTGAGTGGACGTACAAGGTGGGCGTTTCTAAAAAAGTGACTATCGAACGGACATATAAGGTAGTTGTTTCTATTAAAGTGGCCAGTGAGTGGATGTACAAGGAAGGTGTTTCTAATAAAGTGGCCAGGGAGTGGATGCACAAGGTGGTGTTTCTAATAAAGTGGCCAGTGAGTGTTCTGATGCTTTTAAACATGTCCCTCACTTGCGCCACTTGAGATTCACCTCAACACACTCCTGTAGCAAAGACAGTGTGGAGAGAAGGGGGCTTTTTGCTCAGAGCCTCCAGAGACCACAATGTTCCACATGAGGCTGAGGAACAAAGAACAACAATTTTCTACCAGCTCACTGGACAGAGAGATGGTAGATAGTGGTCTAAGAAAATGGACAGATTCCCAGAGCTGGTCACAAACACCATGTTAAAAGAGGAACTTCACAGACAGCATTAGAACCAAAATCATGATTGCAAGCATCGTGTTAGAAAAATCATTTCCATTTGATTAGTGAAATAAAAGGGGGTTGCCTTTAAGGCAAAATTTTTACCTTACAATCATTCCCATTCCAGGAAAAAAAATTACAGATAACATGTTAGAAGGTTTAAGATTGCATTCCCACAAAAAAGTACTGATGGTCTTTGGACGGCATGCAAACGCTCTCTTACCTGGACCCAGCTCGTCCATAGGTATCATAGCACCACTGCCACAGCCTCTGTCGCCTGCAAAGCATTCAAAGGCTGTTTCTTTCATCTCTTTACCACATGGCCAGCTTTAATGCGGTGCTGCTTTTCACAAAAGACAGGTCCAGAATTTAGAGAAGGCACACATCTTTCATACTGAAGTAAGCTGAGGATGAAGTGGGAATGGCAGCTATGTGCACCATACGTATGCCTTTTGAACTGGCTCGGTATAGTGAGATAGCAATAATGGAAAACTGAATAAAAAAAAGGACATGCTGTCGTGTTGAAGGCTCCTCTCTTAATGAGATGCTTGGAGCTCAAGTGGATGCATGTTTGCCTTTACTTTAGCAATATATTTAGTGATGGATTCCTGGGATGAAGCCCATCTACCTGCAGCCTTATACTGTAAGTCTTTCATATCGAAATTTATATCATATTAAAACCCCTGGCTGACTGTGATTGATGAGATGGGGATGCAGCTTTACAGTTCGTCCAGAAGATGGCGTGAGAGAGTAGACTGATGGTGCACTGATGCTTATTACGGTCATCAACAACATAGCTAAGACGTCCAACAATACATGGCTGCAGTTGCCCCTGTCCGAAATCTTGACGCTACAGAATACAATGCCATTCAAGAAAACTGTGACTTCAGACTTTGAGGTAACAGATTGTGCAACATCCGATCCTGTTCCAGCATGAATGCACCCTGTGCTCAAATGAGCTGCGTAAACAAATGGCAAGTTTGGCGTGGAAGCCCTTGGTTGACCCCAGCCACATCCAAAACCTTTGGGATGAATTGGAACATCGATTTTGAGCCAGGCCTTCTCGTCCAACATCAGTGCCTGAACTCACAAATGCTCTAGTGACTGAATGGAAGTGAATCCCTGCAGCCATGCTCAAAAATCTAATGGAAAGCCTTCTCAGAAAAGTGGAGGCTATTATAGTAGTGAAGTGGGACCAGCTTCAAATTAAAGGCCCATGCTTTTAGAATGAGGTGCTTAACAAGTACTTATGGATGATGAATGGATTCCACATACTTCTGGCCATATGGTTACTGCTTCTAATAGAGGTAAAGTATTAACTCTCATATATGAAGATTGTTATAATCATTTGCAATCTTTCAGTATTTGTGTTCTCTCTTTGCATTAGTTAAGTGGAGCGTGAGAGTGGTGGGCCCATTGCTGACCACTAAGACTCCTCCATCCTAAGGTTTCAGGTGTGTCCAGTTGAGTTTCTTGTACTAACCTTGGTTCTTCTCCATTAGGGGCAGAGTGGTGTCATCGTAGCCCGGCTTGCCGCTCTTGGAGCCTTTGGGAGCACTGCTGGCTGTGGGCTTTGGGAGGAGAAGAATGCAGAAATTGAGCAGAACAGCAGTGAGATGCTTTGATAAAACAGTATTACTGCCTTGTAACTCATTATTCCCCCTTCCAGGGCATTTAGGTCTAGGTCATCTCTGTACCAGTTAGGGAGGCACACAGCTTTAGCAATGATCTTTATAGAAAGATATCAGATATCTGCTCTGTTCCATAATGGCTTCAAATAAACAGAGTTGTTGTCTTAGGCTGTTTTGGGGTTTTACTGGTTTCTGATCAAATAAAGTCTCTGCTTTCATGCTGTGTCAATATCAGTGTGAAATTCAAACAATAAACGTATTGCTCTGAAAACTAAACTCAGAATAACATGTTTACTAGCTTGATTTCTCTCAGAAGTCTATGTCTCTCTTTCTCCCATATCCCAAAATTAAACAGCCCATATTTTTTGTCATTTTTCTTGTCTCTTATTTTTCCCCAAGGTGCACTTTTGACATTTGTGTAGGTTTATGTATCAAAAAACAGTCATAATTCATTTTTAAAGTGTCCATTGTTTAATCTCTCTAAATCCCTTTGAATGAAGGCTGTTTTTGTTACAGTGCCTTTAAGACTGATACATGTAAATGACCTCATACTGACTGGCTGCACAAATTCTGCCCCATACTGAAAGCAGCCCAGGCTGAAACACTCCTTATAACTTCAGTGTTAATTGGATGGGCTAAAGCTGCTGGATATTTGCAAATACACTGGTTTTTGTGACATCACAAATTCAAAATGGGCTGTTTTTGCAGCTTAATTTCCATATATGAACTGGGTGGGTTGAGGACATTATGTTTTGAAAATTAAAAGAGTGAGGAAGATTTGGTTTTCCATGATATGGACCTTTCAAGGCTGATTTATGTAAATGAGCTCTGTTCTGATTGGCTGCCTTTATTCAGTAAAGCCTTCATTCGTAAAGCCGTCCATGCTGAAACAGCCCTTATAACAGGAGTTATGAATGTGAATGGGCTAAACTGCTCTGTGCTAAATAGGTGAAAATATGCAAATGCATTGTTTTTTGTGACATCATGAAAACAGTGAATTCACAAATGGGCTCTTTTTGCAGCTGTTTTTCATATATGGACTGTATAGACTGGAGAGTGAATGTTACTTTTGAACCTGAACAATGTTAACATACTGCACCAAACTTGAAGAAAACATGAGGAAAATTTGGTCTTCCATGATATGGGCCCTTTAGAACTAATGTATGTAGATGATCTCTGTTCTGACTGGCTGTCCCATATTGTGTCCCTTATATCAGGACTTCTAGGCATAAATGGACAGGTCTAAACTGCTGTAGGCTGAATAGGTGGATATATGTAAATGCACTGGTTTTTGTGACATCACAAAAACAGTGAATTATAAATGAGCTGTTTTTGCAGCTTACTTTCCATACATAGACAAAGTCGGATGACAGACCTTCCCAGATATATAAAACTCAGAAAGTGGCTCTGGGTCAAAGTGACTCCACAGGACGGTGCAGGTCACCCATCTACAGAAGAACCACAGAGGGATAACTCTATAGAAGACTTAGAAGATGCTTCGTACTTTCAACAGAACATGCTTGGAACTTTTAGAGGATTGTCCCATTAGCGCAGGACCCATACGCACTAAAAGCTCTCAAGAGCCCTTGATGAAGCTCTCAGAGACACACAGGGCACTTTTCAGTGGGCAGGGAAGTTGATGATGGTCAGAACTCGTAAGTAAGCTAGCAGATGAAAGATGCAGGAGACAGAAAGAGGCACAATTTGCTCTATTCTCTGTCTCAACTCCATCTACACTCTAAGACTGTACCCCACCTGAAAATGGGTTTTGCTCCAGCCATCCTTGGTCAAGGTGTTCCGCAGCTCCTTGTAACTCCAGACAGTCTGCAGGATGTGCGAAGCAGCCTTGGTCTCTCTGGCTGACTGGCTGTGGGACAGGAAACACAGGACGGTGGTGTTATAAGCAGTCCAGCACCCATTTCTATTCGGAGAATGACACTGTAACATCTAGCAGACAAAGGCTTAGAATAGTCCAGTTTCCATGGAATCACAATCTCATAGCACATCCCTGAAACATTTGTGACCCCTGGCTAATTCTGACAGGGGCATTGTATTTCAAACAGTGGTGGTGGTGGTGGTGGGGTCTTGTCATCCCCCGTGACCTACAATACTGTGCAAAAGTCAGAGACCACCCTTCATTTGTTTAATATCCAGTAAAACGGCTAGGTTTTTTATTTTTCAGCATTGGGAAAAACAGCAGAAAATATATATTTGGCAGAAAATTATACCGTTAATTATAATATTTTAATGTCCATTCTTTATTTTTATTAAAGTCTTCATCCTTTTAGAAGGCTCACTTTCAGTTTTTCAAAGAAACCTGCACATATATTTTTCCACACCTCCAAAGTTCAGTCTTAAAAGTTGGTTGCACTTTCTGCTTTTCACCATCCAAATAATCCCAAACACATTCAGTGATGTTGAGGTCTGGACTCTGGGGTGGTCACTCCGTTGTTCTGAGGACACCAGCAGCTTCTTAGACATACATGGGTCATTCCATAACAGCTCACCTGGTGTCAGTGTTGGGTTTCCATGAGGGAATTTGAGTTTGAGAAACTTTATTTTTAAGTTTAACTGCCTACAAAATGACTAAACTGAGCTGATATATTAACTTGGTAGAAATAAAATACTTAAATGCTCAAAATCAGCTGTTTTTGTCAATAAATTGTCACAAAATGTTTTTTTTTCCCTGAAATGCAATCTTTCAGTCTGTTTTCATAATTATTTTTGCAAAATTGAGTTTTTATATTATTTTCCAATATTTCCAGCAAATCTATTTATTTTTTGCATGAGTCAAAATGGCTTTACAATTAGAAATCTATTTTATCTGCCTTTTTGAATCTCAAAATGCATTATTTCCTTCAGTCTTTTTCCCAAACAACAAAAGTTATGTCTGATTAACATACAAAATAATTACAGATGTGCTGTGTAGCCTTTATGGGTTGATATTTTTGTTTAAACAATTATGTATTTCGCTAAGATGCACAATACAAACAAACAGTAATACAGTAAATAGGCGAATGGTGGCTTGAACATTTTGCAGGGTGGCATTAAATTGTGTTAAAACTTTCAAAACTTCAGTATAAGACAATCATTAAGACCAAAGTCATTCAGAGTGGTTTGGTGTGAAATGCTCTGTTCTAGAGAAACTTACAGAGTCAGAATTGCTCACAGTGGTGGTGATAGGAACCAGACATATACCTCTAAAAGCTCCCTCACAGAAAGTTATTACATAAAATGTTTATGAAGACACAAGCAAAACAGTCCCCAAAGAAATCTTATTTTTTCAGATTTACCACTATTTTACCATCATCAATATTTCATATATAAACACTCAGAAGACACATCACTGGAGGATTTGGATTTGGATAGTAAAAAAAATGGCTGTATTTGTGTTGCAGATATTGTGACCCCTGGTCCTCATCACTAAATCTACAGTGTATTTTATTATTTGATTTTTGTATAATTTTATATTTTATATAAATAAAAAATTGAGAAAGAGCGCAGTTTTTGGGAAAAATCTGGCCCCCGGTGGGATCTGTGGTGGGATCAAAGTCACCTGTTCCCAAAGTGGGACCCCTGGCTGTATCAGAGGGCCACAGCTCCTCCCATTTTCGCTTTGTTAGCTCATCTTATGATCCGCAATTACGCAGTCCGAGTTTGCTCCACTTCAAAGACCCAGAAGAGAGAGGCAAATCACGAATGAAGCATGCACTGATTTTTTTTTAAGGGAAAAAAGTTAATCTAACTCAATTGATGCTCAGTGAAGGAAAAAATCAAACCTGATTGGGCCTTTAGCAGGTAGATGGGTGCGAATAATAGAAATTAGGTGTGCAATGAGGTCAGATGGGACTGTCTATTGAAGAAAGGATGATTAAAGAGTCCCTTTTGTTCTCTAGAAGCATGCAATGTTTTCCAAATCTGTGAGTGCAGAGGGCAAAATTTAATGCTCAGAAATCATCAGTTCCTCCTCTGGTTCCGTTCTTGGGAACTCTGTAACACTTAAATATGCAAAAACTCTTCTTCTCATTAATATTACATAATTCAGGGTTACAACAAATAATAGCCTGTTGGCTAACATGACTAAACAAATGCATATAAAGTAGCTCTTGAGATTAACAAGCTGCTCTTGCGATATATTTAACTAAAAAACAATACAAAGCTGCATTTAATGATAAAGTGGAATTCCATTTGTCATTGGAAAAAAAACCAAATCCCGCACCGCCCCCCTCTCTTTTTATCTCTTTCCTGAAGCAGAACCATTATTCATTTCACAAATATTACAGGAACAGACTGTGCTTACAATTATTATTCAAACACAGTCTGTGAACAGACGTTCACCTAGGTTTTAACATTTTTGCAAATAACATTAGTCTCAGCATCAGACAATCCGCCCAAACGAACATGAAGCGCCTGATCCAAGGACATAGCTAAGGGGGCCTGGGTGGCCTAGGCCACCTCGCTTGGCAGCCAGTCTCTACTCCCAGGTTTCTGACTGCTTAAAAGTAAAATACCGGTTTGATTGGTTCTTATGGAAGCCTTGAAGGGTGATATTATATAAAATTGAGAGTGCGTTCTTGAGTCTAGTTCAACTTTATAAATTTTTCCTGCTACCATCACAGCCAAAAATATTTCTAGCATCACAATTTCAGCAATTGAAAACCTAAACCTTTTTTCCCAGTAATGTTTGAAAAAAGGCTAACACTTAGCATGCTACACCAACTTTGACCAGTAAAAAGCAGCACTTTTTTCCCCTTACCCTTTGGGGACCAGGTGAAAAAAAAAAATTACTTAGCATGAGCATAATAATTGTCAGCCACTTAGCTGCCCAGCTTTGTTTTTTTTTTTAGCTGGTCCCTGAGGGGTAAGGGGAAGAAAAAAAGCTGGCATAACTTGCTAAGTGTTAGCCTTTTTTTTTGGTTTATGTTACCTGTCTGGCACAACTCAGTAGTGGGGAAAAATGTAAGGAAGAAGGGAACTTAGACTTGGGAATTCACTTTACATTTTTTCCCAATATTATCCTTCAAGGTTTCTGTATGTTCTACAGGTAATGCACTGTTGCAAGTAGTAGACTGAAAAAAAAGGTATTCACAGGGCTTAACTGAGACATCCTCACTTGTTTGCATTCTAATTTGTGTGATTTTATTGTAGTCCATTTTGAGAATCCTGCATCATGCAAAACAAAAGGCTGTGCATTATGTTGTGTGTCAGTCAGAGTGCCTGTTCCTGTCACAGTAGGCGGTTCTTGGTCATGTTGAGTGTCAAACACACCTGGGACATCTGACTCATGAGACTAACGTGACATTAATGTGCGCGCACTAGGGTGCAGCGTTGCCAGAATGGAAGAATTTTTCAGGGCTTCCCCAAACTCCCTCCAACAATTCATTGTGATGAGGAGGGATCTTCTGTACACTTATGAAAATGAGCCTCCTTTGCCAATCATTTCTTGACCTGCCCCATTTTTCTGTGTGTGCTGGTGTGGTATTTTGTTTATTTGCTTCATTTTAGGCCCAGCTCTAAAACGATCTGATAGGGTTAGGATAACCAGATTGGTAAACATTCGATGGAGTAAAAGCCTGGCCTGTATTATTTTAACTAAGGCCCCATCCACAAGCAAAAGTAGTAGTTTTCCCTCTTTGTTTTGCATATTCACACAAAACTTGCATATTGTTGGTACAGTTTTTATTTACTGAGTATGAAAAACACATGCAGAAATACAACTGGGTTGTTTGTGTGCTCAGCTATTTAGGGGTTGATTGAAATGAGCTTTATTTGTCATGACACCTTGTGGAGGCGTCAGAATGTACTGTACTCAATATACAGTCAATGATTCTAAAGCTATGGGGCTTGATGATAATTAACCAAAGTCCGGTTTGGAACTTCACTTCTCTGCCTGATCAGGACTGTGTGTTTTTTGAGAGACAGTGGTGTAGTGATGGCATTGTAAATATGGCAGCAAATAGTACTTTTATTTTCTGGCAGTAATCAGACTTTGAATCTGTGTGAGATTCTGAATTACAACCTGTTGTGTTTGCTGTGACTTTTTCTGCTTCAGCTTTGTGCTCTATATTTTTCACAAAATGCACGCTCAAAAAGTTTGTCCTGAAGCATTTTAAATTTGATCTATGTTAAAATTGTGAGGTCCATTGTACTATCACCCTCTACTGGGCTGGCATGCTCATTGTAGCATTAGCATTTTTGTGTTCTCGTAAGGAGGGAGAGATTTTCGAAAAAGCTGTTGGTGTGGATGAAGATTTTTCTGAAAATGGAAAGAAAACAAAACATAGCCTTTCAAATATCTGTGTTGATGAGGCATAACGTTATATGTGTTTGTTGGAAAATGTGAATCTTTTGATTCTTCATACACCCACAAACCTCTGAAATTTGGTCCAGATGTTCCCAGCATACAATAATATTAGTGATTGGTTAGAAAGCTCTTCTGGGGAGCAGTCTGGAGCAGCGCCATGTGAGGATGCATTTTTACTGAGCTCCGCATTACAGCTGGTATTTCATATGGAAGCAGCTATTTAATGTCAGTTTTATTAATTACTGATAAGGCAAGTCAAGACTTTGCACTAGGTTTGATATCCTGACTTTACGCTGGCAAGAAATATTGAAAAACTCTTGAACAATGCTTGACACACATGCTAACTCCAGACCTAACCCAGATGCTAATGCTGCCCTAGGCTGGAGAGCAGATCAGGATGCTAACCACCAAGCAATTGCTGAGCTGAGGACTAAACTAAACTAAAGCAGAGGCACAATCTGCTGAAATTCGGAACCAGGTCGACCAGCTCAGAGCAGAAATTAAACTTGCAAATGATAACGCAAATTCCAAAAGCGAGGCTCTGGACAAACGGGTGGTCGTCCTTGAGTCCTCAGCCGACAACCACTCTGATCTGATTGCAGTGAGATATGGCTAATGTGCAGAGAGAACTAGCCACTCTGAAAACACGAAACGTGGATCTGGAAGCATGGTCGCAACCTATGCATTATCGGGATAAAGGAGAGGTGCAAGGACGGAAAGCACCGGATTGACTTTATATCTCAGTGCCCGACGGAGACGCTCAGCATCGATAAGCCCCCTTTAGTCGATCAGGCACACCATACACTGCATGAGAGGTCGGGCAACAATGATCCACCTAGAGCCTCTGGCATCAGACGTTACTCTTTTCAGGGAAGGAGGCAATTCTAAAAAAAGCCAGGCAAATAAAACAATTGACCACCAGGGATGGCAATAAAATCCGTGTCCAACCGGATTACATTCGGGCAGTTGCCAAGCAGAGGACTGAGTTTTTTAGCAATTTTTTCTCTACTTCCAAACTTGAACGGTCACCAACTGATTCTCGGGGGAGACTCAAACTGTGTTGTAAACCCCAGTCTGGACCGCTCCAAAGTCATACCTAGAACACTAAGTAAATCAATTCAGTGTCTGTAAATTCTCCAGGCGTACGGGGTGGTTGATGCATGGAGGTGTAGAAATCCGGTGGCTAGACAGTGTTCAATCTTTTCTGCAGCACACCAGTCATTCTCCAGGATAGGCTGTTCTTTGCCAGATAAGAGACTTCTCCCCCTGCTGAGGTCTAGCAAATATGGGGGCATTATTGTCTCTAAATATAGCCCAATGACAAAGGCACTTTGCTTGGTATATACGCTTGGTTAAATAATGAGCTTTCACAACGTACCTGCCGACTTAATCTATGTCTTCTGTCTGATGAGGATTTTGTTAACTTCTTATCGGCTCAAATTGACTTCTTTCTAGAAATGAATCAGTCGCCAGATATGAGCCATTGTAACCTCTGGGAAGCAATGAAAGCCTCTCTGCGTGGACAGATAATATTCTATAATGCCAGTATGAACAAAAGACGGTTCGCATGCCTTAATGAACTGATCTCTTTGACTAATGATGTTGATTATAGGCACTTAGCAGCTCCCTCTGCTGACCTGTTAAGGGAGAGAATAGCTTTGCTGACGGATTTTGACACTCTTTCGACTGGGTAGGCTGAGGAGCTTCATCTCAAATCTTGTCAAGAGTTCTATTAGCATGGGGAAGAGCCGCCACCAGTTAAGACAATCTGCAGAGGCTGGGTTTATAGCAGAGACTGACACTACAGACGGAATAACTACTGATCAAAAAGGCATTAATAATCAATTTGGGCAATTTTATGAGGACCCCTAAACTGCTGAAAATTGCACAGATGGCTCAGTTCTTCAATGGTCTTGAGATGCTCACCATAGGCCCACAAGATAAGACAGATCTTGACAGTGGCATCTCAGGCAATTAAAAAGACAAAGAGCTGTTAAGTTCCAAAGCCAGCTGGTTCCCCTATTGAGTTTTTAAAAAAAATTCTCAGGTAAACTTGCCCCACTTCTAAAGGACGTGTATGCTGAGGCACTGGAGCTACAATGACTCCAGTCATAATTTCAGACCCTCTGAAGTGTGAGTCATATTGGCCTGTGAGCTTGCTCTGCTGTGACTATACAATTTTAGACTGGAGTCGGTTATGCATACAGTAATACACACAGACCAGACTGGCTCTTTTATGGGGCAACATCATTTTAGTAACACAATGTTCTCTTCTCTCCTGAAGCACTTCCTATATCACTAGCTGGCAGGAATAGTTTGGCCAAGATGACAATCATGCCCAGGTTTTCACTTCCATTTCAAACAGTGCCCGTTTTATCCCAAAGTCCTTTTTGAGGAGCTAGATAAGTCCGTATCTGCTTTAATCTGGAATAAGACTATCCCACAAATAAGAAAGACCTTGAGAGACAGAAAGAAGATGGAGGCTTAGCACTCCCAAATTTCCTAAAGTATTTCTGAGTGGCTAATATTCATAAACTAATATTTTGGCTCTCTGCGTCCTCTGAAGGAGGTGGATCTGTGTGGGCAGAAATGGAACAGCATTCCACAAACCCTGTGTCCTTACCTTCTTCAGTATGTGCCCCATTACCACTCAGTAAGCAGTGCCTCACAAATAACCCCATTGCGAGCGGCTCACTTCGAATATGGTCCCAGTTTGGGATTCATTTTAAGCTTAGACAGGCTTTGCCCTTTCTTCCAGTTGTTGTGAATGCGCTTTTCTCACCCTCACTCATGGATACAGCATTCAAGTTATGGTGCAATAGTGGTTTGAAATGGGTAAAAGATCTTTTTAAGGATGGTGTGTTCATGTCTTTTGAGCAGTGAGGGAGTGAGTACAATATCTCCACTCGTTTTAAGTATTTGCAGATATGTGACTTTGTTAGGAAGCATTTCTTCTCTTTTCCATTACTCTTGTCAAATAGTTGGATAGATGAGTGGTTAGATGGAGATGCGAGTTAAAAGGCAGCCGTGAGTAGATTGTATCATGCTATTCAAATGATTGTTTCCCTGTCACTTAACCATATTAGGGTGGCATGGAAGGAGGACTTTGGCTATGAGATCTCAGATAATGCCTGGCTGTTGGTAATAAAAAGGATACATTCAAGTTCTATTTGTATCAGACACGGTTTGTTTCAATTTAAAATGTTTCATAGGCTTCATCTTACTAGGAGCAGGCTTGCCAAGATATTTTGGGACGTAGATCCAACTTGCTCCCGATGCCATCAAGCCCCAACCACCCTTTATCATATGTTCTAGTCATGCCCACTGTTAGTGCAATTTTGGTCCTCCATTTCTGGGACATTTTTCTATATTTGCAACAAGGGGATTAGTCTTGGTCCTGAAATTGCCATCTTTGGTGTGGCCCCCTGCGAAGCAGCAGTGTCAACTGCCCATTCGGACGCCACAGCTTTTGCATCTTTATTGGCTTGATGCCTTATTTTATTTAATTGGAAATTAGGTTCCCCTCCAAAGCAATGGCAATGCATGGGGGACGTGGTGGCGTATTTAAAGCTCAAGAAACTGAAATACTCAACCAGGGGATTCACCCAAAGGTTTTATAAGGTTTGGCAAACATTTTTGGACTACTTTAACTTTACATTCCCTGCTAGAGAAACTAAAATATAGAGCTATGTTTCTATTTTTTTTTATTACAGACAATCTCTGTAATAGATGTAATAACTTCTTTTTTTGGTTTGTTTGCGGTCTTGTTTGCAGTACATATACGTTTCTACGCAAATATGTCAGCGGAAGAATAAACCACCCTTAAACCGCCTGACATCCCTACCTGGTCCTGTTGATGGCCACCAGCTTGTCGATGGCTTGAGCTGTGATGAGTGAGCGAGCGTTCTCTGAGCTGTCTGTCACAATCTCGTGGATGGTGTTGAGGATGGCCACCACTGTGTCCTCCTCCAGATTCTTGGCTGGTCGCTGCTGCCCGCTCGGCAGGTTGCTGACCAAATCCCTCATCGCATAGCTCCCTGTGGCAGAAAACACAGATAAGTGAGATGCACTATACACTGGTGACTATGTTACCAGCAATTCTGTGATTACAGAAATGCTGCAGGAAATTGAGAAGCCTTTTCTTTATAAATATATAATTTTGTCTTTCTCTAAAAATGATGTCTTAACAAGTGAGAACATCTTATATCAAGGCTAGAAATCTGACATTCACCCCTCATGAGGTTATCACAATTAGAATTTTGAAGATTATTCAGCCTATTAAATATTTTAGTTATTTGAAAATATCAAGTAATATTCTCGCTATGCTGCCCATTAACATTGATATTGCTTCCCTCAAGCATTTATTTCTTAGATGTAATATTCTTTAAATAAAATACTTCAACACTGAATTCTTTGGGCTAAAAGCTCTGCTCTGCACAGACTTGCTGAAGAGAGTGCCTTCCCTCAAGGCTTACTGGACATTAAGGGGCCACCTCTTGTTTATTTTAGGACTAGGAGGTATGGCCAAAGAACTTAAAACTTTGTTTTTCCATATCATTCAACATAATATATATTTCCTAAGGCTCAGTTTTAAGTCAAAGTATTTTGAACATTGTGGTATAATACAGACTTACAGAGATGTTTCTCAACAAAATAGAACATAAAAATAGCTTTAAAATAACATAATAATCATATAAAATAACAATAATAATAATTTTTTAATGTTATAACAAGCAGTTTCTTTGCTCTAAAAGGCACCAAAAATAAAATACAATGTACAAACATTTCAACTCTTAATAATTTCAACCCTAGCTGACTGCTGACTGTCCCACTGGTTTGTGCTGTTGTGAGTGAATGGCTAGACTTCTTATCTAGAGAGTAAAGTTTAATCTTTTGCTATTAATACCTGATTGGGGAACAGAACAGCTTTATCGTTTTGTTGAAAGAACCACCAGTACTGGGAAAAAAAGCTGTAGTTTACTTGATGAAGCATGTAATGAAGGCTGAAATATGTAGGGCTTGGTGGGCTTCTCACCTATGAGGTCCTTGTTGCGGCAGTCGATGGACAGGTTGCGCAGGGCGATGGCCACAGCCCGCACCACCTTGTCTGAGTCAGAGCGAAGCAGCTCCACTAGAATGGGAAGGCCCTTCTCCTTTCTCACGGTTGCTCGGATGTAGCTGGACCACTGCAGAAGAGAAAAAGAGAAACAGAAAGGTTCTTTACTCATACTTCACAGACCAATCAGATCATATCACCAAAACAACACAAGCCATAATGCTTAATTGTGCCCATGAGATGCTTATGATTTGGGTGTCAAGGCTAAACAAACAAAGCAGTAACACTTTATAACTCAGCAACTTCATCATTACCTAATAGCTTGTTAATAATTAAATAACTGCTACATTGCATTAATAAATGCTTTCATTTTAATTATTACCATTTCTTTGTGCCACAAACAATTAATAATTATTTCTGAATTATAGGAACCTGATTGTTAGTTAATAATTAAGTAGCTATTTTATATGTATAATCATATGTATAAGTTTGGGTGTACTCGGTCAAATTCCATTTTTTGTTGACTTTTTAAGTGAAAAGAACACCTGTTCTACTGAGAACACACTTCTGCATATTTTAATGCACAACTGCTGTTTCTTTGCTGTATTTAACAAAAAATAAAACATAAAATACAGCCTGTACAAAAGTTATGCCATTTTTTTCCCTCAATCTCAATATGTTAAACTGTCAGAAACTGTGCACTAACATTTGTAGAAAAATGCAATATTTAGGTCTGTTTCTTGAGGATGTGTTAACTTATTTTCAGACTCTTTCACACACACACTTATTTAAACACTCCACCAACTTAAGCACTTAGTAATGAAGTAAAGCATTAAAAAACCCATCTCTGTTTGACTTAGCTCCGTTTGGGTTTCAAATTTAGTAGGGTTGGGTCAGATATCAAATTTAGCTGTACCAGTCGGGCCAGGTCAGTTCTCAAATTTAGAATTGTTGGGCTGAATTGGGTCAGGTCTCAAATTTAGCAGCATCAGTTGGGCTGAGTTGGGTCCTAACTCCTGAGTGGATACTGCTGCAGGGTCTTAAATTTGATGGTACCATTCAGAATTACCAGTCGGGCCAGGTAGGGTCTCAAATTTAGTATTGCCAGTCGGGCCAGGTCGGGTCTCAAATTTAATATTACTAGTCAGGCCAGGTGGGGTCTCAAACTTAGTATTACTAGTCGGGCCAAGTTGGGTCAGGTCTCAAAATTGATGGCACCATTCAGTCGGGGTCCAGTTAGATCTCAAACTTAGCAGTGTCAGTTGGACTGGATCAGCTTTCTAATTTAGCAGAGCCAGTCGGGTGGAGGTGTGTCAGGTCTCTTATTTAGGGCAAGATCGGGTCCGTTCTCAAATTTAGCAGTACCATTCGGGCCATGTTGGGCCAGGTTGGACCAGGTCTCAAATTTAGCAGAACCAGTCAGGTCAGATTAGGTCAGGATTCAAATTTAGCAGTACCAGTCGGGCCAGGTTAGGTCAGGTCTCAAATTTAGCAGAACCATTTCGGCTGGGCAGGGACTCAAATTTAGCAGTACCAGTCGGGCCAGGTTAGGTCAGGTGTCAAACTTAGCAGAACCAGTTGGGCTGGGCAAGGACTCAAATTTAGCAGTACCACTTGGACTGGGTTAGGTGTTAAATTTAGCAGTACCAGTTGGGCTGGGTTGGGCTGGATCTCAAATTTAGCAGTATCAGCCTGGTCAGGCAAGGTCTCAAAGCCATTAAACAAAAAATGTTATTGTTATTAAACTTCAGCACCTTGTCTAATTCTCTTTGATACATGAAACCTCCGCTTTCTCTCTGAGATGAAAAAAACTTGTCTCCACAACCAGCTCTGTGGCCTTGAGATATAATTATAAAGCTGCAATGTCCTAGTGTGAGCACCAGGGGGAGGTGATGAGCTTTCGAAAGTGTAATCTCCAACCGCAGCAGGGATGAAAGCACATTTACAAAGAAAAGAGAAGAAAAACAGTCCAAAATCCTCTTATGGAGCTACGTATGTGCCCCAGACGCAGGGGGTTGTGGGTGTTAGAGGATTGGGGTCCCCGAGTGTGGCCCACACACATACAGCATTGGCTCGTAACACGCTCAGAGAGGGTGGGAACGACACAGAAGCGGGCAGGAAGCTGTCCGCAGAGCTGCATAAGAGTGAAATGATTGGATTTGCTGCTGAAACGTGTTTGATATTCGTGTATTTCAGAGCACTCATCGGACTGCTTAAGATAATACAAATAAGCTGTGAGCTCTGAGGAGCAAAGATAGAGCGAGGCTTATTGAAACATGCTAATTTCAATGTGATATAGGTGTAGTGTTTCCTCATTACCACACAGGGGTGACAGACCAGCCCTCAATAGCAGTTTCCCCCTCTACCTTGCAACCTAGCCTAGTATATCTATGTTTTTATGTCCACAATATGGCCAAAAGTAAGTGGACGCCTGATCATCACAACTACATAAGCTCGTTGGACAAAACCATGGGCATTAATATGGAGTTGCCCCCTTTGTGGCTGCAACTTCCTACACTCTTCTGGGAAGGTTTTCCACAAGGATCTGTGTATCTGCGGGAATTTGTGCCCATTCAGTCAAAAGAGCATTTGTGAGGTCAGGCAGTAATGTTGGATGAGAAGGCCTTGCTTGCAATCGACGTTCCAATTCATCCCAAAGGTGTTCAGTGAGGTTTATCTTTTTGAAGGTCGCTTTGTATACAGGGACACAGTCATGTTAGAACAGGAAAGGGCCTTTCCCAAATCCAAAGCCACACAAGTTTGAAGCATACAATTTGTCTAAGATGTCTTTGCATATTGTAGTGCTGGCATTACCCATCACTGGAACATATATGTCTGTGTGTAAAAGAGAAGATAACATGATGTGAAGTTGGCTGATTGCTTCATGTGAGATTGGATGCTAAGGTGCATGTGTTACGATAGCCCTGCCACAGGCCAAGAAATGCTACGTGTATGTGCAGTGCTCACGGTCCACTGTCCAGCGCTGAGATTCTGCAGCGCTCCAGCTGCTGCCTCCAGGGTGTTGTAATTCTGACTCTCCGTCAGCAGGGACAGATAGAGACGCACTACCTCTGGCTGATACAGCAACTCATAGCCTGCAGAAAACAAGAAAAAGAGATTGAGAAGGAATAACAACACACACACACACACACACACACACAAATATCCTAACACCTGAGTGGATACGCTGCAAGAACACAAGGCTACACAAACTCTCGAAATGACACATAGGTAAACGTAAAGGGAGGAAAAAAAATATCGATTTGCATTACAGCTCGCTCCCGGCGCATCCCGTCTGCTGCACGCTAAATAATTAGACTTCAAACTCTGCTTGATTACCATGTCGCAAGAGGGAGAGAGAGAGAGAGAGGCGAAACAATGTTCACAGCTAGCCCAGAGAAGAAAGGCCGTAATGGTTTAATGAAGGCTGTGTCACTGTCTGCCTGCGTCACTGATCACTGTCAGCTCAATCAAGGCTTTTTTCTCAACAGGACCCTTCCTTTTTTATTTTCTTTCCTTTTTATCTACACCCAATTTTCCCTCCAATGTAGTCGTGGCTAATTCCACCCACTAGTTGGGCCCCCCATCACACCACACTACCAAGCTGGGAGAGTGAAAGCTAGCACAGGCTTCCTCCAAGACATGTGAAGCTCCACTAATTCTTTTTAACCTCCGCTAATGCAACATCATTGTACAGCTCAACACGCTTGGAGGAGAACACTACCTGCTAATTATGTGTGGTTGTGGCATCACCAGGGATTGAATGTGATGTGACAAAGCGGCTGGAGGTCGTTCCTTTTCAGTGAGAGCTGACTATTTCTGGTGCAAAAGTAGGCGACACAAAGTGGGCGGGGTCAGTGACGCGACAAAGTTGAGCGGAGTTTAACTTTATGCAAATAAGAGCGAAGCGATGTGGCGATTACCAATAGGAATTGAGAATTGAGCCAGTAGTACGCGCTTTATCTGCTGCCACTGTGAAACAGTACGCTTCGTTTTTGGTTCCTAGATAGTAGTTCCCACCATAGGTGGAATAACGCTGGTGGTGCTTTCACGGTAAATAGACACTAATCACAAAGACCAAATAGTGTTTTCCTCGCAAACTGACCGTACAGACACAGGGATTAAATACAAATAAACACACAAGCGATTTCTCACCAGGACTTTTATTTTTAGTGGGAACGCCTCTAATATTTGTTTGCCGTCAGTGAAGCCATGGCAAACAACGGTCTGCTTGAGTTCAGAAACACCCACAGGCGATGAGCGACCAGCAATTTGGGCAACAAGAGGCAAAAAGTTGCTGCTGGTGTGAACGCAGGGTTAGCCTCATCAAACTGACAGAATTTTGTATCCTTTTTTGTGTTTTCACTCATCAATGTTTTCTCACTACAATACCCAGTATAGACTGGGCAAATACATAATAGAACATTGGGAATCCCCATGGCAACAAAGAAATCCTGATTGCTACTATAGCCATTGATCTAGAACCTAATGAATACAGGATGGAGCCAGTTAGCATTAGTGTAGCTCTTACTTTTGTTGTTTTCTTCAATGCATTTGGGATTAATTTTTTTCAAAGAATGTAAATTAACTAGGCCATATTATCTCCAAAGTTGTAACTATTAAGGGGCCATACTGTGGGCAGCAGCACTTTAGCCCCGCCCACTCATGCTGAAGCTATAAGGAGTGTTTCAGGCACAGTGACAAAACAAATAGCCTGCTTATTCTAAGAGATAAAGAGAGGCTTGATGTAAAAATGAACTACAACTGTTTGTGGTGCTCAAATAATCATAAGAGGTGGAGAAAAATAAAGTATAAGAAGCATGTCAGATATATATGGACCCCCAGATGGTCCATGTTTTTGCTCCATCTGTGTCTGTATGTGCATTACATGTTGGGTTTGATTACAGTCTATTGTGTAGGCTACTGCACACCAAACTCTTTGCATTAAACATCTCTTTTTAATACAGTAACAGGTCAAAATGTGTATTAAATACACAAACATGCATAACTTGACTCTCAGCAGTTCTTTAGCTTAATATGACTTGCCAAACAGAGGAACTTCAATGTTTCTTATATGAGAAAAATGAATTTAGTAGTGTTTATTATACCAGATCAATACTTTGTCATGTTTTAAAACAATGAATATCAAAATTAATTATTGGAGAGGGTTGTATGGTGTGCTGGTATTATTCGGGACATGGTAACCCCACCACGCCTCCTTGGAAATTGCGCCTATGGACAGCAATTTTGGAGCTGACGTGGGCTCCAGCTGCAGCAGACAGCAAAAAACACAGAGAATGTTGCTGGTTATCCAATCTCTGTTTCAGCGGTTTCTAAGGAGACAAGGTGAGGCGGTCAGACAAGGTCATGATTAACACGGACCACTGCCTCCGACTGGCACTGACGTATGGCTGCACACGAGGGGATGAGTGTGTGTTTGTCAGGGTTGCAAAAAAAATAAATAAATAAATAAAAAATAAAATAAAGAAGTCAAGGGCTCGGATGGCTGTCGATACAGCAATAGCACAAGTACATAACTCTGCTGGGCTCTTTAAAAACACATTTATACATCTGACAGCGAAGAAAACCAAGAATCAATAGCATTCACTGTCAAATGTACTACATTCCGCCTTTGCTTCATGCAAAAGGTGATTAAGGGGGATAACCAAATGGTTAAGACATAAACAAAGTAATTCAGAGTGGTCCGATGTGAAGTTTTTCAGCCGAAAAATGGTCAGAAATAGGACTTTCAGTTTTCAAAACAGAAAAACGGCAAAAAAAAATTAATTAAGCATGCCAAAAAAAGTTAATTTCAGCAGTAATGAAAATGAAATCATCATTAAAAATGCTAAGCGCTAAACAGCTAAACAGACACGGTAGCAGATCAACAGAGAAAATGTCGGCCACTTAAAACTATTTCTGGGTTTCTATGAGGGACATTAGACGAAATTTATAAGCACTGTTCATGCATGGGACGTGTGATGTGTCTGATCCACTTGTACCAGCACAACACACACTAACACGCCACCACCACATCAGTGTCACTGCAGTGCTGTGAATGATCCACCACCCAAATAATACCTGCTCTGTGGGGGTCCTGACCACTGGAGGTTTAAGGAGATGAAACTTTCTCTGCAAAGCACTGTAGCATGTCAAAATAAAAGCCCCCCTAAATAAAGCAACACAGCGTGCCAGAGTAAAAACTCTGTGCGGGACCACTTTTCCTTTTCTGTTGTACATCACAGAAGCTTTGCCAGCAAATAAATTATTACAGATATTTATATTTTTTTTATAATTTAATGTAGCCTACATTATATTATAAAAATATAATATGTAGGAAACATTAAAAATGTCAGATTTTTTGGGTGGTGTTGAGATAATAAGATGATAGTTTATGTTTATGAAGAATATGGCTGAATATGAAATAGTTGTCCAGTGTGCCTCATTTAAAAAAAACAAGTTTTTTGAAATATCATGTTTTGGAATGAACTCTTCAATTGTAACAGCACATTGCTTGAAATATACAGATTTTAAATGAAAGTATCAGATTTTGTACTTTATACACCACTATGAAGAAATTAGTCATTAGTTTTCTAAACAATGACCCATTTCACTCCATTTCAAACCACTCTGAATGACTTTGTGCACATCTCAGTGACTGAATTATGCAGAATTTTTTAAAAATTGGTGGAATTCCCCTTAGCAAGGCAAAACAGAGACTGCAAATCTTGTTTATGATCGTATATATGGATAGGTGGCTTATGCTGCAAGCAAATGTGACAGTGAATGAAAAAGCCAACAAAAAGAAACATGAAACACAAAGCTTGCATTCTTCCTTCTCAGAACCCACAGAGTTATTATGTGATTAGATTTCAGATGCAGCAGCAGAGAGGATATCGAACAGTCACGACTCTCGAGGTAACACACACCACTCGCTCTGTCTCTGAGGAGAATCCATTTGTGGACATAGTATCTCGCTCCCTCTCTCTCAACACAGAGTCATCACTTTAACATGCATTAATCACCATCAAGGCCTGAGAGCAAGAATCGCTAATCCCTTAAAGCAGAGCAAGTGTCATATTGTTGCATTAGGCTTAAGTATTACGCTGAGTTATAAATACTATACATATCCTAAGGCTCACAGTTGGATCCTGCTGGCTCATAGTCTCCATTTCCCAGCTAAACAAAGAGAGACTCCTGTGAAACATTTAGGCCAGCCTGTCAAACGTGTTTCACAAAGATAACCTGCCTTTGCTCATGCTGACATCACATATAAAGAAGGGCAAAAAATCAAATTCAATCACTTTCTGCACGGCAAATAGCTGTGCATCCAAATTCAACACTGACCGAATTAATTCAATACTACCGAATATTGAATAATTCCATGTTGTTCAGTACCAAAATTCAATACCTAAGGAGGCTTATCAGCGTCTGTGAGCCAATAAGCATGTTTGTGCTAAAATCTCAACTGCTGATTGGCTGTATAAATTAGAGCTTTAATCGGGCCTATACCTTTTGGTTTAAACGGTAAATACAGCTTGAGAATTTTCTGTCTAAACACGATCCATACCACATCGTCTTGTTCTGAGTCTGAAACCAACCCCAGTATAACAAAATTCTATCTGAACCCAACCTGATTAAACATCAGGTTTTGAGATTGAAACTGACCCCAGTATAACAAAATTCTGTCCAAAACTGACCCGATCTGAAGCACTGAAAGTCTGAAACCCAAGTACAACAAAATTTTGTCTGAACCCGACCCAAACTACATTATCATGTTTTGAGTCTAAACCTAACCTGAGCGCAACAAAGTTCTGTCCTAATCGACCACAGTCAAACCAACTCGAACCACAAGTTTTGAGTGTGAATCTGACCTGAACCAGAAAACATGGACAGATTTGGACATCTGTCAAAGTCCGAACAACATCATTATGTTTTGTGTCCGAACAGACTAGAATACAACCGAATTATGTCCGAACCCGACCCGAACAACATCACCATGTTTTGAGTCTGAACCTGACCTGAGCCCAACAAAATTCTGCTCAGACTTGACCCGACTGGAGCCACATCATCAAGTTTTGATTCCAAACCCAAC